ATCTCTGCGTGGGTGCCAAAAATGTAAACTTGGTGACCAACAACTATTTGGTTGGCGCGCTGCCTTTACCAATCGGTACCTTAAATAGGTTACTTTGGCAACGGATTTTTAAATCCGGCTTGTTTGGCAAATTATTGTTTTCCACTGATGAATTCAGTCAGCAAAAAGGGATGCAGCCGGAGCGAGACCAAGTTAGTGGTTTGTGAATGAAACATCAAGTTGCGATATGCGCAGTGCTGTATTATTGTTTGAGAACACGAGGAACAGACGGGATTTATCATTGAAAAAAACAAAGAACCGTAGAAGCTACGGCCAAGTGATGAGCACGATCTCTTCTTTATCTTATGTTTTTCTCACAGAAGTCAGGAGGAGGCAGAAGAATTGACCAAATGCAAAAGTCATGAACGGGAAAGTGTTGAATTTTGCCAACCAAGCACCCCTTGGGGGTCACACTCCACACGCCCCCAACTATGATGGGCCTGGCTGAGGCGTTTTATAACGCAAATCAAAGCCCTCTATTATCAGTGTATCAATACATGATATGACCAAACAAAGATTCAGTACATTGTCTTTCAATTTACGTTACAATGAGACAACCGAATAGCGAATACCGATTTTGAAAACAACCGAATGACGTAGGAGCTCGGAATTCTCCCGCCCCTTCCAAAGACGCGCAAGCAAGTTGCTGTGGCTGCTATGTGTCTGTCATGTTCAAAAGTGCCTAGTTTGATTCTTAAAAGTTCGGTTCGGATTTTATTACCCTCGCCACCTATATGTGTTAGAATTCATATATCATGAATTGAAATGAATCATATAGAAACAACACTTACTGTTTGAAATCAAAAATGGGGCTGATATCAGTTAAATATGAGTTATATAAACAAGAAACTCTCTCAATGCCTTTGGAAAACCAATCGAATGATAAAAATGTGGTGTTTTGTTATCAGCAACCTGTTGGTTGAGTCATGAAATGAGCAATCGACCCGTTAAAATCTTTTCGCAAGAAATGAGTTAAGTTTTCACTTACCTTGGCTTACTTTGAACTTTGCTGTTGTTAAGTCGATGGTATTTTCGGTTGGTGTATGATTGTGGTTTGAATCAAGCACATCACTACTGCCATTCACTGGCATCCCTTGCCTTGGTGAATTCATACCCAACGATCAAAGCAAAGGCTAAGCTTCCAATGTCTGCGCTTTTATACGCTAAGAGCCAGGCATTCGGTGTCGTTCGTTCGTTGTAACAATCTAGTTTCGTGAGTCGTTCACTTTTGGATGTTTTTCACAGGTCTTGTCATGGAAAGAACGACTAGAATTCTTTTGTCTTTGGCGTTTTGTTTTGCCAGCGATCCTGTTCAAATTGTTTGAATAACGCGCTTTGTCAACCTCACCGTCCACACGAAACCTCCTTTGTATCCCGTTACAATCAATTGATAACAACAAAGACGATAGTATTCCCAGCTCACCTTAGTCGTCTCAGTTTTGATATTATTCAGTGTTTCTTTGAATAATATGGGAACTTGGCAGTGGTTGACCTACACCTAGGACGTGCCATTATAAACCCTTACTAGAATTTTGGTAAGCAAAGAAGCTCGATGTTTGTATTTACACTACGAGAAAGAATTTCTAAAAAAGGAATTTGTTTTCTTCCTTTATGTTCACTGAGCCAAAGATGTTTCTGTTGTTTGTAGTCAAGTGGGTGCGAAATATGATCTAAATTTTCTGAAGTTTGAATCGTGTGGCTCGGTATGTATAACAAGAAAAAGAGATTAAATGATTATTTTTGATGAAGGAATCAGGACAGGAATGAATCCATTAAGTGAATCACAAATAAGAATTATTTTCACTTAATCCAAAGGTTGTACAACGGGGGATTAGGGTGAGATCTAGAGGGAGGGCTTTAGAGTTCATAAAAACGTTAATTTTGACATCCAGTACAATAAATATGTGAGAATATCTGATACTGAGGTGAGCATTAGAACTTCTGGACAATTTTATACCTTTTTGTTGAGGTATTTCGCTTTTGGGGTCAGAAGTTGTCAGGTACGTGTTTTGGAGGACTTGCGAATTGTGTTATTTTCTATATCTCCTCATTAATCGTTAATTATTAGTTGTGCTAAGCAACCCAGTTGAAAAGTCAACCTCTAGCAGATGTACAATTTCTTGCTTATTTTTTTCCAAAACTTTATCCATCGCCATACCTTTGATGATATTAACCACGATGATATCAATAAACTCAGTCATTAGTAGCAGGTCTCATAATTGTGATATGCAGTTGAAACAACAGTTTGCTTCGAGTTTCCTTGTGAAACCGGAGTCTACACCTAAGCCATCTTGTGGTGCTTCCCATCTTTTGATTGTGGGTGCAGAGGTGGCCAGGATCGCAGGCGTTATTCCTTCTTCAAACAACTAGATTCTCCAGGTCACTTATCATTGCTTCCAATCTTCGGTCCGTTTTTATAACCTGTAACAAACTGATAATGTATAATTAATCCTTAACAAAATCGTTCAATTGATGATATAGTTTAGCCTTTGAAATTGACATAGCTCAACTGATCATAAAACACGTCATACTGATAAGAGATAAACCAGCCAGCTATCGTAGTGTTTTACGTCTTCATTCTTAAAGTAATACTAACAAAAGGTTGCAAAAATGATTTTTCAGGCGTCAGATTTTTAAGGCATCAGTTAATGACACTGCGGTAAATTATAGAAATAATCTCCTGAATTATAAAAAGGATTTATTTATTACTGTTGGCATAACAGATCGCGCCAGACAAATTAATGCCAGCCATAATTCAAACAGTTCGTATTTTCTAAAAATAATATATAAATTACATATAGTTTGGATACGGCCTAAAATCACTATCAAAATCAAAACTAGATATGTATTAAATTACAGCAAAGCTTTACGTAATGTGTAGCTGCCTGTGAAATTCAAAATTCTTATTTCTTACTTGAAATGTTTCAAAGATTTTGACAAATATTTTGTCAATTGTAAACCTCGTCAGGGTTCTTCAACTTCAACTTTAACATTTCATTATCAGTTTATTTTAAATAATTAAAAGTGATACGGTAGTGCTAACATAAACGATTAGAAGATTTAAAAAGCATAATTTACATGAAATTGTCAGCAAGGAAAAATTAAACACTGAAGGACACGTAGAAATAACTCAGAGGAGCTTTCGAGCTACGCGCCCTTTTGTGTTTCTACAGGTTACATTGTATATATTTAAAGAAATAGATTCAAGGAAAAACATGTATGTGAAGTTGTGTCATTAACAAAAACAGCAAGAATATATAATAAAGGAAACAACTTAAAGAAAGTAAAAAATAAAAATTGATATAAAAGGAAAAGAAAGTAGAGAACGAAAGAAAAGGGGAGTGCAATTCAAAAATTGATCATAAGATGCTATTTGAAGGCCTATTAATTTTTTTGGGAAATATTTTTAGGTTCCTCTCTAGATAACACGTATTATCTGCTATTCTAAGTTTGCGTGTATAGATGATGTTTCTAACTTAAGTTGAGCATTTCTTTAATAAAGAATGGATTTGTATTCATCTTTGTTCGGTAATTTTTAGTTACAAACAGCTGAAAACTTCTTTGACGAGCCGATATGTATTTGATTAAGAATACCCCAAAATCAATGTGCTATTTTGATATGCCCTTCGTGGCGCTCTACCGTGGATGCTATGAATTTTGTCTTTAACTTAGCTATAATGAAACATCGCTATGAAATTGCAGTAGATAAATAGTGACATCATGGATACTTTGTTCAAGTTTCTTGTTTGTTTTCAGGCATATATGTCAAGCCTATCGCGAACCCATAGCTCCTGGCTTGCCTTCCCACAAACCATATTTTACATGGGACTAAATATTTTTTGTTTTGTTAAGTTTTATTGATATCATTAATAAGTTGGTTAATTAAAAGTAGACCTCCAATCTCGGAGAAAAGTAGTTGAGATTTTTTCACGAAAAAATTACTTTTCCCTCCCCCCATTCAATTTTGAATACATGTTTCTGAAGCACAAATGGTATTACTACTTATCAAGCATTGACTCAGGGGAAAGGGAGGATTCGAATAAACTGGGGCGACGCAAAGTAGAAAACTGCAAAGATTGCTTTGGTTTCAACAATTTTGTCCGGAATTGTAGAATTGACCACTGTAGAATACCTAGTTAATTTCTTTGCATTAGCAGAATGTGGCATTACCTTCACACGTCCACAACAATCAAATCTTTGGTGTCTAAGGTTTTCCTACAGGGCTCTACAAGCTCTCGCATTTGCGAGGGTGAAGGGGAGGGAAATTTGTTTACAAAATGTAGCAGTAGGCTTGCTACGAGTCCTTCAAAGAAATCGAGACTGGTGGAAATATAATTAATGATAAATAGCCCTCTTTGTGAAACGAGTAAACATTTTTGAAAAGTTCACTAGCATCACTGTCTTCCAATTTATCTGGAAAAAAATTATCGGCTACAACTGTATAGATTAACATCAAGCGAGTAAGATGCAGTGGCGGCGCCAAGAGGGATATGGGGGTATTTACCCAACCCCCACTCTTTTCAAAACATGGTCTACATGTTTCTTCTAAAAACGATTAAAAAGTGCTAGGTAGGGGTAGTTCATATTTCCTAAGGAAAACTAACCTGGTACAAAGCACTGAAACGAGGTACAATGATTTCGTCTCACTGGCCACGCCCATTACCCTACTGCAGTACCTGGCGCCGCCACAGCAACTATGATATAGCAGGTCTTTCGTCATATCAAAGTTTTCAGTCTGATCTAGAGACCTATCCTGTTAAAGCTCTCTGCCATGCATTATGATCCATGTATTAATTACAATCTTAATTTGCGGCATTTTTCTGCTGTGCAAGAAGAATTTCTACCGCAAGTCTCTACTGATACCATGACCCTTTAGGCCCTAAACGGGAACATCTGGTACTACTGGAATCTTCCTGGTTCGCTGATAAAACAATAAAAAGAACAAGAAAATGCAAACAGGAGATAAAGATTTGTTATCATTCATATTCACTTCTACGAACAGAAATGTCCATGCTAGTTCTATTTCTGATCTACAAATTTGCAATATTTACAAAGGGACCTAGTTAAAATCAAAATGAAATTGAAAATTTCACTGATATAGAGGCTACCATATAATTTACACATACTCATAATTTGTCACTTTTGGTAATTCTAAAACGCAACTAAAAGCTACAAATACTCTTCGGATCTTCAGATATTAAGATTAAAACTTTATTTCTCTAAAATTTATTTCTACACAATAAGGCTATAACGAAGTATTTTTCAACGAAAACTTTACATGTAACTTTACAAGCTTGTTGACTTGTTTATTACTTTATTTCAGATCAATAAAACTGATTCATTCTACTTTTCTAGTGAAAGCATAATAACATGAAATTTGATACATTTGCCATTTTTCCCATTTTCAACATATATTTCTGTTTTGCATTGTCTAATTCTATTAACCACCCCTGTCCAGGTTCGCTGAGCCCCCTCAACTTGGACTTCGAAACCCCCACTTAATTCTAACAATAATATACTACCAGATATAATTTTTTCGTTATACCCTAAGTTATCTCCTTGATATTCCAATTTATCAACGCAAAAATTCTTCAGGATAAATTTGTCCATCCCAAAGGAGCTGTTTTGGGGTTTTTTAATGTCTCCCCTCTATAGACAATTGAACTATTTCTTACATTTAAACTGTAAGATCCTTAATTTCCTAAATTGCCAACCTCAGAGATATGAATTTAGCGATCCTTCACTCCTGGACCACTGTGTGTCTACCCGAAGCTATCCTTGTGGTACTCAAATGAATTGCCATGGCGACATGTCGTATGACACATGCGTAGAAGAATAGGAGATATAGACCTAGGGCCTGTATAAAACACACCAATTTTCTCCCTAAAAGAAATTGAAAGCAATCTTTATGCTGCTACAGATTTTTACTTATTTGCAAATGACACGAAAATAAGTTTTGACTTCCTATGGAAGATTTTTATCAACTGAGCAAATCTTGATGCATGGCTAACAAAAATTGTTAGTAGGTTGTGAATGATTGCTAAGCAACTACGAATTTCATAAAAAGATATCAAATTCACCTTTTATGATTCTGCGAAATGCTGTTAAAAACATCTTCCCACGCTGGCCTGCCAAACTGTAGTCTACTGCTCAACCAATCTGTGCTCAAATTGTGAATGTGATTGTATGTTCCCTAAAAACAGCAACATGTTACCTATAAGAATTCTCCTTATTCAGTTTTTGTGAATTGTATTGACAAAACTCCGTAAAACAACACATATTATCGAACATGAAAAATATATTGATCTTCCACGTTGATGTCTGTAGAACACTACGTCATGTTCATGAATAACCAGCAATTTTCTCTTAGAATATTCGTAAAATGTTCATTTTTGCTATTTTGACGAAGAACAAGCAAATACCTTTTAATAAATGTTGCAGCCTTATTCAAAACATTAAAGCAAGGTAGCTCTCTCCAAGTTTTACACAGTGCTAGATTCTTTCGAACTCCACTAATAATGAACATAATTTTACCTATAATCCCATGCAAAAACTCGATACTGCCAGAAAATGAGTAACATAAAGAGGCACAATAATGTTTCATTACCTTCTCAATATCGTCACTTTTTCCAGTCAGATAGAATTTGCAAACAAAAAGATCGGGTTTATTCATCTTTATCAGCTAAAAAATAAAATGATTTCAAAATAACCAAGAGTGCAGCAGTTTCACAGTTACAAAAAAATGCAATAGGAACTAATTTTGGAAATATAATAGAATACCAGAGGAGATATATGAAAGAAAGACCCTCCACGTTTGTAAACAGGTTGAGATGACAAATTTTTGGTTTTTCCTGTTTTTTCTCAAGACTCTGTCGCCACAATTCAACGGATGTATAATAGTGTGAAGTTGATATATTTGACGTTTAAAAAAAAGAAAATCTGAAGTTCAAAACTGAAGCATCGGTAATGAAAAGAGGAAGAGGTCTTCAGTTTGGAAAATGAAGATCTATTGAAACAGAAAGATATAATTTCGACTTACTTCTTGATTAAAGTCATAAAGTAGCTGTAGAAACCAATGGAAATCATCCATTTTTCTCGAAACCCAAATAAAGTAGAGTCTTCGTAGCTTCCCTTGTTCTATATTGAATCTGAGGTGTAAGAAACGAGCAATTACTGTTCCAGTTTAAGGCAAAGAAAGCTTGCAAAATACACAAAAATTTGCAAATCAAACACTGTAAGCATTCTGTTTTTGGCACATCTCAAACTACGATATATCTTATTGGTTGGAGTTTATCTTCTTTTGAAACCTTCAAGTAGATATAAGGGATAAAGATATTTCGGGTAGAAAAATTTTGTCAAAATTTCTTTGAGAATAAACCATATACTTTACGCATCTCTTTCTTTTATGAAAATAGACAGTAGAAAATCAGTTCTTTTTCAAAAAAAGAGGCTGCATTTTATTCAACAAATGTTTTCAAAATCCTTTACCATACCATTTTCAAACAAAAATCATCTTTAAAAAATTTTGTCTGATTTTCAAGCAAATACAAAATTGTCAATTTAAAATTGGGGAATCATCAATAAGAATGTAAATTCATGATTAAGTCCGCCAGCATGTTTCTGCTCTATCAGACAACATGTCATACCTTAGAGAGTTGATGACTGCTGCAAAGGGGGTAACGCCAATACCAGCGGCGATGCAAATGCTGATTGGGTATGCAGTGACATCCTGGTGGCACAAAATAAGCTAAATCAAAAGTCTAATCCATAAACTGCAGCTAAAAACATTCTTATACAACTTTTTGAAGAGGTAGTGGAAGTTACCAAGATAGAAGCTGTATTGGCTCGATAATGCATAGACGTGTTGATTTTCTGTGTGCGAATAAAGGAGAGGCCACGATAGCAGGCTGCTCGACGGACTGCGGAGAAAATCTTGCGGCGGAGGAAAAATCGATAAAATAGTAGTGTATCAGAAACACCGCAACGCAACGAGAATAAACAACCAGTCTTGTTTAAAGAATTGCATTTGGCAATCGCGATAAACTAAAATCACACTCACTTGACACGGACTTCCATAAGGCCCATCGACGAAAATTCTAAGAAAAAGTGTTACAAAGGGGACTTGAAAATAGTTTACATCAGTAAATATTAAACAAAATGATCATGAAAGTTTTCAACCCTACGTTCAGTGGAGCAATACAAAATACCAACCATCGTTATTATCATTTTGTTGGTGAATAAGTTGTCCAGGCAGATTTTATAAATCATCATTATTCTCGCTATTTCAATTTTTATCAAACTAGAATAAGTTTTTGCGACCGAGCCTTACACAAAAGCAAGATAAAATCTTATTCTGGTCCCATTAATAACAAAAATCCATTCAATGATAAAAAATAATACAATAATAATGTATCAAGATTTATAGAAGTTTGCTTGGTCAGCTAAGGACAGCTGCTAAAAATCAACGTTAAAAAACCATCTGTTTCCAACGTTAAGAAATAAAAACTATTATTTACAAAAATAAGACTGCTTGAAATTGAAAAAAAAGTCATAAAATTGGGTCTTCAACCTCACAATTGAGACCTCATTTCTCAAATCAGGTGGCAGTTTGTTAGGTTTTTGTACACCTTGACAACTAAAATCTTTTTGAGCGGTCTCTGTGTGCAAGGCAAAATGAGATTTGTTTTGTTTCATCGAATGTCCTTTTGCTGACCGATAGCTGAACATACCGTAAAGATTCAATATTTTTAACCAACTTTGTGATGTGTCCACTTTGTGATTTCGAATACTGCACCAGAGATTGCTTTCTGGACGAGGTCGTCTTTGATTTTGTGAACAATTGACTAGCTAGGGTCTCTGCAAACAGAAAAATCACTGAGTCTTTTGGGGCGTAGACTCAATACTAAATAGGCTACTAGAGGAAATAGCTTTAAAAATTGTCAGCAAAATGCATGCAAAAGACATCAGTATTTGTTAGCTATATCAGGATTTATCATTAAAAGCGAAAAAACAATTCACCATGCGTTGAAGTAGTACTACTTTAAATGTTGGTATTACATTAGTATATTTATACATTAGAAAATTTCATGAAAGAAGTAGGCTCAATACAATTTTTCCTATTGCTTGTTGTTTTATTGTAGATTTTTGACGATAAGATGTTTGGCGATTTATAACAAATTTGACTCAAAAATCGTTCCGCATTAAACTTTTCGCCATTAACCGCTATTTCACCTCAATCTCGGGCACAAGCAACACAAAGTAGGCTAACCATCTTTTTACCATTCTGGGTAACCACCTTTTTACAATGGGGAAACGGACAAAGGCATTCTCAGCGCGTCTTCATGCATCTGATACCAAAGGGACAAAACCTACCCCTGCATACTATAGCTTTAAGGTGATGTCATAAACATTTTAGCAATAAACTGAAGAGCTAACATCAAAATGGCGTCGCAGTTGCAAAAAGAGTCCGGCTTTTTCAGGGACGAAAATAAGTGACTAAATTTGGGGGGGCGTGGAATGATGAAAATTCCAACTTTACCTGAGAAATTTTTCTTTCGAACTGTACATCTGTATGTAGGAAATTTATATGAGGAAAAAGCCCTAGTTCCAGATTCCTAGTTCCTTTAAAATTACCAACATTTTACTAATAATAATTAGCATAAAGACACTGAAGACGATCAAGGAAATTTCTAAATTTGGATCAATGTAATTGGCAATAGATATATTTAACGATAATAGGTAACATTCTTTAAGTCAATCAACAACAATTCTTCTCTTTTTTTGCCTTGCCCATTTTAAAGCTATATGCTGAATATCAATTGCATCTAAAATGTCTCTTTCACAGTAGAGGAGCATCAACGAATTGAGCCTTTCGTCTTTCGTTCTTGCGCGAAGGAAATTTTTTGCAATTTTTAGACGGCTAAATGTCCTTTCGTTTTTCGCAACTGAAATTGGTGATGTGAGGGCAAGTCCATATGCCCGATTCGTTAAAGGAAACACTCTCCTTTGGCGGAACACTTCTGCTGCCGCTTCTGCAATATTCTCTGGCTTTCCAGCAGTTTTTTCAAAGCAATTTATGTAAGTCTCCATTTCCGCAAAAAGACTCCTTGCATCGGGCAGCAAATTGGCTGGACATAACTTGCATAAATCTTCAACATCTTGCATCTGCAGTGATTGAATTTCAAGTGGTGGTTGAAGAATAGACAGAGGCTTTACTTTTGCTATGCAGCTCTGCAAGTTATCAGAGAATTCGGCAATCAGGGTGCCAAGGACGTTTCTCATCTGGCTTCTGTAAAAAACTTGAAATGTTAAATGGGAAGCTGTTTCTGGATTATCATCTATCCTTCTGGGTGGCCTTATTGGCCTGTGAAACCTCTCATACTCTCTTTCTGGATCCACTCCCATTCGCTTTGCCAAAATAACAGCGGCTTGTATAAGGTTGTCGAATTCATCATCTGAAGAATACATTCTTTGAAGTGAATTGATACTTCCTTTAATTGCTGTTAATGCATCAATGATGTTCAGCTTTTCGTCTTGAAGATGTTCTGTGAGAATTTTGGTCTTCCACATAATGTTTTTCATGAACATCAAGAATGCTATAAAATCAAATCGAAGGATCTTTCTCATTAAAGCGTCTGCATCTGCAGCTATTCTTGGCTCTGCTGAAGTTTCCTTCACATCTTGCAGCGATTCAATGATGATTTCAAATGAGACCCATACTGCTTGTATTGACTCAGCACGGGTAGTCCACCTTGTCCTTGACAGATTCCTTAACTGAAGAGCGTTTTCAACTGCCTTGGTCTTCTCTGATATTATCGAATTTCGCTTTGTACTGCTTGTAAAAAACACGTAAACAGCCTCAAGCTGCTCGAATAAGGAAACAATCAAGGGACACGCACTGGAAGCATGCTCGACTACCGTGTTTGCCCTGTGTCCTTGACATGGAATGTATGGAACATGTCTCTTCAGTTCATTGGAAAGCATTGCCTGTGCTCCTTTACGCTTTCCAGACATTGTTGCAGCAAAATCATATGACTGAAATGCGATATAATCGCTGTTAAGTCCAGCAGTATATATTGTTGCCAATATAGCCTTTGCGTGCCCTAAACCAGTCTTATCTTTAAGCTCCTTTACTTCTAACAGTCTTTCTTCTGCCTCCCCATTACAGCCTACAAAACGTACAGCACACGACAGACGATCCTGGTGTGATGTGTCAGGCGTAGTATCAGCAAGGACAGAGAACAGCTTGGCATCTCTCACTCTCTTTGTTACTTCCTTGCGAATTTCGTCAGCAAGTAACTCAATGAAGATGTTTTGAGACTTTTGACTAGAATAGGTGACATGATATGGTCTTGAATATTTGTCATCTAACCAACTTTTCAATGTTGGTGAATGTCGTGCCACCAGCTTTAGAAGCTGGAAGAAATTACCATTCTCTTCGATATCACCTCTGAAAGCAAGACCCTGTCTTCCAAGTGTTCTAGTGATGTCTAAGAGAATTTCAATCACCTTTCTGTTTTGGATAACTTCTTTCTCTTTTTGAATTTCCACAGCCCTCTTACTTTTGTCGTACATAAGATTAATATGTCCTTCAATTTTGCAAAATGACGATAAGTCTGCAACAGCAGAACAATGTGCTCTTGAAGAAAAATGTTGCTCTAGCTTTCCCTTCTTTTCTTTGCCAATACTCTTCATTTTGTGCCACAGTCGTATACCATGCTTGAACCAAGCTTCATCTGACTTCTCTCTTTCTGGACCATGAGGGAAAAGAGAGCAAGCAAAGCAATATGCTGCATCCTTATCGATGCTGTATTCTAAATGCGGATACTCCTCAAACCACTGGGCGCAAAATCTACGTTGTCTTCCTGCAGGACAGGATTCGTTCAGGGGAAATTTTGGTAACGAAGGCTGCTGTGGACCAATCTGAAGAAGAAACTTTCTTTAAAGATCTGTTCTGATATTGGGCCTGTTTCCAGGGTCCGTAGATGTAATAGCCTCTTTCAGGTCATTCTCACTGAGTGGCACCTTTTCATGGGATAGTTTTTCCAGGGTAAGTTGACAATTCTGATGAAGATCCTTGATACTAGTATTAAGTGACTGACAAAAATAAATCGTTTGTTGAAGGAAAGAGCGGCAGTTAGGTACTTCAACATTTGATACCATGTGAATAAGTGACTTCTTTGATTCAACACTTTCGATGATCGCTGCTAATTTTCCTGCACATTGTACCCAAGTACACTGGGATTCAAGCTCTTCACTTTCAGGAATAACAGTTGCGATTGGTTGATCTTGATCTTGACCGATATCTTCGAATGATAATGATGGAAATGATAATCTTTTTTTGGTATTGTCTTTTAAGGTGGACGACTCTTCGCATATACTGTGTGTGCCATATTGCCCACCCTCAGCTGCCTCTGGTATTTTTGGGCTTGTCACCGATTCTTCAGTGTCTTTAATGGAATCCAATTGAAAAGTTTGCTCACTAGCCTCTGCCAAAGAAGCGATTATCTGAGAAGCATCAGAAGTCAAGCGAATTTCCTTTTCACTTGACGAAGCAGCGGCTGCAAAGGGGTTAGGGGCTGCACCACTCGTTTTATAAGGTATAGCTTTATTCTGTAACAAAAGATGACGATGCTGTATTTCGTTATGTGTCTTTCTGTAGTAGTGGTCAAACTCAGCACCACAAACTCCACACTGAACCTTTAATTTCTTCTTTGGTAGCATGATAGCAAATAAACGATTTATTGTTCATGGGCAACAGAAATTGAAAATTGCAAGAACATTTGTTTTCAAGATTCCGAATATAGAAGTATCCTGTGCCCAGAAAGAACACGAAACGCTGCATGAAACGGGACAACACAGACAGGAAGTAGGCTAAAGGAGGTCTACAAAGAACAGGGGGAGCTTAGCATTCACTCGGTTTTTATTTTATAAAGCGTCAAGAATTTCCCACTGTGGAATCCATGTTTTCCATTGTCTTTCGATTGTTTATTGGCGTTTATCCGGCATGAGCTCCACATGGATTCGACCCTGTGAAATTCTAGTACTGGAAGATTTTTAGTTTTTATTGAATTCTAATCGTAGTTTCTTAAAATATTCCGAATAAATTCTTTCTGATCAATACAGGGTATGAATTTTTCAAAAGTGTAGGCTCGATAAAATAATCTAATTCAAGTTAACCCCCGTCGACAAGAAACAATAACTCCATCAAAAAGCGACAAGAACATAAAAGGACAATAGGGTTAACGAGGTATCATTGGCGCAGTTTGAGATCCAGTGGAGACAGCGCTTCACAACAGAAAACGATTAGTAGATGGGTTCGCTCCTGTCTATGAATTTTTTTACATCTGGTAAAGACTTTTACTTCTAAAATCCCAAAATTGGGTCTTAAAAATAAAAAAATTCCAAGTGAACTGTTACGTTTTCCAACTGTAATTGGATTTTCCAACCTTTGGGGGGGCGTCACGCCCCCCACGCCCCCCTATTATTTACGTGCCTGGGCTTTTTAACCTGATATTCATCTGAGGCGAAAACATTTGATTTAAGAAACAATCATTTAAAAAAAACTCTAAATGATTGATGATATAATGTAATAGCTTTAAGAAGCAAACTAGGAGTACTAAAAAGTACCTGTCCACTTTCCAACGACTTTGACATGAACAGAAAAGTGATCATCTTTTGAGCTTTCTAGAGAACACTTTAAAATGATGTAGAGAATTAAGGATTTTACTTTGAGATGTTGACGAATAATATAAAAATGAAAAATAACAAATTATGAAAAAAAGATGATTGCCGATTTGTTCCTAAACAAAACAAACAGCTAAACATCATGGCCAAAAACAACAATAATGCAGATACTAAACTCCCATAAGCTCACTTGGACCCTCATTAGGACCATACAAGATATGCATTTAGGACAATAAGATTTAACATATTAATACAATCACTGATTTCATTGAGTTTTGGCTTACTTTAGTCAAGGTGAACGGGTGCCATTCAAAGTTTGCGATTTCTGGGCATTGTATTTGAATAAACTAAAAAAGAAAAAGTGACTCAATTTATGAAGATCAATCAATAAAAAAATCTTTCTGGAGAACGGCTATCCAGAGGATGTCATTTCAGTTTACATTAAGGAGAAGATAGCTAATTTCTTGGCTGACGTAAAATTTGGTCCCCAAAAGTGCCCGGTCTATCTACTTTGGATCAGTAACAGTTCCTTACATTTCGAAATACAGAAAAAACAGGCCGCAACAAATTGTTTATTGCCGCGAATCCACGCATTGTTTACGGTACAAAAAGGCCCTTCCCTCCATTCATAAGGATTACGTTCCTACCTCACAAAAAGTCATTCTTCCGTTGTACATGAATTTACGCGCCAGTGTGATTTTGTCTACGCAGGACGCACTACCCAAAATTGGAGGATAGAATAAAACAAAATGTTCTGTCTAGAATTAGAAACAAAACTCATCCTCAAAGAGAACAGCCACCTCGGTCTTGCCGATCTAAAAGTACAACTAAAACCTGCGATTCTGCTATCGGGCAGCATTTACTGAAAAACCCAGATTGTGCAAAAATTTATAATGGTGACATGTTTCGGATTATTGGAAAAGCCCGATCGTCGTTCCATCTAGCAATTTTAGAATCTATCTACATAAGCACGAAAAACCACTATTGTGTAGACAAAAGGAGTTCGTTTTCACCTTAGGACTCCATTGGTAACATCATTGGCAAGCGGCACTGATTGGTAAACCTTAAAAGTCATGTGCTCGCGTTTCTGATTGGCCTATTTCGATCCACAACTGGGTATAGATATTTCCTAGCGTAGAGTTTTCGATCTATGTTCTGACGTTTTAAACTCTGAAGAGTGTTAGACGAAAAGCTTTAGTTTACTAAATGTTTGCTTTTTTCAAAGCCATTTTAAGAAAAGTTGAAAAATCGTGAAGCAGAAACCAAGTATGAAAGCTCATTAGTATTAGTAAAAAAAGTCTAGTCAAATTATTCTAAATTACTTGTTTAAAGTGTCTTCCTTATGTACCATGAACCATTGGAGATTATAGAAATATTATCAGCTAACAGGCTGAAGTTTTCAATGTGTATGGAATTTAAAAGTCTGAATAAAAGAACAACGACTTTAAATCCTCATTAGTAATCATGCTTGAATTTAACTCACAGTCGAATTTACCCGTAGAAATATTATCCAATTCTTGGTTAGCAGATAAAAGAAAACATTTTCGTCCCTTGAAATGATTTTTCTCAGAAATTGCCAATGTTTTTACTACCCTTTCACATGTAAAGCAAATCAAGTGAGACAAATACCATATGGAGTCAATTCATTATACTTGTCTAGAGAACAGATTTTTTGAACCACGAAGAACTGAATAGTTTTGGCACAAGTTACACAAGTCTTAGATACACAAGTTTTGGCATTTTGTATCTAAGACCGGTTCTCTAACTTCACATTTGATAAGTTTTATAAGTGTTCATGACCATATATCAGCTTTCCAGTTTCACTGAGCCAGCTAACCAAATTCACAATTTGTAAAGAAGACTGCAAGCAAATATTTTGGGCACCCCCTTCAGATATTGTTTGACCAAGGGACTACTGTGGAGCCTTTTTCACCATATCCAAGACCTGTTTACATGGAGGCAGAATCATTTCTACCTATTTTTGCATGGAAAAATTCTATCCTAGTTTCCCGAGCCAGTCTTTGTTTGTAAAGGTGTTTACGTATGAACGATAGCTGTCTTGCCTGGCCAGGCCATGTAAACACACATTTAAAACAAAAGAAGCTCTTTTTCATGTTCGTTTTGTGTTTTTGTGGATCCTGTCTAACCGAACTGCCCTTAAGCTCAGCCAAATGAAATGAAAATGCAGTTTAGTGTTCTGCTTGATGCGAACTCCTCTTCCATGTAAACAGGTCTAGATCTGTACCCCCATACTACATTGCAAGACCAATTGCTGGGCATGCTTATTCTCAAACATACATTTCGAACATACCTGTCCTGGCTGAGCTGCGAATCCATGCTGAACCAGCTGAAGCTCAATAACATTGCCTTCATGCCAAATGGCCTAATGGATACATGATAATGTTATGGGTGTACGAAAAAGTAAATTGATATAGTAAAAACAAATTTAGTATGGATAAAAACTTGCTTCTCGTTAAACGCAACCGGCAAGTGCCTGTGACCCTGAAAAGGATGTCCCAGAATCCAAAATATCAGGTCATGATAGATAGCCTTGAAGAGAATAAGCAATCAATTCACGTGGTCTGCCAAAGGAAAATGTTTAGTTGTTTATTTAGGCCCTTCAAACATGCGCAAATAATTTTTAATTAGTTTATTTCAGGAATATTTTGTAAATTTTTAAAGAAAATATCAAGGTTGAAAGTTACCTTTTTAATATCAACATGTTTGCTTCCCCTCCACCTTCTGATTAGGCGATCAAATATATACAACACCAAAGGGACAATTATCCATTTCCAGGCCTATTCGTAAAAAGACAAAAATGGAGCCGAAAAACGACAAAATATGACTTTGTAACAACAGAATGCAACCAAATAGCGACAAAATAAGATACCATGGCGAATTTCTACTGTAAAAAAACAGTCGTTATGCCAAGAGCAAATGATGACCTCGCCATCGAAGCTTTAAAAGCTGCCAAGTAAGATAACATTCTCTATTTGCGTACCTGTGCAGGGTCTTGATCGAACTGAGCATGCGCTCGGCAATATACCTTGTCATCAGGAATGCTATTGGATGCGCGATTCGTTTCGTTTGTGTAAACACATCCTGGCCAATGTTCAATGAGATTTTTCTGCCTCTTTATGATGCACCTGAAAAAAACTTCAATCAACCAATGATATGCTACGGGAGTGCGCATGCGTGAAATTAAAAATTTCAGATTGCCTTTCTCGTCATTATTTTACATTAATATATCAACTTGCAGTTACTACAATCCTGCAGATTGTACCTTTACGCGTAAATTGATAACTTATTCGAATGACCAATTGCCCACATGCAAAGCGCATAACTCAAGCCCACGATATATAGCCCTGGAAATATGAATGCATCTCTGGCTTGGTCGTAAGCCTGCTTAAGGAGAAACAAACGGAAGGCCTCAGTGCTTTCGCAAATCTCCTGGGAAGGTCTGAGACAAAGGTCATTCAAGGCTCTAGCAGGGCCCCTTCTTAAGGAGGGGTGGGAGATTAGAAAGTTCCTGGCGTACGGCAATGGCACAAGACGCGAAAACGCCCGATTAGTGGGTTGGACGCTGATGCCGCAGTGCGCTTAGGCTGAAAAACTCCCATGGCCAGCAACTTGAGTGCGATTGGCAGGGTGACATCCTTGTGACGTCACAACTCAATTCAGACTACTCTACGACCAAGTTCCTTTTTCAGCGTGACAATATTATTTATTGCAAAGAGAACAGTAAAATCCTAAATGAAGGAGGTTTTTAAAACAACGAAATAAAATGTTCAACAGTTTTAACTGACGCGACAGGTAATCTGTCTGATAAAATTATCATTAACATCGTGATTTGCTAGCTACCGAAGATATCAAGTAACACAGACGCTATTGATGAATTCAACTATTTTAGTTACTCTGCTGCATTTGAAAATACAACACAACTTAATATGTGGTAAAATGACAACAAAAACGTGGTAATAATCAACTACCTGAAAAGGAACTGTTACGTACAACAACATTCTCCTCTCATTCTCCTCTCAACATTCTCAACAAACGGACGTTTCGATCAAAATTGTTCATCAATATTGTGGCTGTTGGAATCACTTACCCGTAACTGTGAAGGAGCAGCAAGCCAATGAATGGAAACGCTAAATGATGAGTATACCAAAATATGACGTAATTTTGTCGCCTGAGAAGCAAGAAAATAAGGATTAGTTTTAAGGCTTTGATTCAAAGTGGATAATTGCTAAGTCTGATTCGCTTCCACCTCACTCAACTTTTGAAAAATATAACGAGAATTGGGCAGGTGGGATTCAATTATTGTTTGAAAAATATTGTCTTGTTCTGATAAAAACATAGTCTGGTGTCAGCCTAGTCTGGCAGTCTGGAAAACGACGAACTAACAGCCGAAGAAGAAAATGTCAGTTAGAAGACTGTTTTAAAGAAAAAAGAACAATTTCGTCAAAGGTCAACATACCGTACAGATGGGATAGAAGATGTGAACTGAAACGAAAAGAAAAGCCTTGAAATATTTTGAACTTTCACAACTCTGAAACTGACTTGTGCCTTTTCAGTGAACCTACCTGATGGATCCATTGGAAAATCAAAAAAATAAATGATCTAAATTGACCAAGTCTGTGCGTCAGTATTCATAATCCATCAAACGGTAGTTACTACCAATGTAATGTTCCTTGAAGTGTTGGCAACAGAATAGAACAGAATATTTGCATGAAATGAAACAGAAATAGCATACCATGAGCACTAGAATGACAAGCATGAGCAATCCCGTGGCTCCAGTTGCTGGAATGAAAAGACATTTTTTAACCAAAGTCAATGACAAATGACAATGACAAATGACAATCAACCATGTGACCATCCCTATTTCTATTCCCATAATTTTACTCAGATTTCACCACTACAGACTGATGTGATCAGATCTTGACAATAAAAATTTGCTTTCTCGTGCAACAGCAATAATGAATAATAAAAACTGGAGCAACAACTACGAACAAATCTGGATAAAGTCAATTTTTACTCCTTATCTAGAAAAATGCCCGTCAATGGTGGCATCACGTAGGGCTTTGGGACACGTTCTCCTGCACCCTAGTTCTCGACGGGAGTCAATTTGGCATTTCAGTTAAATTCGACGATGAAAAATGTTAGGGGAAGAGTAATATTTTGGTAAGAGTGATTCTGCGATTTCGAAACTGATTTTATGGAACCGAAAGTTAGAGATGAGCTTTCGTATAGGGAGAATTTGTCTTCCTTGCTGTTAAAAGAGCGTTTTCTTACAGAATGAAGGGTGTGGCCTTCAAATTGTTTATCCCCCCCCCCCTCCCCCTACTCATCCACTTTGCAGAAAATGTTGTATCTTTGTGTCATTATTCTGTTATCCATGAACATAGCATATATAACAAATGGGGCTAATGCGAAGGATATTGCATTAAGAAATGCCTCCAGTTGCTGACACGTCATTATGGTACATGTTAAATTTGTGTTAAAACTAAACACCCTCCCAGCTCCCAGCTTTTTATGCAAAATCCCATTTCCATTACGCGTTGATCTCGCAGAGTGGGTGAAAGGGCTCAATGCACTAGCCATCCGTGTCCGATAACGATTTTCCCGGTCCCAGTCGCCTTAATCCCAGTTTCAAGTGAGGAAAGGAGCAAATATTGTTTCCCAGTTTGCCGCCTTAGGACCCGGCAAATACTAAGTCGGGAATTTCTACTTGTAAAAAACCTCTGCTATACAGATCATTGTAACGGGATTTCGATGGAAAACTCAAATAGACCCCGGTAATCCCAGTCAAACTGGAACGTTGGTTTATAAAGCGGATGACAGGAAAAATAAATGCTTTTATTGTCAGCTTGTTATGCAGATATAAGCACTCCAATCGCTTAACCTTTTAAACTGCTAACAGACAAATATTGTCATAAAAGAAATTTCACATTGAAGCGAGGCCAATGCTTTATTGTGCGTACCAGTTGAAGACATCTCTTTTACAATTATGATAAATAATATGGCTTATAAAAAGAAACAATATTATACAAAGATAGCAAAATCGAACTCACTTGTAAAGAAAACTGAATATTTGCCCATCTGTAAGCATAAAATGAACCACTTGTTAATTCATTTGTTTTATTAACTTACATATTGAGCTAAAAAATACTAGCATGGTATTTTCCAAATCAGTTAATGTGTGTTGATGAGCATATTCAGAAATTGAATCTATTAACTTTGTTATTACAACTGAAGCTTCAACCAGCTCTAGGATCATTGTTGCAGAAGCTAATGCACAAAAATCTGGGCAGAGCAGCAGCATATGGCCAAGGGACATCCAGAACAAACATTGAAAAACTGCTTGAAGGAGATGTAAGAGGCAAAGTTGGGCAAACCAGTAGATTGAAATAGAAAAGAACTGGCTGCAACGGGATAATTTTAAGAGTTCGACAAATCAGATCAGTACAAATGCTTTAAGAAAACAACATGTTTTTCATGCATTGGCAAAATTTTAGCATGGTATGCGTTGAACTTTTATCATATTTTGGGTTTCGTGGTTTTCTGTCGTTTACTCTCTCCGTGGCTTGCTCTGGAATGCATTTTTCTGATAAAAGCCACAATTGCTTTTACACAAAGCAGAAAATTAGTTAAAATTCATTCACCTGCTCTTTTTTAGGAAATAAATTCACTCCAGGGTGTTCTTCGTTAAAATTTTCGTTAAACTGGAAATTGTTGATGCAGTGGGCGACTGTGTGAACAACTGAAACGGAGAAAAAAGAAAAAGTTAAAGACAAAAATGAAAATGCAAAATGGAGACAAAGCTTTCGATGATTAGAATTATACCTGTTGATCAAATTACACTATTTTTCATTTCATCGTGCATTTTTCCATATTTTTCATGATGTTGCTAAGAAGCAGAATGACAAAATTCTTACTTGATAATAAGCAAAGCATCAATCCACAAAGAATGTGCATGGACTTTTTCTCATCCAAAAGTTTTCTTATTCCAGGCACGCAAAGCTACGAAAAACGAAACTGTCAGTACGAAATTAATCCAACTTCGAAAATAGTTAAAAAATATCGCAAGGCCGTTTGGTTGATTGATAATAGTCTTCTTTCCACATCTTTTTAGGTGAAGTAAATGGAATTAAAATGAAGTGCTGATCGTGCCTTGCTTTGCTTTAGCAGGTTTCAGCTAATGCAGTGATTATGAAAAGCAATAACTATCATTTGCTGGTAGAAACTGGCAAAACAAGAAGCTGAGATTACACTGAGAAAGTGGATTATTTTGGAGAACATCATGTAAATATTTACTGGCTTACCTTGGAGACGAGGTTGCGTAGAGAAGAGACAAATGTTTTGCACATGGAAAGCATCACTGCCAAAATATTGAAGCAGATGGTAGCAGCAGATGCACGGGCAATACACAGGGAGTCCTAGCAAAGAATATACTGTTTTACATTAAGGGTTGGTAATGTACAAAAAGTCCCAACAAACAGAGTACTTTTATAGGTAAGAGGTGGGAAAGATTTGTAAAGCTAGTCTTAAAGAAGTTGCTGGCCAAAATGGTGACTCTTGCATATATCATTGTGGGTAGGCATTCGATGAGATAGATAAACAGCTTTAATTTTGTATTTTACAAAAAGTCAACGGCCTTTATTTCATCAAAGCAAACATAATCTTAAGGGTTCAACTAGTGCATAAAGCTCGATACGAGATGAGCAAAACAATTATGATTAGCAAATATGTTTTTAAGCAACGTTAACGAAACCAGTGCTGCGAACCAAAGTAAATAAATCTGAAATTATTTGTATTACGAGTACGATCAATAGAGACATACCCCAAGCATTTGATGTAAGTAAAAGTATTGGGCTTCTTCGTGATATTTTCGGTAGGTTTTGTAGAAGATGACAAGGTTTGCAGTTAACAGAAAAACCTGGAATAAATTTCAGATTTGTTAATATAGTTATGAAACATGTGAGATTCATGAGAGATCGACAGGTTTAAATATTCAAAATAAACAACAAAGTTAAACTGACATCAAATTTCAATTAAGAAGAAATGTCGAAAAAATGATGAACATTGTCATCTTCTAAAAATGATGAATATCATATGATCAATAATCAAAGAGAAAAGAATTGGAAGCAAGTGTCACCACCGGGGCAGGACTCAAACCCCTTGCCAGTGATAATACTTTTTCATTCACAGCAGAATATCACTCCCTGTTTAGAAATGCTAGAATGAGTTCGAAGCTAAGTTTGAAAAAAGTGCAAAATTTCACTGCATTACAATAACAGAGAATATAATTTGACCCTTAAATATTTAATTAATGGAGTTCAGTAGCAATGTCTTAAGGCTCCGACTGACTTTAAAAAAATCGTTTCTGGCCACAATTCACAGCAATTGAAATTCTGCGGTAAGGAGGCTAATCACCTGGAGCCTCTTTGTCAACTTTAATCGACTCAAAAAGAAACAAAAGGATTTACGGACTTTTGATAAGGGTTTTGGTTTGACAGCAACGAAACGTAGGTACCGTTTTAGTTTGATGTTTAACTAGATGTTAAGACAAAACGGCCATTCAGAACAATGTGTTCTTTTCAGGTATACCCTTGCCTGGGTGGAAAATTGATGTCTTTTACCAAATTGACAAGCAGTTGCTATAAACTCTCTTATGGCCTTCATAAATTAACAGGTCATTTTGTAATTGTTTCACTTTTGCCTTAGTGATTATCTGATGGATAATGAGAAAAACGCAAACTCTCGTTAATCAAAACAAGCTATCTTCATTCAACAGACTTCGTTGAAAATAAAAAGTTTTAACTTGGGGTCTAACCATAACAGCAGCAGCAATAAACAACATCAGCCACATCATTCTCAAAACAAAGGGACCCCCAACAAAATTGCACGAAGAGGGGTGCTGGTCAACCCATCAGTGTTCGACTAGTAATCAAAATGGATTATTGAAGCTGCCGAAACCTATTGTCAACAAACGATCCATTGATAATATATAATGTAAGACCGGAAATTCCCTTGATCTCTCTTGCCCACAGCCAACCCAGAACGACACTCGCCTTCAGGTGAATGCTTAGAAAATATTTTCACAGATTAACAACTTCAACTAATTAACAAAGTTCTGATTTCGGAAGAAAATACTAAGAAACATACGAAAAGCAAGAAAGATAGTATAAGACCTGGAAAGACACGGAGAAAACAAGGACAGAACTAAAAACGATATTAGATTGCAGGAATGTCGGTACTTACAAAAATTGCTAACTTCCAAATATGGTTGTGCCAAATACTGCGGAAATTCCTTGCCATGATGAAAACTGACTGATGCTCTTTGCTTGAGTTTCACTTTATCTGGGTTTTATCACATTCGTTGAGAACGGCTCCTGTTTTGGGTACGTAGAAATAAGTCCTTAACACGGCCGTCACGATCCACACAAACTGACAAAAGGGGTCCCTCAGGCTATTTGTAGTCAAATCACGGAAGACGGTATCTATTGGTGAAACCACAAACAGTATGGATTGTTTATAACCAATTTATTCTGAAGTGATTGTGGAAATACTTATTATGTATACGAATGCGACAACTTGTATCAAACATACTTTCTCGACTATATTTACCAACGATAACAAGTTAATTGCTTAGTATGAAACGATAAGTATTAAACATTTGATGTCTAACATTACTGCTTGAAACCACCAAAAATAACTTCCATTGTGTTTTAACAAAATAAACTATTTTTCTATCAAGAAATATTTTCCAATTAACTCATATTTGGTAAGGTTAATAACCTTTCATGGAAACAGACACAAAAGATTTCATTCACTGGCTCGATGATAACTTGTTCGGCGTGTGGACTCTCTTGGAGGCCTCTTTAATCAAGATAACCTGATCTATCGCGTTTGGGTCTAACCTAGTGTTGGTTCCATAACGACCAACTTCAACGTGAGAGTTGGTAGAAACAATTCTGGTTAACCAAGACACAGGATCCTTTTCTTTTTTTAGCGCAAAAATTCAAGTCGAAAATAGTATCATTACTATGGTTGAGTTTTCTCAATGAAATTTGATTCACCTTGACCTCATTCATTCCCCGGCTTTTTAATTAGCATTCTACTCAACATCTGTATAAAGGATTCTTGTAAATTGCGACTTTTCTTCTTGGCAGAAAATTCCTGATATGTTTCAAAATGACATTCATAAAGCTGTGGTACGCCTCCCAACGACCTTTAAGTCTCTCAATTTGGGAACGCCTTCGGACAAATGGCTGTCTCTATTTAACGCCCATTGCAACTAATCTCTCGTAAATAAACGCTCCCTTTAGAAATCTACCTTTCTATTTTCATGAGCCCAAGTGCCAAATGCAAAGAGAAATCATTGCTGTAAAGAACTGTGCAAGTTTTTTCTAATAAAAACGTCTATAAAAACCCAACACTATCTTAATAAACCTGTAAAAAACTTTTAGGACCGTAGACGTATGATATAAAGGGGCTGGGGGGGGGGGGGCTGCAGCCTAATCAAGCAAAATTGATCGAACTTCAGGCCAATTCGAGTAATTTATCGTAAGGCGACAGTGTTCGGTCAAGACCCATTCCAACCCCAAGCGTTTATTTTAGTCTCCACTACGTCCATGTTTAGCAATGAAACGAACATAAAACGACGATACTGTGCATTCATCATGAGCTTAGATTCTGATGAAAAATGCATTAATATTTTTACCGACGGTTTGAAGCGCAGCATAGAAATGACCATTCTTTGTTTGAAGGGGGCGCGCTAGATTCGAATGTCACTAAAAGGGCTATATGTAAAAGAGTTGAAAAGGCTTTTTGTAAAGTGTTTAAATGACTTGATATTTAAGTTGGCATTTGTGTGCCAAACCACATATCGAAATTTCCTACAATTCTTTTTTTATAGCAAAACATGTGTTAGCCAAAAGCAAGTCACAATAAAAAATAAGTTGTTGTGTTACGCTCGTATGAGGTATTTAATTTTTGTTCACAAGCACCAAAATTTGGAGTAACGATGAAATTTAATTAGATTTATGTTGACTGTATCGACGAAAAGATAAGAAATATTTCCTATCACACACAAAGTAAATATGGCTTTTTCCGATTCACCGTGAATTGAATGCAAAAAGGTTTTACATCACAGGAAGGGAGCAAATCATTATTTAAAACAAAGACGAAACACAGGAAGGTGAAAGAAAAATCTAGCTTCAAAATCCAAATTTACCTTGATAATGTATTCTCCCCGTTCAAAACGAATCCATTCAACCTTCGACAAAATTTGCTCCTCCAACTGTAGGATGTGTGCAGTGTTCTCAACCACACATTTGCCAAAGATTCACTTGTTTTACCCTCTACAATAGGATTAAAAATCGATCCAATTCATACAATTCTGAAACAAAGGTGTAGTGAAAAGTCACGGGGGTACACTAGGAAAGTTCTGTCCGCGGCATCGTGCCAAAAAGGGCACGACAGGAGCAAACAAAGAACAACAGCAACCACGCTTCAGATCTACTCGTTCACATCTGAAACGACAGGATATTTATTAGAATTACAAACATACAACTATCTCAATAATAACGAAGAACGAATTTCCTTAAAAAATAAACACTTTGAAGAGGACTTTTTACTTATCAGTTGTTCATAAAAATTAATGATAGAAATTTCTTCTGTGTCGTTTCGAGCTTCTGTGTCACTTGAAAAGCCATACCCAATCTCCAGCAAAATCCAGCAAAATCCAGCAAAATCCGGAAAAGGGCTTTAAGAATTGAATATTAGGGTGGTAGCTCAAGCTTCGTAGAATTATTAAAAAAGACCGTTCTTTCACTATGCATCAAAATAATCGCCTCTCTTGCTTTGTAGAATTGTATAAGACACTATACAGTAGTGTCCCACATAAAAGAAACAATATTTTCAATTTCAGGTCTAACTTTTTTCTTATAAGATAAGATAAACTACAAATCAGGGAAAATTTCTATGATTTTGATAAAAAACATATAATTTAAGCATGACAAACAGCACTGCATATCTTATTCAAATGCTTTAATAAATATAGTTTTTATAAGAAACATGCTTTTCAGACCTGTCCAATTTCCTATAAAATGGGATATTTTTTTGAAAAACATGATCTTTTTTCTTAAAGTTATGTTTCTTAAATGCGGGACACTACAGTATTGTAGGCATTAATCGCAAACCATTTTAACTGCACTGGAGGCTTTCCGTTGGCATTGCGACACCCTTAATTGCTGGGCCCACATTGGGAAGGCTTACGACATTCGTCACGTTGCGGTAGACCACTACTAAACGATGGGGAGGAGGATCGATGCATCATCGTATTGGTTGCATTCACTGATCAGTGGTTGCACTCGATCGCAAGGCCAATGGGAATGGAATGACGTCATAAATGGTGCCTTCGAACAACACGAGAATTTAATTGTGTACAAACTTGCTTTTTAAGTACTGAACATTAATTAAACTTTATGACGATTATTTTAAATTAAAAACATTTTATCAATGCTCGTTAATTAAAAATCAAACAATGGGTTCTTTCACGATTTCCTCTTGTGTCTCACAGAGGAAAGGTTTTGAAACATATGACCGGGGGTTATGTTCAATCTTAGCAAACCTCCATCTCAGATTATCAGCAACATAACAAGCGAACACCATAATCATCACGGTCACCACCATTATCCTTTCAATCACAATCAAAACCATCGTCACCGCTCTTTCCAATTTGCGCTGATTAGCATAGCACCTTGTGGAAGACATTCCAGATGGTATTGTTGCCAGATAAATGTCCAAAACGCGGAGAGGGCCTGAGGGAGATAGGAAGTGAGAAAAGGTGGAGCTGCGGAGAAGTGGTGAGGAGGGCGGAGGAGAAGAGAAAACGAAAAACAGCCTCTGTGAAAATGTTTTGTACTTGCGTTGAGATGTGATTGCTGTGGCAAACGGAGCCCAAGACCATCAGGAGGTTCACTTTAATGTCGTAAACGGAAAAACTGCTTGCTTTGTGTTATTTGTAGAAAATATCATTAGATTCTATTAAAAAAGCAGATGGCACCAAACAACACTTTGAGACAATTGACGTGGAGAGATTTAGCGACATTGTAATGATCAAATGCACAAATGTGCACAAGTCACTCGAGAATTGCACGGAGGAGACCATAGACAAACAAATGTATCCTATTGACTACGAAAAACTCAAAACAGACTTGTTTATAGGTATTTTTCATTTCTTAATTACAGACAACATTTATCGTTTTAACGGTTGAAGAACGCGCAGTGGTTTGCTGCTTGCGGCCTGTGCACTAAAAACCGCACTTCCCTTATCTTCCACAGCCTCCTTTATCCTTTTTTCCCTCTCCGTCTCCCTCCCTAATAGCCTCTGTGGAAGAGTAGAGGGTCGTTTGCCACCCTGGTAGTACATTATGAAAGCTTAGCAGGGATCAAACCAGATAAAAAGTTGATACACCTAACATGTGTTCGCATGGACGAAGTGAATGCAAAGCGCCAGGGGGGCTAAGTATGGATCTTCCCTAAAATTATCGATCGCTTCATTGAAATAGAACTGACCGAATGGAGCTTGAAATACAATTAATTATGCCTGCGTCTCCTACGCTTATGTGCGTTCATACGATCAAAGATTTTTTCAACTGTTCGAAGGTAACATTATCAATGTTGCATTGAAAAACGCATTTGCACCAACTCTGCGCAACTGAACCAATGGTAAACATGCGATTATTTTGTACTTCTTGGGGTGAAAAAAACAGACCTTTAGCTTTAGTCGCTTCATTCAAATTTAAGCTTTAATTGAGAATTTGACGAACAAAACAATAAAAAAGAACTCTTACAGGAAGCAAAAACCAGCTACACGATAGCGAATACAGAATATCTAATTTTCAATTAAAATTCGCGCTACCATTTACCTCTTGCAAATAAACAATGATACAGGGCTGGGGGATGCACGTGAGCTCTATATTCTCTTCAAAATACAAAGCAAGTTTGGGATGAGAATTAAAGTGATCTTGTGAGTGGGAATTTTCTGCTGACATAAGCTACGTGTTTGTGGGTTCTTCATTTCTTCCTAGCATTCATCAGACTTGCAAATCGTTGCTGCTAGCACGATCAATGGCGAAACTATGACATTTAAACAAGACACATGTAGAGAGATTCTCATAGAGAATGCATCTGGGGGCGACGGGAAGAGGGGTCAGTTGAAGGTCAGACAGAACCAGAATTTCCACTGATCGCTCTTACCACGTAACAACAGCTTACACGGAAATGAAAATATATTTCGTTCAATTTAAGTTTTGCACTCAGGCTAATGTTTGCAGAAGAAGGTGCCTGCCGTGAATTGGTCGTCAGATTCGTGTTAAACGAAGCTACGTATTCGACAAAAAGTGCAAATAAATTACCGATTACAAAAATTGTACTTTGGCAGGCTTTACAAATGCAGTATGTCACATCGCAACGTAGGAGATATAAACTGAACACAAATAGCAACTTACCCAACAATGAGGCAACAATAGAAGGTAGGCATTGGGTATTTACCCTTAGAGGCTATGTGGAAACACATCCTAATGGCTTAGCTGCTAGAATGGCCTTTCGAATGGCCAAAGAGAACAAATCTACACTATTACAAAAACGTTAACTGATACATCTATCGATTCATAACCACAGCCACAATATAAAAAGTAAGAGACACGGAACTGATGATGAGATTGACATGAAAAAGCACATTTTAGGGTGAAACCTTCTCTGATCATGGTGCAAGAAACAAAGGGGTACCCAAGAATATTTTACAGACAATTTTTTAATTCATGGCGAGTCATTTAAACCATGCTGCTATCTAGATAAATACCAAGAAATATTCTTGATTAGAAAAATGGGGAACCAATAAGCGACAAGGGCTATTGCAATGGGCAACTGATGGAACAAATTAATGGACGACCTAACTCAACATAGAGAGAAGGCACTGATTTAACTTCAGAGGGTCCAACAATTCCTAACAAAGAGGAGCCGATGATCCTAAACATGATGAGAATAATACTGTAGTGAAATTTGCTGCACAGATCTTCCTTTCCCCAATATGATATAACATCATCACAAAAATATCCTGCAACAAGACGCTTTGAAAATCGCTCACCTAATTTTACTTACTCAGTAATCAATTATGTCAAAAACACGATACGCAGATTCAACAAAATGGTTTAAGGCACAGTAATTTTAAAATGAATATCAAAATCAGAAATACGGAGGGGGGGGGGCTGTTAATGAAGTGAAAATAAGTCTGTCTTGAAATTGTCAGTTCCTGCACAGTGTCATGAAGAACGAACTGTTCAAACCCTCAAAGCTTTGCTGTACAAAGGAAGGTCATAGTGGCTACCTTTCTTCCTCGTTTGTAACTTTTAATCATAAGGTGTCTCATAAATGCACTCGGTTAAGGGTCATAGGATACATATGATAGGATACATATGGGTGCATTGAATGATAAATGGGAAAAGAGCTGACGTGTAATTAACTTGTGACTTGACTGCCGTCTCCTAGATCACATAAAACAAGAAATATTGAAACTAATGTGGTTTCGCGATGACGCGGTGAAATAGAGTCCTTAACGGAGCAACATCTATCCGGCGCTACGTCCATAAGCATTAATGACGAAACTACCATGCTACATCTCGTTATTGCTGAACTATTACAATTTTGCAGCTGCGCGGCTCTGGTAGTCTACTTGACCACAACACGTGCATACCCATACATGTGTCTACGAAACTATTGAAAACTCATCAACAGAATTGAATTACTCTAGGGGGTACCTTGGGCCTAGAAACACTCTTCTAGTTCTAACTGTCCCTCGACCAACTGCCACAGTCTGTTTTCTTCGTTGCTTTGGTCTTGTTCACTTTTACTAGAATTGTTTTTATCTAATGAATTAATGAGGTTCTCTTGGTTTTCAGCCATTATATTTTCAGCATCATTCCAGAGTTTCTTTTCTTCAATCGAAGATGACATGTTTTGATTTTCCTCCTTAAAAAAGAAACTCGTCCATCATTAACTTGCATAAAATTTTTTCAACTTTTATAAATGAAAAATCGCATATCGATAAAAAAGGAAGCGATGGCAGACACAATAGCTAGATTGCGATATATTTACATTTTTATTAATGGCGGCATCTTTATTAAAGTTGTTTTCCAATCCATTGACTGTCGCATCGCTTGATTCATCCTTTTCTTCGCCCTCCTTGGCGTCCTCTAAAGCTTGCTTGTCGGCTTCGGTAAGCGACGCCACGTCCTCAAACTTGTTTTCGTTCGAGATCGCTTGCTCATTCACACTCGGTTTAGCTGACACTGCAGCGGGCTTCACGACCTCCCCCTCGAGGCTCTCCTCTTCGCCAAAGCCATTTTGCGAGTCGCCTGATCTTCGTTGGTTCTTCTCAAGAAGTTTCTGTACTCGATCTCTAGCTGAATTGGCTGAGTCAATAACAGGTGGGGAACTCTGAAAGCGAACAAATTCATAAAAAGTATTTAAAGGAAGGAAATTTCTTAAATCAGAGTAACTTTTAGCCTTACTTGACATACAGGTTTTAGCTCCACTTAGGACATGAATGATAAATCTTTGAAAACATTTTCCAGAAAATCCAGAAAACTAAGCACAGATTTCGCATTTTCAGATTATTATTCTAACTGGCACAGCCGACAATCCAACAGCACAGTAACCACAACTGCGATAATTTTAAAAACAGGGTTTAGAATCCATCATCAGCGGTTCCTGGAAAATCCTTGGAATTAAATGCTATCCACAAAACACTTTTTCGACCAATATCCAAAAATTGATGAAGCATAGGTTCGTCTTGGCATAAGAGAGAACAACCTTGCCCTATTACTCCTTTACTGGAATATCAATAATAAAGGCTGCGGCATTCCAAAGGAAGCATGTTAAACAGTTTTCCGCCAGTAAAATGGAAACTTTTTCTCCATATTTTGTTTTAATCTCAGGCAGTAAAACCATCTTAAATGCATTATTTCGCGTGTTCTTTTGGTGTGAGGAGAGAGTAAAGTAGTGTTTAAAAGGCTTTATAACATCTCCATTGAGGCAAGATTTTACAAATTGGCAGGCTCGCTTCTGATTTGCACTGCTGACAGAGCGAATTTCCTTGGACTTTACCATTCGCTCTGCCATTTTGTGTAGTGAGATCTCCCTGTGTAGCTGTAAGACAAAGTAGGTGTAATCCGCGGTATGTAAACGCTGGCAGTACCATGATTTGGTAGATCGACTTGGCAACATTAACATCCATCAAGTATCTCACTTTCGCAAGTAGGTTTAGACGCGTCAACGCTTTCTTTTAATCCCCTCTAGACCACCTGACCTAAATAAATACAACCTATGTACGGGGGGCTGGGGAGTCAGGCATTGGGCGTTTGTGTATTGGCCCATGCCTGCCTGACCGAATTAATCAAAATTTTACGGTCGGTGATTGGCAAAAGTAAATTTCCGGCAGGCCGCCAATACATCAGTTCCGCAGACGAAAGGATGTCTGCAGAAAACAACGGTAGGTAGAAAAGATCGGAGTATAGGAAAGAAAAGGGGGCTGGGCGGGTGGAGAAAAAACTGCAATAAACTGAGTAAAGGTTGCTTGTCGAACTGCTAGCAAAGATAACTAGTGCTCAAGATGACCCAATTGGTAAAACCGGTTTAAAATGAAATAGCCGGACTGGTGCAGCGCAGTAACCGGGTGGTACCAACGTGGGTATTAACTCCGGTTAAAGGGGGAGGGGGGCTCTAACCGCTATGTAACATCAACAAGAGGTATTAAGTAGGTAAACAAAAATACCTCTCCTGGGGCCTCTTCTGGACTTCCAGTTGCGAACGGAGTTGGCGAAACCGGCCTTTCTGACACTGGAGAGCCTCGGATCCGTGAGCCAAGGATTTCTTGCACTCTCTGCCAAGAAAATTAGAGTATGATTTTGCAGCATTTTGAAACGCAACTGGTTACCGTAAAACCTGAAATTGACACTGTTTAGAAGGGGGCTTATACAAGAAGTGGGCTTACAAAAATCAGCTCCAGGTTGCCATACAAATAGCTCGTTTTGTAGCCCTCTCACAACTTTTAAGTTCCTTTTATTGAAATGTTACTTTTTACTTTTACAAAAAAATTTAAACGATTAAACCAAACTTTAAATAAAAGCTCAAAGAGAAGTATTAAAATATAGAAAAAAAGAAATTGTCTTAAAGGAAAGTTTTTACAATTACCAAAGACACAAATGGAATTAGCAGTAAGCTTGAATCATCAGTCTGATTTCTGAATAAATCAATTTCAAACGAGTGCATCTGGCCCTCACATGTTTAAATAGCTCAAAAATAAACATTCACGGAAACCATTAAACCTGATTTGCGTACCCTTTTTCGCTCCATACGATCTGCTTCCTCCTGTTGCCGCTTGTGTTCTCTCTCTTTAGCTCGCCTTTCAACCTCTTCTTGTGCTCGTCTTTCAATATCCTCTTGTCTCTGTCGTTTTTCTGCTTCGATTCGCTCCTTTTCTTCCATCTCTTTCCTTTCCTTATCCTCCTGCTCTTTTCTTTCTCGTTCTTCCGCTTCCCTCTTCAACTCTTCCAAATGCATCTTTTGACGCTCTTCTTCTTTTCTTAATTCCTCTTCTCTCTTTTTCTGCTCTTCCTCTTTCCTAATTCGTTCTTCTTCTAGCCTGTCCTGCTCTATAAGCGCTTTCCGCTCAGCTTCTTCCTTCACCTGCCTTCTTTTTTCTGCAAGCAGCCTTTTCGCATCGGCTTCATTTTGTATTCCTGGCTTTTTAGGCCCTTCTGCTTTGGCGTGCGATCCTTCATTTGACCGTCTACGTTCATTTTTCTCCGGGTCTCTTCCCTTTCCTGTGCTCGTCTTTGGTTTGTCAGCAGCGTCTGCTTTTGGCTTACTTGCGGCAGGCTTTGCAGCTTCCGTTTTTCCTTTAGTTTTTTCACCATCTTGCTTTTCCAACGACAAAGGTCTTTTGTTCTTATCCTGGATTCCATGATGTACAACTGAACTAGCAGACTTGGCTTTCTTCATTTCTTTTTCTTTGTTTGGAGGCACAAGAGGTTTCCCTGGCAACGTGGGCATCGGCCGCGGTCTCGTTGTAGCCGTCTTTTGTTTATTTTCTTCTGGTTTGGCTGCATGGCGATTGGCTGATGCTGAGGGTGGTCGATGTGGTAGATTTGTTAATGACTGACGGATTTTTGGTTCGGCTCGCGTTCCAAATGATGACCTCGGCCTACTGCCCACTGCAGCAGTTGCATTTTTCTGCACAGTGCTTGCCTCAGTGGCGTTTTTCTGTACACTTGGCTTTGGTTTGTCCGACGAAAACGAGTTTGGGCGTTTCCTTTCCATTGCACTCCTAGGCCTAGATGGAAGGGTTCTTCTCCTGTCCTGGTCCATTGATGGTTTTGGTACCTTGTCTTCGGCTTCCTTCGCTTTTTCCGGCTTTTTACTATCAATGTCGATTTCCTTTGCAACTGCGTGCGTTTTTTTAAGATACGCTAAGCTTGAAAACGAGGCTGCACGGCGAGCAGGGGCCGATGCTGGTCGCTTCGGGGGAGCAGTAGACGGGCCAGCGATTTTCTTTAATAATGCTTCTTGCTTGGCTTTCTCGGCCTCCTCTAATTTCTTTTTTCTTTCCAAGACAGCTTTGCGCTTCTCATCCTCTTTCTTCTTGTAGTCTGTAATTTTCTTTTTCCTCAGTTCTTCGATCTTCGCCTTTCGTTGATCGTCACTGATATCATCCTTGCGCGGTGCTTTCCGGTCAAATGGGGGTGTCCTTTGTGCCTTGGGCGTCGTTTCCTTATCGCTCGAAGTTCCCTCACCCTCCTTTTCAGGGCTTTTGACTGGTTCAGTCTTTTCCCCAGTTGCTTCAAGCTGTTGATCCTGTTTTTCGCTTTGTCCCTCTTCAGTGGCAGGTCCTTTATCGGCAGAAATTGTTTCTTCTGTGCCTGGCTCAGCCTGATTCGCAGTTGGAGAATTAACTTCGCTCTGACTGGGCGTGTCTTCTTGGTTTGGCTCTTGCGTAACTGACAAAAAGGAGTAAACAATTAAATCCAGTCTTTAAAAACATTCGCAGTCATAACTGAAAACGGAATCACAATAAATCATATTTAATTAACAAGAAAAAATCCAATTTTTCACTTTGGAATGAGAATACGGCAAATATGTGACAAAAAGTTCTATAAGAGAGAGACGACAAAACAGCCGATAAAATGACAAATAGCAGCAGGTATGGTGACAGCCCCTCTCAAGCCCTTCCCTTCCTCTTCCAATCAAACTAAACTAAAACCAAAGGATAAGCTAAAATCTGAAGAAAAAAACGCTAGCGGCAATCGACGGGAAATGAAGTAATATAAACAAGGACGAAATAAAACGATTTTGGCTAAAAGAGTCGTTCCAGAAGAGCTGCTTTGTTCAGTCTTCGATACAAAAAACCTTTCAATCTTATTTGCTTGGTATGAATGGGCGAATCCGATGTTAGAACTTTTCAAACAAAATCACCACGTGCTAAGCTTTCCGTGACTTTCAAATTATTGGACAACAATTCTAGAACATATAAATCAAAAAGTTGAAAGAAAAGCAAAAATTTTCGAGGAATATATAAAGGCATTGTACTTTTGTATTTGATTTCTAAAAAAAACAAACAAACTAAAAAATATATCTATTCATATATCTATTCAAAAATATATCTAATGCTTGTCATCAGTATAATCATAACTATGATAATCAATATAGTTCAGTTCATTTTTCAGTTTCATATTTTTAAATTCTCAACATACAATTTATATATCATTAATACAAAGAAATTATTAAAATAAACTACATAATAGTATAAATACAAATACAGGACAAAATAAATTGTATGAAGGGGATTCTTAAATGAGGATCTCTCAATAGGTAAACTAATCAAGGAGAGACCACCCCCCCCCCCCCCTTACAATTCTAGGACAATAATTAAGCAGTCTTTGATTAGTTTCAATACAAAGTAATTGGCTAAAATGCACATACTCTTTTCACATAAAAATGGGGACTTTCTGACTAATCAAAATCAGCTGGAAAAACTCAGAGCGGGAATTACTGGTTGATCTTGTTCAACAAGTGAATTTTAAGTTTCAATTTGAGAGATGAAATATAGAAGGGGGCATATTTTGTCATGTAAAATTCAGTTTTGCAATTTTATGGTGATTCACATAAGTCTTTGAAATTCTGTTTTTGGATGGTTTTTTAAATTCACCAATACCTCAATAAAGCAAGACTTATTCTGGCATCTTACCTATGGCATTGCTTTTCATAAGCCTTCTTCAATTTTCCACTTATTTATTGTAGATTATAAATAAAGTCATAAGTCATAATTTCTTCCATAAAAAGATACTAGCGTTGTATTTCCTTGCAAATTCAAAATGTAGCATCAAGATATCAGTTCAAATAGATTTACACTATAAAGTCTTGAGGTAAATTATTTCAATTTTTGTTGATATACATAACCATCTCTTTTTGCTTGATTATATAATGTAAAATCTTACAGGATTTCAGCATCTCTCTAAGTTTGAAACCTTTTCTGATGGTAGCAAGAAATTTCATCAAATCAAAAACACAATCTCCAACTTAGCACCATGATGATGTCAACGAAAAGAACACTTGTGAATATAAACTTATATTCTGGCAAACGTTAGTTTCAATTCACCAGCATTTACCAATTCACCCATAATTTGGCAATCCAAACCCTTGTATTGTCATTTGATGTGTGAAAAGCTGATGTTGCAAAATCTTTTATGCATATCACTGATTTTATAAGATAATCAGAGCCAGTACCAGATGCTAGTGACAGTTACATCCTAATGAATATACTAAATAATACTACAACAGGGTACACACATATTAAATGAGAGAATGTTGTAAGTGAGTGAGTGTTAATGTTGAAATATTCTGACAAAATTGTTCTTTCTATCAGAGTTCAACAGATTGAAACTTTGTCATAAAATTTTATGCATTTAATATTGAAAATACAAATAATGTATATAATTAATACATTTTCAGTAAAATGAACAGTTGTCTGGTGATTGCAATTAAGTTTGAAACTCAGAGTAGCAATTTAGAACCATCCTAATCTATACAATCCAAAGTGTGTACAGCTCTGACTATGCAGCATGGGGCATGTTGGGACAGAACGAAAACACAAGAGGGCAGAAATTTGTGCAATAATTTGGTGAATGCAAGTAACTGCATAATCTTCATCATCACTTTCAAAATCTACTCAAAGGGGGTTGAAGCCCCCAAATCCCCTGAACTGGGTTCAATTTCACCATTGTTTGATCACGAAGATTATTTTTACTATATTGATAAGGAGTAGAGTCCCTTTATTTTGAACTTTCTGAAATGCTGTTCTCCATTAAGAAGCATTGTCAAAAAGTTACTCAAAGGAAGTTAAAGCCTCAAAATTCACTAAAGTTGGTATCTATGGGGCTGAGGATTTAGAAAATAGTATTGCTCTGTATTTAGAATATTAGTAGCATGCTCTGATACTCATTGCAATAATCTATGACAAAATTTTGTCACCAAAAAAATTCTGAAAAGTTTTCCCAATTTTGTTTTTGCTGAAGTCATTTTGCAAAAAAGTTTGCACATGCGTTTCTTTTACCATGGTTGGATCGGAAGACAGTTGTGCTATTTTTAGGTTACAACATTAATATTTATTAGGTCGACTTAATGCACTTGAAGTCAGATCCAGGGACGGCAAAACATATTTTAAAGTGGGGTCAAAATTTAATGACCATGCTTGCATTTCAAAAGGTCGCCACCATGGTTGGTGGCAAGGAAAATTTTAGATTATAATAGTCTAGGAATGGTCAGAAATCTAAAATGGAATTTGCATCTAAAATGGAATTTGACAGAGTTTTAGGAGAAAAGCTAACATTTCCATACAGTTTTATCTATTTTGATGTTGACATTTACTAAAGAAAGGGTCTTCCAAAGTTTTAGAATTAGAATTAGCATAACAGCGAATAATCAACTTTTTTACAAATGAATGAAACGGTATTAGTTTCATAAGGTGTAATAAATTTCAACTAGTCAACAAATTTCCACACTGTCATTCCCAGATATCACCATGATTCAGTAAGGTTGAAAAATTCCATTTTTGAAACAGGGCATACAGTACCCTTTCCCTCTGTTGCTAAGGAGTGGTAGTTGGGATGCAGGGCAGGCCCCTTCCTTTTCTATTGATCATGTATTACATGCACACCTTGCAAACATTCATCTTGTTGCCAAAATATGCATTTTCAGTCTCCTATGTTTGTCTCAGTCACAACAATAAAAACTTGAAGATCATTGTTGTGAAAAATGTTGGTAAATATTAGCATCTTTCTGGCATTGCAAATTCCTTAAACTGATTAATATAATATAAGGCTCTCTCTATATATATACAGTCATTGGACATGTATGTATGTATGTATGTATGTATGTATGTATGTATGTATGTATGTATTATAATAATCTTTAAAGTGAATAACAAACTAAGTTTGAAAACTTGTTTTCAGTTTGATTCACAAATTAAATGTACAAATAATCTAAATTTAACCAATAAAGACATAGCTTTGATTGTTGTGTAAGTTTAAGACTTCCCAGTCCGACAAAAGATAACTTATTGGGAAGAATAAAAAATATCTTGATAATTTAGAGAGTAGATAAAATGTATAAACAAATTTCAAAAACAAATCACAAATTGAAGTTAATGCAATTTAGATATAATGAAACCAAGTGAAAATGAGGGTCTGACATTCCTGTGATGTCTAGCAAAGATAAAAGATGAGAAACTCTAAAACTTAAGTTTAAACTTTCAACTTTATTCTTAGGAAATAGATATCCTAGGTACGAAAGCAAACAGAAAACTTTTAAGCTGTCAAGATAATTTGAAAACTGGGCAACTGAGAAAAACACCTGCAACTTTCAATCATTGTAGGACTTAGGTAAACTTATACAAGGCTCTCCACATGCTAGGACATATGGCATTTTAAAAGGATTAATCTTTCATTTATGAAAACAAAATCGCGCCATTTCGATACTGTGCGAAAAAAAATGTTATGACAAATCAAATCAGATAAAACTCCTTCATATTAATTGTTCAAAAACCTCCTTAAAACTTCTCATTGCTCTTGGCAATACGTACTTAAACTTTGGCGATATCAATACTTTTCTTGATGTAGTTCTTTCCCGCAGGATTGGACGTGCAGTTTTGGCGGGCCTATATATAATAGGAACGCAGCAACGAACTGCTGAATTGCAGATGTGATGTGCTGTAAATAATTTTCAAATGCCTAAAATATTGCTAAGATATACGAAATCTGCAATGTAGAACTCTATTCAGATTATTAAAACACTTAGGATAGCACAACGGAAAATTGATAACCCCATTAGGCTTTTAGAGGCGTTCGCAAATTCAAGGTCTTTATCGTTAGGGTGGCGGTGGGTGCAGGATATCGCCAATTTTTGCCGAATTTGGAGACATAACTTCCCCCTGTAAGATGCTACACTCAAGCTAACGAAATGATTGAGAAAAACTAAAGGGGTCGCAAACTTACCATCATTTACCTCAGGCTGCGTATCTGTGTTACCGTCCGCCATCTTGCGTTCTTTGCTGCCTTGCCCAGATAAATAAAATACAGCTCGAAGTTAGCTAAGTGAGTGAAGACTGCAATGATGACGTAAGCTACCTTGAGTCTTCACTATACCTCAGTCTGTTCTCTGTTTTGACCTCTTCTTCTGATATAAACATCCTAGCTTGGGTGCTTTTGCCTTGATTTCAAGTTATATTATGATTGAAACGTCGACTGATCAGTTCTTCACACACTTGACTTTCCTTTTTGAAATAAAATTCTTGATATTGAACTTCACCTTACCAATTTTTACACAATAATATTTATATACGCAATACTCTCAAATGGCTGTGATAAAGCTCCGTACATCCTAGCATATTGGGTGCTTATTTGCTTGATTTCTTCACTGATAAGTTCTTCACACACTTGTGTATTTATTGTATACGTTCTATTCTCGGCGAAATATTATTGATTTACGTGTATTTATTGTTGTTTATTCTCGGCATATTGCGGTGTTTCTTATTTGCTATATACTCTCAAAACTTGATTTGTACGAAAAATAGGATTTCAATATTCACCGGAAAAATTTCTTCGCACTCCTAAACGACTTCCCTTACTGCAGCTCTTCCGAAATATCTTGCTAATAATACAAATTGATGTTTGTTCATCAGGAAAGGTCTGCATTATCCAGTCGCCTATGGCGGCTTTTTCTAGGAAATGACAGCCAAAACAAGCATTCAGTTTTCATTAAGCAAGTGATGTCTAAATCTAAATATATTTGAATGGTTGAAGGGAAAATTTATTGAATGGCTCGATTAAGAAAGTAAAGAAAAGTTTTATCAGAATCAGTGGTAGCACATTAGTGAGTTGGAGGTCTTCAATTTTTCAGCTATACAGAGAGTAAACTGTGAATGGGATCTACAAAATTTGTCTTCCATTAAATTTTAAAGTTTTTTACCTTTAGGAACAACAAACCGTCATCTTGGTAAGATTTTTGATTTTCCTCTAAAAGCATGAGCGCATGATTAGTGAATAAGATGCTTATAGACCTAACTCTGTTGTTGATGATAGCAATAAATTGTTGATCAGTGTCTTCTATCAACTGTTAATTCTTCATCCTGGGTTTATGGTTTCTTCTTTTTCATCGGTCTCATTCAATCTTGTTACAGGCTTACTTAAATTTCCACGCCTTGGCTTATTCATAGAAATATACTCTCCTACATTTATCGAACGTTGTTAAATATGTGAGTTGCGAACTAAATACGGTAGAAGCATGGCAAAGTGGGGCAAATGCCCCTTGGATTTTCGCAGTATCAGAGAGTGCTGCTTTGCTAAAGATGCGTTGTATATGAAAATTATCAATGCAAGTGAATTTTAAAGTGTTATTCGAGAAACGTCCGATCGTTTTTGGTCTTGTTTGATTGCTTCACCACAGTGGGTAAGGCAGCTGTTATCGCAAATGGTTAATCATGTAAATCCCACTTTAATCGCAATTATGATAAAATAATATAGGTATCAATATACTGTTTAAAAATTTAGGGAAAGGGCTGGTCATCCAAATCGCTTTCAAAGTACCACTTGATTCATCAATTTCGAAATGAAACAAAACGATGAAACGGACCTGAGATAGTCCATATTCCCGCTCAAAAATGCAAAGGATTTAAAATCTCACTCAACTGCATTAGCTTAAATAAACCAAATCGACGATAAACACATAATACTCTAAGCTAAAAGCAAGCTGACTGATTTTTGCCGCACGTGAAGATCTCTGAGGATTTCAAAAATGATTCCAAGTAATCTATGGGTGTGGTTTGATGTTAAGAACGAAATGTTCGTTTTTGTGAATTCAAAAGAAAGCCAGTTCAACTCTTGATCAATGGAATCTTATCTTTGATAAGCATTCATTTCAAAAAAACATTGTACAAAACAAAGGCGATTCACATGAGCTCAGGATTTCGTGCTTTTGAGATGTTTGAAAATTGTCACTTCACACATTTTCAATATACAATTCGCCATTACGAATTCGTGTGAGCAATACACAACTTCATCCAATTAATTCCTCCATTTCAGAGCTTTCAGAGTTCAAACAATTACCAAGTTGCTACCGTTTGACCCTAAAATCACGAATTAAAAAGAACGTTAGATAACGAAATCAAAACACTAAAAATATTGCTACTTCCAAAACAAGAAATAATTAACTCATTGATGCGACCAATGATCGCATGAGAAGGTAGCTCAACACCTTGCTCCTGAGCTCCTAAAATCTTAGTGCAGAATGGTCCTTAGGAGACTTAAGCGTTCGTTATCTCAAGAAAATCAGGAGGGACACATGAAAATAAAAAGGACCCAAACTAAATAATCAGAAAGTCAAGCAGCATGGCAGTGTTTGGTACTGTAGGAAGGATGATGATGGCGGAAAATAAAATGAAACCCACCAACAAAAACATTCTGCACATTCAATAATATTCGCAAAGCCAAAGTATGACATGTCGAACAAAAAGGATTTTGACATGTCGGCTTCCAACTACTAACTGAGCTGTGTACACTAATCTTGAAAATATTCCTTAAGGGGGACTTTCTGAAATTGGGGATGGTTTCAGCACCCTACCTATGTTACAAAGTGGTTTCTAATAATAAATTTATTTATTAATAAATTTATGTCTTTAAAACTGTGGAGGATGCGAAAATTGTAAACATATATACATTTGGTAACAGTTAATACGATAGAGAATTCGGTTAAAATTGGTGAGTTGGATGTTTTTGTGACTTTAACAGCAGTAGTAGTTGATGAAAAACGCAAATTTCAATAACAAAATGATTGTCAAATCGTTGCTATGATAGCAAATCAAGGGTTCATGACAAAATGCTAAGTTGTTATCTCTTGTGGGTAGGTCCAAATAATTTCCGACAAAAAGCATTCCTCGAAATTTGGATTAAAATCTATCTCAAATAAAAAGGAAAAGAGAACAATAATATTTTCTGTCTGCCTTCAACTGATAACACGATATCATTCGCGCCAAAAAGAAAACGTTCAAGAAATCTGCCTAACGACTTACCATGCAAACTTTTTACGAGCTTTCTTCTGGCCTGGCTTTTTTCTCTCAACTTTTCTTCTATCTCTTAGCAGCAAGCCAGCTGAAAAGAAAATATACTTTCTTTGATAATTTGTCTTTATTTGTCTTTGTTTGACACGTCTAGTTTTTAAACAAAGATATTGCAACAGTTCAAAAATATCACTGACTTTATACTTTTTACACGAGATGAAGCAAACGTCTTTCTCATTGAAACCTAGATTGAAAGACAAGTACAACAATATAAGAAAACACAACTCTTTATTGTTGCTTGCAGGCAAGATTTCTTTTTAATAGAAATTTTCAATACCTAAATTAGAGTAATAATAAATTGAAAACACTAATTCACCGTTATCCAGCGGTTGAAAAAACGATTCTGAGAAACTAAGAAGGGCTTGGCTGATTCCAAAGCGAATGGCGCCAGCTTGGCCTAAAATTCAAACATGATAAGTAAAAATGCTGTACTTGATTCAGAATATCGTGAAGCAAACACAAAAACATTCTTCGACTGTAAAATCTTCACAGTGAAATACAATCACGGTTTTTTAGCAAAATTACGTTAGGATACATTTTATTTTTGTTATAACTCATAAAAATATTGCAGTTTGCATATTCATGCTTAGTTTGGGTTTGAAGTGTCACACTTGGAAATAATATCAAATAGAATGCCAAAGAGACAAGGTATGCTGTACAGAAAAAAATGACGGCGATTGGGTAGAAAATAACAATCACAGCCAAAAATGAGTCGGTGCACAAGATATCGTAGTAATCTCATCAAATCATAGCATCTGCGAACAGGATATTAATCCTTATGTTGCTAAAACCTAATGTCGCCACATTTTGTCTTCAATTGGCTAGGACAGTTCAAAGAGGTTAAGCATCTTACGAGAGTTAAAAATAGTTCAATTCAACTCAACATCATTCAACTCAATTCAATACATTGCAACCACGAATCACTCACCTGTTGGGCCACCGCCAATCACTCCTGCGTCAACGTCAAATTTTCCCAGTTGACCAGTCACCATTAAGGGAAAAAGCACCTGTTTTCTAAAATACAAAAGAAAAGTGCCTTGCTTTAAGTAATTAGATATGCCTTTTGGTACCATCATGTGACGATTCTGCCAATAACTTTTCGAATGACTGAAACCCATTTGCTAAACCCCTTTGAGATAAGGTTTGTTCCTACTAACTGAGCATATTTTTTAATTTTAAGAAAAATTTGTTTTGAGGGAAAGATGGTCAAATTGAAACAGAACCACGGCCGTAATCTACCTGTGATCAAAGGTATGAAAGAATTTCGTCATCGGCATGTTGTTGATCATAACTTTTCCACTTCCTTCTTTTAACTTGACTTCAGCTATTGCACATTTCCTGTACCCTGAAATCGGAACATTAACAAATCATGGATTGAATTGACTAGTTGATATGACAATGTGCAACAAGCTATCTTTTAAATTCACTAAACAATAAACCGTACAAGCTCCATGAAGGCTTGAATTTTGAGTTTCCAGAGAGAGGGGGGGGTAAAAAGGGGGGTTTGTTAGAGAGGGATGCTTATCAAAATTCTAAGTCAAAAGGGTATAAAAATGTTGTTTCGTGTGTTCATTCTGCTTTACTGAAAAATAACTAATACAAGCAGATTAAGTGTCACAAATTGGCATTATATCATGTAACAATGGAGATTTCAAGATCATCAGGGTCATTTGATGTGTCTAAAAAAACTCTGGGATAGGTGCTTTTTTAAAGTTGTTCACTTCATGAAATGCCCAATATTAAACTGACAAAACTGATTTTTACCCATAGTTGTGACGACCCCATTTTCGTCTATCTGCAAAGACAAAGAATGAAAGAAAGAATGAAAACAGAGCTACACCACAATAAAAAGCAGCTTGCTATGATTCCAAGGAATACAAAGTTCTGACAATTGACATTCGACTCAAGAAAAACCGGCCTGTCATGTCTCCTACTAAAACTCACGAGCCATCAATCATCTAATGCTTAAAGCAAAATTCCGTGAAAAATTCATTTTACCGAACTGATCAAAACAAGCGTTCAAAGTAAAACCATCATCTTGGCTACGTTTTAATTAAAATCAAATTCACTTTACTACCGTCTCATTGTTCGCTTCAATTCTTTAAAGAGCTCCTGATTTGTCGATCTATTGCTCCTTATATTCGAATTCATTTACAACATATAGATACCAGTAAACTAACAGTATTACATTTGATGACCCCCTGAGATCACCTGTTTGCACTTTAGACTTTACTTCGGGTGGATTGTGGACACAGAAATCACTTTAAAAACACCGAAACTGCTGGAAAATACGCAAAGTTTTGGCTAGGTCACAGAACAGATAGGCTTATTCGTTTACACATTATTGTCTTTATTCTCAAAACCAATGTGGATGAGTCAATTAATGAATAAAGTTCATTCAATTTCTCAAATAACTCATTGACTGACTGGTTGTCTGGTTGAAGCAAATACTGATACAGTAATTGACCGATGGATTGAATCAAAAGAATTCTACAAAGCGGATGCCAGTGATAATAGCTAGAAGTCTATCGAAATGTCTATCCAATGTCTATCTAAAAGCTCAAGGCGGTTTTCCCTCAGCAGAATGACTCTTGTTGCTCATTGCAAAAAGCAACAAATGAAGTCGAGGGATGGGGGTGTGGGGGTGTGGGGGTGTGAGATTTATGCCAAAATTCTAACCTCAAGGTTTGGAATTGCTTCTTAGACTGTTTGTGATGCTTGCAGAGTTCATCTGCTAGACAATTTAAAGTTTTTTTCAACAATACCTACATATGATGCTCTCTAGTTGGAAAAGGTGCAAATTGAGAAACAAACTTAGATTCTCTGACAAATTCTCAATTCTCAAACATATTCCAGAAATGTTTTTCCTCTCCCCTTTTCGGCTAGCAAAAGCGCAGATGAACCCTCCCTGCAAAATATTTCCGCCCCTGCAATGTAGGCTGGCCCTTTGTTTGAAATTTAAATCAATTCGCTGGAACAAACCTGCGCTACTTCGATTTTCTTCCCTCCTTCACTCAATTGTACTTGATATTTTGATAAAAAATCCTGCATTGCCTCTCCGTTTGGGTGCTTCGCAATGCGAGAAAGTCTTCGTAAAATTAAATCATACTGAAAATAAAAACATTTTGTTTAGAATCATCCCGAGTATAGAATCGCCTGGCAAAATCAACGATCCAGGGATTAAAAGACTTGAAAACTAAAAGCACAAAACTTTTATCGTGAATAACACCATTGGAATTATTCTCTCTTCTAGGCTGGGAAACAACCAAACAGCTAGGGTAAAAATTCGGTGCGACAAAATCTCTTCACTTCCTTAGATCTCAGTAGCGTAATGAAATCAAAACTTAATGTGTAGATTTTACCTGATTATCAGCAAGCTTGCAATGCAAGAGATCTTCCATTTCATGGTGCTTCAACCAACGTACCAACAGAGGCTTATCGAAGAAAGACAACGGCCTAGCACAAAGCGCAAATAACATAATACTGAGTAGCATTAATAGCTTCATAAATGCAATGAAGATTTTGCATCAGTAAAATTATATTGAAAAACTCTCATTGTAAGCTAATTAAAAACAAAGATCTCAACTTACTCATCTTGCTCTGTGATTGTTTGAGGACTGTTTGGCATTTTTTCTAGACTTTCCAAGTTCTTCCAGATATTCTACAAATAAAACAGGCAGGGACAGTAATATGCCTGACGATGACAGGGGAACCTCATTGAAAACCACTGAAAGAAACATATATAGATACATTAATTGAGCTATCCGTGAGATTCTAAACAGCCATTGATGTTCAACAAACAACAACGTTACTGATAGCGCTTAAGTTTTATTTAACTCCTACAAAGAAATAGCCTAAGGAAACTTGGGTAGGATGCAAAGCAGCTCCTTAGGTAAATAAAACTGCAATGGAAAATTTGCTAAAAGCACCTACGTATATAAGTTCATGGTATGCTTCCTGGCCTGTATAAAATGCGGAATGAAAAGGGCGTCCACCAGCATCAACTCGTAATTCTAGGGGCAAATAGCGATTGTCAATGATCGATAAATAGCAATTAGCACTTTCAAAACAACAAGAGCTGAAGACATTTATTATTGAGAATTTGAATGTTTTGATTTCAAAAATCAAATGGACATATGTTTTTTTCCAATGTCAAAATCACCACCATATCCCACTGCTTGCTGATTTTCAACATTTCACCCCAATTCCTTCTACGATTTCCCTTCTGGCAAAGAACCCCTTCGAGGATTTGTCCACGCAAGTAACTTAAAAATCTTCAATTCTTAGTTATCTAGTTACTATAAAAAGGACTTTGTGTATGAATCTTGCCATGAGATAACTTTGGATATGTTTGTTTTATAAAATGATGTTTGTTGACGTTAGACAAAATCTTGATATTTTATATAAATTCTGAAATGAGAAATGATGCCTTAGCAGTAATAAAGATCTTGTAAAATAAAAATAAAATTTTTTAAATAAAGTAAAGCAAAACCTAAGATTGGATAAAATTAAGCAAAAGAAAAAATTGCATCTGTTAAGCTTTGGGATAGATATAGCAGAAATATTTTTGCAGACTGCATATATAAATTCAAAAAATAACACTGTTATTTAGACACTTCATTTACCTTTCCTTTTGCCAAAAATATCTTGAGGATTCTAGGATCAAAATGGTACATAAATATTTCTATTACTTCTGGCTCTCACAAGAATATTAAGAATATTTTTGCTCAAAAGATATGATGGGCAGTAAGACAAAACAACATTGACCATTTCTTGAAGATCAAAGAAATCATGAAATAAAGCTGGTTCAAATAGTTGCTGATTGATGTTTAAAAAAATAAGATTTAGTTAGAATACAAAATTGCAGGGCTTGTACCTTCATTGAGGGCCTGGCATCCTCCGCAAACAAATGACTTGGAAGAAGGTACTTGATAGCCTCCTATAACAAAAATAAATTAGCATGCTTTTGATCAAAAATTTATAATTGAAGTGAAATCAGTAATATAGTGGCTCTGGGAAAAGTGCTTCATAGCGTTATCAGATCTCAAATAGCTTTTACCTTTGCAGTCTTTACCTGGAAAACATATTTAGTTCATGTGTGAGTATTTGCATGTGTAACTCAGTCTAGATGTGTAGCTCTGCTACTGTACACAGCTTTTCACATACGGTTTTCAGATATCAGTTCCTTGCAGATTCAGAAGTTTTCATATTTTCAAACATTTTATGGGTAAATACCAAACCTTGCTCATTTTAGGTGATGGCAAAGTATGAAACAAGCATTGATGTACATGACAACATTTTTGTTTAGATGTTTATGTAAGCGTCACTTAGCATACTTTCCATACAAAAAGGTCCTGGGTAAAGACACTAAGTTCCAGTTCAGGAGTTTTGAGTTCTGGAGTGTGTGGAGCTGCCCCTTGTCACCACTGTTCCCAGGTCCACCATGTCACCTGCAAATGTCCTTAATAGAGGGTTGCATGCTCTTGGTTATGAGCAATTGCCAGTGGCAAAACAGCTGCACAGGCAGATGAATCAAGTGTGGCAAAATGTCTGAGTAGGTTAAAGATCCTCTGAAAAGGGAGATGATGTCTCCCCAAAAATATTGTGGAGTAGCTTCCTTTTGTTAAACAGCTCATAATCCTCTTTATGATATGAGTAATAAAAATGATCCAATGAACAGCATAAATAGGACCAAGAGTCAAGCTAGTGGTGCTGCACTTAATAGGGGGCTCTTGGAGGTGCCTCTACTGTCACCAAGCAAAACCCTCCAGTTGATAGGAAAATTTACTCGGAAAAATGGAATGTCAGGACAATGACACATCATGGAAGTGTAGAACAGATTGTGAAAGAGGCAGAATGCCTGAAGATATATTTTCTCAGGATAGCAGAAACTTGGTGGATAAACAATGGAGTTCTTCTTCTGGATAGAACTTGAGATATGCTGAAGTCAGATTCTTGATAAAACATGGAGTGAAGCCATCCATCATAGAAGTGAAACCTGTAAGTGATTGAATCATAGCAAATGGAGTAAATGCCAAACCTAATCCCATCATCCTTGCTAAAAATTAGGTAGAAGCTAAAAATTCAAGGACACTATGGTGAGAATGGCATAGAAGGCAAAGAGGGTAAGTAGAAATGGGGGCAGCTACAAAGAAACTGTAAAGTAACAAGGCAGTGAGTATTGCAAAATCCCTGCTAAAGTGGTGAAGGCCGGTTGAAGGGGGGGGGGGTTAATCAAAATACTAAAGTTGGTCATGCTGGAATGTGGCCAGAGGAATGGGCAACATTGGAACTGTGAGTCAGACATGCATAAAAAGTTCTGCTAAGGATCATCTGCAAGAGGCTTAAACAACATCTGTCCTCATAACAGAAGAACAGTTCAGATTCACAGATGGGACAGGAAGATCAGGTGGAATACTGTCTATCTGCAATGTCATACAGAAAGAGTGGGAGAATCAGGCTAAAGGTCATGTTTGGTTTCTGTTTGTGGACTAAACAAAAACCTTCAACACTGTTTACCATGATGTAATGTGGAAGACACTTACAGACTTTGCTGTACCTAAACACATTACCTGGATCATCAAAGGGTTGGATGACCAGGTGACAGGAGTGGTGAGAGTAGGAGATCAGTGAACAAATGAGTTATCATCAGAAGGGAATTAGTGAGGTTCTCTCATCCAGGCCTTTTCGTAAGAAATAGCCCACGCAAGTGGCCCATCGCTGGGTGCAGCTAGCAAAGAGGTTGGTATCAAGATGAAACAACTCAGGTTTCTTGGCTACTATATAACAGTTGAAGCAGACAGCCAGACAGATATCAGGAGTCAAACAGGCATGTCCAAGTCAACTGCAAACTGGATGACACCTTGTTAAGGTAAAAAAACCATTACACTTGGGATGAAAGTGAGGTTGGCCAAGCCAATGATATGTAGTGTGGCTCTTTATGCTTGTGAAAGCTGGACCCTTAAGAAAAAGGCAAAAAAAGGAAACATGTGCCACATTGAATGGATTGATCGCTAATGGCTGAGGAACATTACAGCTACATATAGAAATTTTGAAACCTTCCTGTGCCACATCATTTTTGCTCCTACCATTGTGACTGGACAATAAAGGTATTGGAACTTTTAACTGGATAAAAATCATAACTATTCACAGTTATTCAGATCTGGGATGATTTAGTTAGTTTCAGTTGGCTAAGGCATGAAAATATCCAGAAGTAAGCATCTTTTCTCTTTGAATTTGACTCACACCTCAAGAAGTTACTCTGGACTATGGTTTCTTTTGCATATAATATATGGATCAGTTATGATCATTGCAGCCAAAATCAGAGACAAATAAACCTATACAGTCTGACAGACCTTTACCTCTGTACTAGGCTACACTTTTAGTCAACAACTTATCAAAGCAGGTGGTCTAGCCAAATTGTAGAAAATAGTGAGCTAGATCATCTACATTTGGCACTGGAAAATTGAAAACCAGAGTCCTGAAAATTTAAATTCAAGAGAAAGAAACCAACTTTAGCATGCATGACAGAACAAGTAAAAAACCCATGTGTGCAGACAAAACAGTTGCATATGTGTGGCCAAGCAGTCTCTAGGCATGGACAAACTAACAACTTTGCGCAAAAAAATTATTTCGCCTCTTACCAGTTAAAGGTTTTGAGTTTTAGTCAAACAAGCGAATATTGAAAGTAAAAGTTTGCAAATGGACTACAAATTATTTCATGAACTTTTAAAATGGTTAGTATAAAATGACAAGATAGTGTTGTTTTTCGTTTTATACTCACAGAAATTTTTTCATCCGTGAATGATGATACATCTTCTCCCATCATAGTTGCAAGCCATCTCTTTCCAAGCTCATACTTCTCCATTTCAGATACCATGAGCCAATCGACATTTTCTTCCGTTTTATCTGACAAAATTATTGAAAGATTTGAGTAAAAAGAAGTTTGCTCAAAGTCGTTTTTAACGTGTGTTGGTATACTCTATTCAATCCACAAATTTTAAAGAGAACTATGAATAACTAAAATATTGAATTAGTCTCACCTCCATTCTTAACATCTGTAGATGAATTTGTTGGTGGTTGTTCCTAAAAACAAAAATCAAGAATAAACATTCAGGTGACATCCATCCATGGAGGAGCATGTGGTGTATCGCCACCTAAATGGAACCTTTGTGACTGAGGTAGCACTTGGTTTTTACATTCATTAAATGTAAAAAGCACTACTCAGGGAGCGGAGAACCTTACCTTAAAAATGAAAAAATTCTACTTACTTTCGCAGCCGTTGTATGCCTCCTCATACCGGCCAATATCAAAGCAGAGATGCTTGGTCGTAAAATTTGGTGAACTACTCTCTCGGCCCTGACATTTTGCAACATTTTACATAAGCATATTGTCTTTGTAACAGCTCGTATATTATTCAAAAGCATCTTGAGAGGTGAAACTGTTGCATCAGGTACTTGAAAAAATCATTTTTGCACAAAGTACAAACACGATCTCCTACTAGCTATTATCGAGACCGTCCGCCATAAAATAAAGCATGACCAGCCTCTTCAGTTAGCCTCTTAATCGAGAAAATGAACTCGTATTCAGAACTGTAAGCCACTGATCATCAGTGCTGTTAGCAAACCAGTGAAGCAAACGAAACCAGGGTTGCCAGTTTGGCCTTTTTCAGGCCAAATTTCCTAATTTTGGCCTTTTTAAAAGTTGTTTGGCCATGAAAAAATTTGTTTAGCCTATCCTTTAATTTTGGCCCTTTTGGCCTTTTCCAACAAACAATCCTTGTAATTTTATATAGCTATTGATGTTGTCAAAATTGAACAGCAAGCAGCTGAAAAACACGTTATCAGCATGCCAAATACATTGACCACAGACAACAGATGCAAAGTTTGAATTGGAAATTGCTGCACTAGTTCGTCTCCACAACCAAGACAGAGAAATGGTTAGATAGATAGATGAAGTCAAATCAAGATGCCATTCAATGCTACTAGAGGCAGCTCAACAAGTTTACACACGGCTTCAAAAGATCACTTCAACGCTCTCAGCTATCTTTACCCATCCCGTATTTGAAGCCAATTTGAAAGAGTGCCCTTGGCCCAGCTTCCAATGCTGCATTTGATTGAAGAGAGTATGTCCACGATTGACTCCTAATATAGAAGTATATTGCATGTTAACTGGAGTGAAGAGTCTGTTTTTGCAAATGGAATTCCGTCAGATGCTGTCAATTTTTGGGTTGGAATACTGGAATATCGCAACCTACTAGGAAATAGTCAATTTTGGGAGCTTGCACATTATGCCTTTTAATGTCTGACAGACAACCCCAATCAGTAATGCAGTTGTTGAGTGTATTCTCTCCTTTGTGACCAGAATGAGCACTGTTATGCTAGAAACCATCATACGCATACATACACATTTAAGCTTCAACAATAAATGTTGTAAAGGCTTTGTGCCCAGTACCAAAATGCTGTCACTGTTTAACACAGATAACCTTTATCGAACTGTTAGAGCTAATAAAGCCGCTGACGATGAATTGAATTTGTCATATGTGTGAATACGTATTATTAGCAAACACTTAGGCAGAATGTTATATGCTTATATTTCTTGCATTTATACCGTTCGTTGTTATACCGGTAGTTAACGCTTGTTGTCTTTTATAACTGCGCATGCGTACTGAGACGTCACCGGGCAGACAGCTGATTTAGAAAGATAGATATAGATAGATAGATAGATAAACTTTATTTACAGAGGATAAACCTGGTTAGCCTAATTACTAATCTTCTCCAGGGTCCTCTCTACTAACTACGCAATAAGAATATAATACTATTATTTTAAAAAATGTGTCCTTTAAGTTTTTAAAAATTTGGCCTCTTTTGACCTCGATTGGCCATTTTTCCTGTGGGCATTGGCCTATTCTTACCCTAACCACCTGGCAACCCTGAACGAAACTCTCACAAAAATCCTTCAGAAAGAATGGGGTATGAAAAAGGCCTTTTCATTCACTAGGACTAGGAGGCAATTGCCCCTCAAGCCCTATTGACCTTCATTGTTTTAAGAAATGGGTTTTATTCTCCTTCTCATATAAACAAAGGCTTGCCCCTGCAGTTATCGCCTCAAATAGGCTTTGTTATGAAGAAACTAACCCATACACAGGGCCGTCGCTAAGCGGGGGGGGGGGGGGGTGCGGCACCCAATAGAAAGTTTGAGGAAGGATCAATATTTATTGAAAAACGTTTATCCTGGAGGTACTAGAAGCCCCTGTAATCAAGGCCGCCGAGAGAGGGGCAAGGGAGGCCAAGTGCCTCAGTGCCTTGAGGCTTAGGGGGCCTCAAAAAAGTAAAGATTTACATTTTAAGAATGAAATCAATGAAGCGCAGCAAAGTATGCCCAAAAATTGTAGAAGTGTTCTAAACGATTGCAAAAACTGACTGCAAGAAATATTCTGAAATGCATTACTTCTGAAGGGCGTGGTCGCAAAAATTTTCTGCTCACTCTACTTGCAGGGGGCCTCGTCTTTCGGTTTTACCTTAAGACCTCCAAAACAACTCGTTGGCCCTGCTGCAATGCCTGCACATACAAACCAGGGCCCTATTCAAACGTGCTGGGCTGTTTGAATAAATGAGGGTATCTCATTGCTAAAAAATTGACTTCTAGCGTAAAATCAAAGAGAGTACCCTCAGGTACTCAGGTAAAGAAAAATTCAACGCGAAAATCGAAGCGATGATTGACTGACAAAAACATACATACTCTTTGATAAATAACATCAACTGCGTCAAAATGCCGCACCCAAAAATTGATATATTTTAGGCCACGCCCTGTTTTGTCGGCAAATTGGTGACTGGCACCCCCCAAGTGATAGTGTTTAGCGACAGCCCTGCCCACAATTTGGGATAATATGTTTTAGCACAGGCGTAAAGACGTAAAGATCCAGGCTTAAAGATCCAAAGACATCGGAGTCACGCCCCCACATTTCAGTAACAGAAGAAGTGTACCTAAACAGCTCACGGAAGTGTCCCTTTTTTGCTTACATGACCACACGACATTTTTAAATGCTCTCTGTCGGGCTCAAGGAGGTTGACCCCTTCTACAAATGAAAAAAAATACTTTTTTCTCCTTGTTGCTAATGTTTTTTGAAAATTTGTCATAGAGCATTTATTCTTTTTACATCAACGCACCCCACCCTGACTTTGGCGTATACGTAGAACATGGTACGTTTCCAGTTTTTTCCCAAGACAGCAACTTGGCAACTTCTAATTTACTAATTTACGTACGTTTAAATCAAGCCCAGCTTTTTGTGAACGTGCTTAATAAGACATTTATTTTCATGACCTAACGTCGACCAGTGCTGAGGAACTCAACCAGGCCTGAAAATTCAAATGTAAACAAGCTCTATGTCTTCTAAACAATTTTAATCTGTGTAAACCAAAACAAGTTTCTGTAAAGAAATAAAGTGCATATGTTCGGTGGCAATGTATACAAAATCATCTACAAATTTTTATTATTCATTGGTACGAAATGCTATATAATCTACCTGTATTAATTGCTGATAAAGTTTTTATTATCATCAGCACGTTCTGTTCTGCTTATGGCTGAAATAGTGGAAAGTTGTTAATTCTCATTTCAAGTTAAAAATTCTCGATAAATCTATTAATCCAGGATTTCAATTTATAGATTTCTATTTATTCAATTTATAGAATCTTCAGGATAAATTCACTAGTCATATTGGATTTCTTACGTTGATGTTGCCAGGTGAAATTCAATGTAAAAAATTTAGTTATAGGACTGTTTTCTTCTATGGACAGATTTGCAGCATGAATATAATTTTTAAGAAGATAGCATCGCTTAGGGTAGACTTTACCTCCATATACATATCCTATCCTATAAAATTTGTACTGTTATTTTTTTAGTTGATGTCAAAATATATCTAGAACTGCATAATATTTTTAACTACATTCACTGTTTATCAATTGACCTTGTTGTGATTTGAGGCGATTTGGGCATGGCAAGTCTCTTTAAGTTATAATAACACAGTGTAATATTCAGGGCCTCCGCTAGGCGGGATGGGCCCCGAGGCAAAAGCCTAGGCGATGCCCAGAAGATGCAAAGGTTTTTAGGGCCAAGTCCTGTCTTGTTCCTTGAAACACCCTTGCTCTGAAATTGAAGGTTAAAATTGGCTTCATACGTTACTTTGTAGGGTGGTTCAAATGTTTATCTTTCCTAGATCTTTCTCGCGAACCTTCGGCCTGGGATACTTTCAATACATAATAGGTATAAATGCGCTGTTACGTAGAAATTGAAAATGAGTCAACCTCTGAGCCCTTCTCTTCCTGATATCTATTCTATTCAAACTGCTAGCTTAGTTTTCAAAGCCTACAACACAGAATAAATTTCAAATAATCTATTATTTAATTTCAGGCCTTACGGGGGCTCATACGGGCGTAAAGCTACATAGAATTATGAATTGTCGGTGGAAAAGAATGTGTTTTACATTAATTTCAGAGTCCAGAAAAGTCTTTAACCTTCCTCCGGGCAAATTTTCCCCCGTCAAAACCTTCCTTCAAATTTTCAAGCAATCAACTTGGTCAGGGCGTGGCTAGGGAGTGGCTACGGGATAAAGGGTGACAGACGCAATAAATCGAGACAAAGTTATGTGTCTGGGTCGATGGTAATTATCGCATACGATAAAACGTTGCTAGAATACCAATCACATTATAGCTCAAGAAAAAAATTTTGCGTCTGTTCGTGCCACCATTCACCATTCGACTCTGCGACAGATTCAACGAGTGTTATAAAGTCACAACAAAGAAACAAGTGCAAAATAAGTTGTCTCAATTATTTTTTTTAAATTCTATTTTACGAAAACCTTTCTCCAAACTTATCTTGTTTTGACCGTGCGACCGTAACGTTTTCTGGACTCTGATTAATTTTTTGGAGAACTCAAGGTTGTTCTACAAAACGCGGACCATGTTCGCTTGAAGGATGGCGGATAGGGTAATAAGCCTGAAATTGTTTGAAGCCTTAGCAACGCACAAATTCCAATAATGGTGGTGAATTTGATACCATGCTGCGTCCGTTCATTCTGATTACAGTTCCACCTCCCGTTGGTGATTCAAAAGCTTTGCGTTTGTTTGAGCAGGCTTTATTTGATTTTCAGGTCTTTGTTTCTGTTTGCTCGATTTCCATGTTCATGCATCTGTTTTGTAAACTTTATGAGATTGTGGTAATGTAGTATCGTGTTCCTACGTTTTTATCTTATCCAAAGTGGCTACTTTTGCAAGAAAATGAATCTCATTTGTGGTATTTCTGACTTGGTGGATATTACTGGCAAGGAGCAAGAAATGTTGCGGTAGTCCAGTCTGAAGAACAAGCAAGCTGCAAAGAGGGAGTTTGATTTGAAACTGGTAACATTGGAAAACAGCGCGATATGAGCAAGCAGAAGGCCAAGTAAGTCAAATTTTCAAATGCAAGTTTCTAGGACATCAGAAGTTCCGTATAATGCCGATCATCCCCCGTTTGTCATTCTATGCCGGTGATCGCTAAAAGGCGAAACGGCGGCATCTTTTTGCTTGAGCGATTAACTTGGATTCTTTGAACTGTTCCATGTTCATTGTGAGATTAATCTGCCCGTTTATTGCAACTTTATGCAGTTTCTTGCCAATGATTTAATAATTAATATGGAGATTAAAAGAACCTAAACGGGATGGTTGAGAAAACCATCGTATTCATGCCCTGAAGTAACCAGTTACAAAAAAAATTTGTACATAGTATGTGTTATGTTACGACACAATCTTGGTTTTGTTAATTTTCAGTTCAGAGGGCCAGGGAGAGGGAAAAGTGGGGCTGGTGGGTACTACCTCAAGCTTCACTCTGGTAATCAGGATTGAGTTAGCAATAATCGAAAAAGTGACTCCAAAGTCAATCGAGATTGGAGTCCATATGCGGCTCCTCGGCATATTTAGGATATAGTTAGAGAACTGCTCAAGAAATTGGTATGCCCTAAAAATTAGATACCAAATTGGATTCTCATACTAATAAAAGGGACTTATGTGTTGAAGGACCAAGCGCAGGATCAGGACCATCGCTAGTTATTGTACTCAACTCAAGGGCCCTCAAGGGGGTCTCCAGGTCCCTTTAGAGACAAGTCGGTGAGCCCTCCGTTAGAAATTTGGTTGCCAAATTTTGACCCTGACCCAAATTTATACCTTGTATGTAGTTTGCTTTTTTCATGATACATAAATTCGCGATCTTATGTAGCATTTTGTATTTTTAACATTTCATCCATAAGCTGGCAATGAACACGTTTCAGGCCCGCGTTTTAAGCCAATCAGCTCTGTTACATTTACCAAAATATACCATTTTCTACCCTAGATCTGATCTCGGCCAATAACTTGTGGGCTTTTGCTGTGTCTCTCTGCGTAAAACGTATTTCTAGGTTTTAGGCTATGGTTATTCTAGAAGTAATACACCTGATCTCGTCTGTATATTTTCTGCAAAGTTGTTACATCCTGCTTTTCCAAAGAGTTGTTGCTTTTACCCAAGACCTGACAGCAGTGGCCGTTCACACTATATTCTGATATGTCATCAAGAAAAAAATCCAAAAGCATTCATTAATACATGAATAAAGAAACATTTCTGTTCACTTTGCAAATGGGGTTTACCCGGAATTACGGTTTCTTAGCAACTGCGTAGAAACATTATTTATCTCGCCCCAGTCCTCAATATTAACAACATGGCGAACCTCTCTGATTAGATCAAAAGGTCATGTGAAAAGTTTTTTCCCCGTTAACATGGGATCTAAGCCTCCAAAAAAGAAAGAATCGCGTGAAAGGGTTGCCTCTGCTGCACAAAAGCACCAGGAGTAAGTAGTATGAGTTACGTGTATAACGATGAAGGCCTAGGTTCTGGATTGCGGCTTCCCTGTCATTTGGGTTACCGTACCCAGGCCGTTATCAAATGTTCAACCGACTTAATCTTACCTTAATCCAGTAAAGTTCTTAATGTTTAAATTTTTACAATGTATTATCAATCGTCTTTTTCAACTGGCAAAGTAGAGCTTTGTTTCAACTGAAGTTTTTGGTAAGATGGCAACTCAGTGGCACTTATGTGGTGTTCGCAATTCCAAATTTTCTTTGTTCAAGCTAATCCAAATTTCTTAAGAGCATTATTCCATAACAAAGTAAACTGCGATTTACTGCAAAAAGTCGACATGATTAGGCATCGTGTAAAGTTTTGTAAGTACACAAGAGAAAAAAAGGTTTTCCATCTAATGAGATCATAAAATACTTTACACAGTGGCCATAATTTTGCATGCGGTTCACCAAATGATTATCCAGCGCAAAATTCATCCTAAACAGATGGTTTAATCGGCAAATTCGTAATCATGTACCCAATGACCATCTGTCTTAATTTGAAGAAGGCATGTTAAGAAAGTGCAGGCTAAGAACTTGAGCAAAATCAACTCCAATCATGAGCAGAAGTAGGAATATGCGCAGAAGAATTTCTATACAAAGTGGCACTCATCCTGGACAAAGTCTATCTAGACTGCTTGAGAGGTAAAATTGGCAAAAGCAGTTCCTAACTATTCATGAAAAAGTTCTAAAGTTAATGGCCACTTGAACTTTTTCAATTTCACTAACAATATGTAACAGCATTTGGATTAACATTGCATTTTTTGAAATATTGCAAACTATTTAATCATATTATCTGTTTCTATTTGTCTTTGCAATTGGTTTGAGGCAAGGTTATATGCTTCTGTTAATCTTCTAACAGACCTCCAACTACAATTCCACCAATTTTTGAGAAAGATGAAAAGGGAAGAAAGATTGGAAAAGTACCAATTCCAGTTTGGCCAGAATGGAGTGACCAGGACATTGCTGCTGAAAAATGGGTAAACAACTATTTTACCTGTGCATGTTTTTTTCAACTGAGTTATGATGAACATATTTAGATCATCTTTCCAATGTGATATTTATTTGGATTTTATGTTTTTTGATATTTTAGGATACTGGACATCGAGTGAGAATTGAGCAAAAAGGACGAAGCCCAGGGACATCTATGGTATCATAAGTATTTCACTATTTTGCTATGGATTTGTTTTTTTTTAGATTTAGATAAATTGTTGGCATGTTTGGTTTTATTTAGTTATTATGTTTGTATACTGAGATGCTCATTTTTTTATTCAGCACTTTTTTGAAGAGCCAGAAGGTAGAACGGAGCTCCCCGGTCCTCTAAAAGAAAAAGTACATAGCTGGAGAAGATTTCAGGATATTATTCCAGATGGAAAGGTTTGTCTGCAATTACTATAAAACCATTTATCACAATCTTTTTCATTTCATTGCAAGGCTTCTCATGTCTACATAATTGTGGGAGAAGGCCACATGATGACAGAGATCAGATGACAACATGAATAGGGTTGATTGAAAAGACAATTTTTATCTGACATGTTTGAAATCCCTAATGTGCTTATCCATAATTGGAAGTTATAGAATTTTTCTTATTTCATCTTACTTAAATATTATTTCTTATTTCTGTAAGTGAGTGAACAGGAAGTCTGTAACTGCTTGAAAATCAAAATTCTTTCTAATTAACAGTTGAAATTTTGTTGTTCGTGTATCCTGGTTACCAATAAATTGTTTTAAGCATAACTTAAGCTTCAGATTGGTTTCATTTAGGCAACATTTGCCCTTTGTCCAAACTATAGATTCCTGTCATGGTGGATGGTGAAACATTGAAAGGAAAAGAAATCGATCTACTTTCCTCTTCTAATGATGATGTCACAGATAGTGAGGTATTAGTTTGTCCATTATGCATAAGCTCAACCAATTTAATTTGACAATTGGTCTCGAATTTGATAGGAGAATGCTAACATTAGAGCACATGAATATATCTGGAAGACAGACCCATTTATTGGTGCCTTAGAAGACTATGTCCTTTCTTATACATGTTTTTGTAAGTAGAACATATAAACATGGGCTCCGATGCAGGCAGGGGTTTTTAACAATTATAACAAAAGAATTGTTAAAAAGCTCTTTTGCAAAAAAGTGGGGGGGGGGCATGGCCCCCTGGTCCCCCTTCATCAAAGGCCTTGATAAAACAACTTTTTAAAATGGAGTCAGTAAACATTATGATATTCTTAGTAAAATTGTAAATCAGTTTAGATGAATAACAAAAATTGGGACTTAAAAAGAGTAGAAGAGCAGAAGTATTTTTATACTTAGTTAGTGAATGCCTTACAATTATGTTTTTCCAATTGCAGCTAATGAGGTGGATTATTGCTGGGATATCAACCCTTGCAAAGCTCCTAAATCAAGCTGAATGTGATTCAACTTGCAATATGTTAAAAACAAAGTCATCTAAAGAGCAGAGAGACACTAAAGAATCAAAAATTGACAAACTTAAGAAAGAGAGTGAAATATTTAATGATGAGTTATCAGGCTGGAAACCTTGGCACCACATTTGGCCTAAAGACCCTAGCAGTCGTTACACATCAGCTCCACTTTATAATCCTGGTGGTAAATATTGCTTGAAAATTTTTTGGATGGTAAGTTTCCAGCTTATTTTTGAGTTTATACTATACAATCAATACAATACAATGCAATACAATACAACACAACACAATGCAATACGATGCAATGCAATGCAATACAATACCATTTGCTAAATACAATGTACTTTGTAAATATAATTGCTATTTTTGAAATGAATTTGGTCCAAAATCAACATATTGAGTTTCTTGTTGTTATCCTGATTAATCTTTTCAAGGGTTGTTGGAGAAAGATAACTGTTGATGACTTTGTTCCCTGTGATGAAAATGGAAGTATACTCCTTCCAACAACTCAGAAGGAAAATGAACTCTGGCCTTTGCTTCTTTGCAAAGCTCTTATAAAAGTTGCATCCCTTGAGTAAGTTTATTTTTATATTTCAGTCATGCCAATGTTATGAACTTTATAAAATAATCTAAAATTGTTACAGGTTTATGACGGATATCTTTGTTTAGATAGTCAGAACATTAATTGCTGGAAGTTTCTGAATGTATCGAAAAAAGACAATATTTTTTTGCATTAAGCTTTCAGTTTGAACAAGCAAAGATATTAGGTGAAGATGGTCAAGTGCAAATACAATATTTTTTCTTATAACAAAAATGTCTTCAAATATTCAAAAGGGTAATAGATCCTGAATATTCTGAAGATCCTGAAGATTAACAATAAAAAAATAAAAAGAAGTACTTCAACATCTTTTGAATTTTTAGTTATAATGGTGGCTATGACTTCAGTGAAATGGGTGATTCCAACATGATCCACTGCCTCACTGGCTGGCTTCCGGAGCCCATTCCATTGAGATATGGACACACAGCTGAAATTTGGAAACTTTTGCTTGATATATTACCAAAATGGAAGTTAGAAGCCTCTGAAAGCAAGTCAAAGACGGCCGAAAAAGAAGGGAAATTGCCAACAGAAGAGGAGGGAAAGAAGGAAGAGCTTCCAAAGCTGGAGGTAAAGGAAAGCAAAGAAGGAAAGGATCCAATTAAAAAGAAAGAGGAGAAGGACAGCAAGGATATAGGAAACAAAGAGAAAAATGAAAAAGCTAGAAATGAAAAACTAAAAGACAAGGAAAAGACAGAGAAAGATGGAAAATCTAAAGAGAAAGGTTCGCTTTAAATCTGAGAATTTCTCAATGTATCCTCACCTACTTTTTTTCTTGTACAGCAAGAATGATTTTGTCTAAATCGAGATTTGTTTCTATGGTTATTGGATTTGATGCAATAGGCAATACCTCCTTTTATACTCTTTTTTGACCAGTAGCCATATATATGCATTTCGTACCCCATGATTCAAAAGAAACACATATCTGCTACCTTATTCAGTTGAATTACTGATAAAGTGGTAGAGGTTAGCCTCTCTCACCTCAGTATTGAGAGGGTTGTTTCACAGACAAATATAATTTGATATTGCTATATTATAATTTGATACTTTTAAGTGGAGCGTGGTCTAATTTTCATCTTTATTTTTAGCTAGTCTCGCAAGCAATACACAGGCACGACTGAACACAGAACCAGAATATGTCATATTTGCAAGCTATTCTCCTCCACAAAAAAAGCCACTACGTATCTCCACACTTCGAGAAATGGTAGCGCATTTTTAATGTTATTTCACAACCCAGAGATAGCCTCTGAATTAATTTAGGTCAAAGTATGTTGACACGATTTAGAGTCGTTATTGCAATCAGGGCCGCCGAGAAATTTCAGAGGCCCTTTGGCATAACCGAAAAACGAGGCTCACAGAAAATTGTTTGTATGTTTGATTAAAATGGAATTATGAGGCCTACTAGACCTCGAAACGCTGGGACAATTTCCCCCTTGACCCCTCTTGGCAGCCCTGATTGCAATTATCTGGTCACTTCGTGTGCAGACCAAATTTTTTAACACGATCATCAGATAGATTTTATACTGTGTATGTTTTCTAATCTATTGTATATAGTTAGATTACGTCGGCCTTAATTAGTTCTACGTAAATAGCCGTACCACCTGCCAACTTCAAATAAATCATCTTTTATATTATTATCATTATTATTATGTCACTTTTGAAGATTCGATTTTGTTTCTTACAAAAAAATGTTTATAGTCAATGCCATTTCAAAAACCAAAATGCAATCGCTTTATTATATCGTTTGATACTAGACACATTGACCCTCCCTGACTTCAGTGGTTGATTCTTTGACAATATAACTGTAGATGGGATCACAATATTGGTGTTCATGAATAGTCATTGCACAGATATGATATGTGTTTTGGGGGTTTTTGCAATCGTTTCTTGTAGCAGTCTCTCCACAACTCTCCATTTATCAAATAGCAGTGCGATCTTTTCTTCTCCATCAATGAAATTACCAGTCAACATTTACCAGAATTCAAGAACTAGCATTTATTTTTCCAGCATCCAAAGTATTTCTCTTTTATTTTAAATATTTATCTTCCAAAATATTTCTCTTTGCCGACTAGCAAACCAAAGTAAACTTGCATTGTAGGCCGATGCGTCAGAAAAGCTTCGACAATCTGGTTTGTCTCACAACCATCCCCATCCAGTTCATTTAACAATGGTACGGAATTGTCCACTTGTCGCTCCACCAACTCCTGTCCCTATACCAAGATGGAAACTCATTCGTCAAAAGAAGAAAACCCAAATAGTAGAGCCTCCTTTGAATAAAGACCCACCCAAGCCACCAATGTTCGTCGAGGTGGCTTCGCCGTTCATCAACTATCGGGTCAGTCCTATACCTGTGAGCAGAGTGCAGTGAGTACTAATGTCAACTTAATTACTGCTGCCAGCCAGATAATCTTTTTACCAGCAAAGGTTCCTCTTACAAAGGAACAAGCTGATTTAATGCATCATTGACAAGATTTTCTCAAAGTGATATTTGAATAATCACTGCTTAATCACACCGCGTCTGGTTGCATTTTTCATTTAACAGCTCTTAACATCGCGCCAATGCTACTCAAATTACAGGAAATTCAAATGAAACACGATGGAAAAGATAATCTAAAATTTTCAAATTTGCTAACTTATTATATTATCATTCAGATTCCAATCATTCAGGGGGTATTTCCCTTTGTCGTAGTGTTGCTAAAGATAGTTTTGGTCCAGTACAGTTTACCGTGAAGACATTAAAAACAAGTTCAGAATTACTGAACATTAACTTTTATCATTGTGCAACATTTATTGAAGAAATTTCATTGGAAGTGAGCACTAGACGGTTTCACCTGTCCATGGAGATTAATGTGGGTCTTTTGTCTCTAGGTCCCCTGTCAAGTGGAAAAAGTTTAAACCAGAGACTCCAATGGATAGCGTTGTGGAGGAGGATAAAGTGCCGGAGCAAGAGGAAGACAGTGGTGTTGGTACAGACAGTCCGAAAGAAGGAAAGATGGACAGCAATGATTTGCGGAAGGAAATCGGGCAAGAGCCAGTGAAACCAGCAGAAAGCCAACACTCGGTATTTGCGATTTGTCTGTTGTATTCTGATGTACAAAGTGGAATCAATGTTCCATGATTTAGCTCAAGCACATTAAACTGGCTTCCATTGCTGGCTATACACTGATTTGAGCTTATTTAGAATAGAATAATCAAATGCTATTAGTTTCAAGACGGAAAGCCGTACAACAATACCTATTCTTTACGGGGAGTTTATTTACAGAATATTATAAAATTAATCGACACTGCATTTATTTAGCTTGTCCTGATATGTTATCATAGAAATGCTACATTCTATTTGAACATAGAGTTAAAACAAGAAAATGCATAGCATTTTTTTTCTATTAAATGATTTTCGAGCGTATGAGTGTACCTAACAACGTGTTTTCTGTCATGACCTCAGAGTCCGCCCAAAATCAAACCAATGATAAGCATTGATGTTAGCTTCGATGGCATGGAAAAGGAAAAGGCTACAGACGCTGCAAAAGTAACACATTCAAAGTCGAGCAGCCATCTCAAGAAGGAGCGAACTAATTCTGGTAAAAGCAATCTCGCTGAAACTGATTTATTGGAAAAGAAAGTTAGTAGAAAAGTCTCTGTCGCCTCAAGCAAAAATGAACTTGGATCTGCTAGAGGAAGAAAATCTTCAAAAATGGAAAAAGCTTGTATGTTCTTGTTTGCGTTGCTTGATTTGTTACATTTTCATATGTAAATTCGATTTTTCGCACCTTTCTTTCCTAAAAACTCCAGTTTATAGATTTTAAGACGGTGAAAGAAGAAGTGATCACATTCTATTGTCCTTATATTTGCTTGTTACTGTATTTACTTTAGAATGTTCCCCATCTTAGGCCATATTATTTGTGTAAAAAAAGTTAAGATTCTCTGATAGCGCCAAGGTTAAAAAAATTTGGATAACTTTGCAATTGCAGTGTCCGAGAAAGAAGTCAAGGATACAAAAGAAGCGAAAGCCAAAGCAAAAGAGGATCTTAAAGAGAAGGAGCCTAGCGAAGTTATTCCAGAAATCGAATTGCCAAAAGGTGAAACAGAGGTCAATGCAGAAAATGAAGAAAACGAGGCTGAGAAAAATGAAGAGGACGCGAAGGATGGAGAGAAGAAAGAAAAGGTTGAATCATTATGGATGGAGTACGACGACTTCTGCTTGTGTTTCAAGTAAGTATTTGCCTTACTCAATTTGCTTCTTTACGGTAGCCTAAAATTTAACGAAACTGACAATCGAATGATTCTAGAGGCATCCATAGCATATATTAAAGCAACTAACAGAATTAACTGTAGTAGAAACTCGACGATTTGCGACCTTTTATCTTTCATCTTTTTTGGGTTTTGGTCTAAATAAGCTCTTTGTGAAACATGACATCAGCATCAAGAACCCAGTGCATAGCTCCTTTATGAACCCACTTACTTAGACCTATTTTATTTTCTAATACCTGTAATAAACCCATAACCACAAGATCGCCTGCCCTAAACTGGCGTATGCAAGCTCCTACCAAATGAAATGGTACCTTGGTTCACAAAGTGTTTCTGTTAGATATGCGACAAAGTTAAGTGCGATGAGAGTAGGGAGAATTTTAAGACGATTTTGCATGGTATCAGAAAGATTGTTATGTGATTGATTTGAAGTAAGTACAGTTTGATGACATGTGGCTGACAACCATAACCACTAGATTCTGGTGTCAATATTCAATTCTTCTTCTTTTATTTCAAGAAAACGCTTAATTCTGTTATCATTAGTTGTTTGAGAATTTAGATAAAACACACCATCGTTGCAGTAGAGATTCTTACATTATTTCAGTTTATTCTCTCAATACTTTCCTTATTTATCTCTAGCACCTTATGGGTCTTTCACAAGTCACAAACATACAGTTTCTACAAAGGCCACTCAGAACTCAAGGTTGGTGTCAAGCTCATCGAACACCCATATTTCTCAATTCAAATCCCAAACTGCCTGGAACTCTGTCCTAAACTTGCTTATTATATATTTTGTGAAACACATTCCGTAACATTCGTGTCAAGCCCGTTAACAATTTAACTTCAACTTTACACTTGATAACATTTCGTATTCAAAGCAATCTAATTGAATATGTGGCAAATGTATTGACGCTCTATTTGATCATAAATTCTACACTTTCTCATTTTACTAATAAGTGGTATTTTGTGTAACTCTCTGCATGGCATATTCTAGAATGCGGATCAAAAGGCGGACAAGAACAGGCGTTCTGTATTGAACCCGGCATTGTCCAACATCGCCCCAACTCCTTCCGGCCGAAACCCTTCTGTAGCCAGCCCATCTGCCTATGGATCACACTTGCCACTTTCCGATGCCCCGATGCCTTTCTTGTTTGTTGACAGTTTGTCGAAAATCGAGCTGCTCGTGTCCTTTGCTTCGTTTTCTCGTTGGTTTGAGCCTCTTATTCAAACGTACCCTTCTGTCAAGGAAAAGGAAAATCAAGGTATTTCTCAGTTGTGTTTACTTTGGTTGTTAAACATTTCTTCCGTTTGTGTTTTGTATACGTGTATTAGTTCACCACTTCTATTAATTAAATGGCCACCTTTATCGTTGCTTAAAACTGAAATACTAAATCAGTGTCTCATTGTTTATAGAGTCTGAAGAAAAACCTATCAAGGAAACATCTCAAACTGCACCGCCTCCTGGACTGTTGATTGCCGAGCCATATTCCTGGAAGAGCCTTGTCAACGGGCTACCTTCCTTGCGTATAAAAACCACAGGGATAAAAGGAGCAGTTCTCACTTTGCCACCTGGGTAAGTGTTCGGCCTGTTCTTGAGTCTCCTCGAAAACTGATGTGTTTAACAGTATCGACACTACCTGTAATAAACTATGTTTTCACTTTGCTGATAACTTTGATTAGACAGATTTGCAATCAAATGAACCAATTTTCTGCTATCGTGTAATTTCCAAATCCCTATTGCTCAAAGGAATTTGTTTGGTTTCCGATCAAGCATTATTTCAATCACCAGATTTTCTTTAGAAAATTTAAGATGTTAAGGCTTATCGAGATATTTTCGTAGAGAAAATTACAGTTGAGACCAGCAATCAATACTTGAATCGATCTGAAAACAAACTCGGTTTAAGTGTGTATTATCAAAAATGTTGGATTTTTTTAAGGCGACACGTTTTGAGGTTCATGATTCAAGCTCCGATTGGCTACCATATTGACATCTGCTCACAAACGTCGTTCGTGTTTGGGGAAGAGGATCTTATCATGCAGCACCTTACAAAGGTAATGCCCTCTTCACAGCGACTAAGTTTTTTTTATAACTTGATCATTTAATGGAATATTATACCAATTCCGCGCTTTTTTATTACAGTATCACCCTAGTTACCTAAATCGGGCCTTAGTGGCTTTTTCAAGTCTCGTTAGTTTTGAAGTTCCTTACAGCTTTGAGGTTTTATAGGTATAGTCGTAAAGCTTCATTGCCTATCATAATTACTGTAATGATGAAGATATCTGTACACGAAGAGCCCTCATTCCCGTCAAGCCCTCCGTTTGTGAATGAGTCCAAGTGAATCCCCGTTAGTACACAATGTTTGCCTGGTGCGTGTGAAAACATTGACTAGCGCGAGCTAAGTTTAAATTAGTATAAATTATGTGTTGACAAAAAGCTCATGATCAAAAGTACCATGTACGCCAGCAAAGGATATTTCTTCTTATAATTCGTAAACTGTCATTCTCTCTTTCATGTGTGTGACTTTGCCTAGAATCTCTGTTTTTTCTTGTTTATATCCGTTGACAAAAACACACATTTATACCGACTTATGTCCTGTGATTGGCTGAATTTAATTTTATTGCAGGAAAGCATTAGCTTTACCCAGTATTCCATTAATTCATTGTTGGGACTCATTGAAGTTATGACATCATTCAACGATTTTGCCAAGAACAGGAAGTTCAACCTTGGAAGTGAGGCGGAATCTGATTGGACATTTTCACGACACTTCGAAGTAAACCTCCATCTTTTAATTTTTGCTAAACTGTAGCCTGGCTATTAATTTTTTCAGATCTTCAAAAATTATCAAGTTCTGAAGACCTTTAGAAACCAAGTATTTGAGAATTCCCTTTTCATTTCATTATTTTATTCGATTTCAAATTTTTCAGGTGATCAGATTTCTTATCAGTTTCTTTTTTCCGAAAATTCGACAAAGCAATTGGAACTTTGTCTTTTCAAAATCTGTTTCAGGCTTTTGCCATTTGTAAGGCATTTCAGTGATCAGGAAACTCTAATATTGGTATGGCTAAATCCTTCTCATCCTATTTGTTTATGTAAATTGGTTTTAAGGATGACTTTTGCCTAACGATAGAAAACATCTCGTTGACAGGTTCTGTTCTCTAGTTTCACAAACACAGTAAAAACGGAGATGGGAAATGCGTTCACAGCTGTAACCTCGTTTTCGATTGAAGCTCTCAAATACGAGACAGCTTTGTGTTTGAAGAGACACTTGCATTTGGTAGATGCAGAAAAAGAAGAAAAAACAATGGAGCAAAGGGTTGGGGAGGAGCAAGGAAGTGAAGATAGTTTGAGTGAAGAGTTGAAACGAATCAATGCGGCAGCAAAGATACAGGCTTGCTTCAAGGGTCATTTTGTCAGACTTCTGGCGAAAGCACGCGAGCAGGGTCAGTTTGGCATCCATGTGATATTTGCCATTTTGATTAGAAAGTATTTTCTCAAAATGAAGCCAATTTGTGTTGACACAAAAAATTTCTGCATTTCTAACCATTATCAATTAAGGATATCCTATTTTGTTTTATTTTCAAAATAGCTGATTGCTTTGGGCATTTTGAATAAAGAAGGTTGCCATTCTAATGGTGAAATGTATTGCTAAAATAACGTTCTCCTTGAAAAACGGCAATATTTTTAAGGCTAGCTGATATTGTAATGTTCCTCATCAGACAGTTTGTGATTTTTATTTAATCTTAGAAGGCTAAAGTGGACCAACTATCATTCACAACCTAAAGAGCGATGCCAGCATTAGACAAGTGCTTGCTGTTTACTTTTCATGATTTTTCAATAACATCTTTACTTTCTAAACAGATTCAGAAGAAAACAAAATTGTCACAGAGCAGTTCAAGAAAATAATGACAGTCATCGACACGAACACCGAGTACTTCGCATTGCAAGTGTACCGCGAAATGTTCAAGGCCGACCCTGACCTTTATTCAGTATACCCATTCAGCGAAGACGAGTGGACGAGAATCGCCTACGCAGATTACAATGGTGGATATCCCGAGCAGCCAGTCAATTCTTGGTTCATTGTCTTTAGGTTTGTATATATTTAGATTACAAGTCTACCCACCACAGTGCTCTCTACACCCAATTACCAATGTTCAATTAGCTCTCCCAGTCTTATTTTTGGACCTCCAGCATTTTGCGGTGAGGCATGTGGAGACATTTGTACCTCATTAAATGTATGGTATTTAGGAGCAAGGAAGAAACCTGATTGAATATTTCCTGGTCATGTTATCATATTAATGACAATTAAAACTTTTTTTGCATATCAAAAGCATCTCTGCATATGCCTCAGAACTGGATGTTGTTATTCTGACAAATTAATAAGATATTGTGTGAGCGAGCGAATAATATCAGACAGTATCAATTTAAGCATATCGACAAATGAGCAAATGGATGAGCTTGAGTGAGTCAGTAAGTTAATCAACGAACAAATGAATGAATGTACAAAAGAATGAATGTACAAATGAATAAATGACTGGATGAATGAATGCATTAATGTAAGAATGAATGGATGAGTGAATACATAAATGTATGAATGAATGAATGGATGAGTGAATGCATAAATGGATGAATGAATGGATGAATGAAGGAATTAATGAAGGAATTAATGAAGCATTGAATAAAACAAGTAAAATGACAAATAAAATAATAAATGGATGGATATACATCGAATGAAAACAAGACGGAATAAGTAAACAAAAGGAAAGAGTAACCGGGGGAAAAGAAATAAATAAATCAGAAATAAGTGAAAGAGAGAAGTCAATACTGAAATAATTTAAAGAACGTGTACCAAATACACATATGTATGGATCAAAATGAATCTATTATTAAAATAGTAAAGTAGTAACTTTGAGACAAGATGAGTGAAGAATTCAATGTTCAAAATCAAGTGATGTGGTAAAAATTGTTATTACAAATTTAGGGAAGTGTTCTACGTTGAAAGCCCAGTATTGGTTGTGCCAAAGTTGTACATCAACATTAACAGTTGCGTGTTGCGTGTCGTGGACAACGATACTGGAGAACAGATGCCAATGGTGTTCATGCGAGTCACTCCGCGAGTTTTACATAAAAATAAGGTGTGTCATGTCATTTACCATCTTCAAACTATTGTTCTATCCATTCATTAAAGGATTCAAATTTCGTATCAACTTCTCTCACTTTGGAAATATTTTATAATTTAATGGTTGGGCAGAATTCAGAATTAAATTTGAACTGATATAAGAACTCCCGTGATTTATGTTAGCAATTGTCTCGACGGAACCCGGCTGCAAATACTACAGTCGTTTTTATACAAGAAACTTGCTACAAGAAATAAGTACTGAACAATCAGAAAACCTACGAAACGCTAGTAGTCACGGCAAAAATATCAAGAGACAATTGAATTTTGAAAAAAACAGAAATCAGAAGCTTTGAAAAAATTCCATAAATATAATTAGCTGGTTGGTTTATTAAAATAAAGCTGCGAACCCCCCCCCCCCTCAAACAAGGAAATTTTTCTACTGGAAATATGTTTAAATGTCATGGTATGTATGTATGTTAAAGTTTCAAATGTTAGAATTAACATCAATGTTAATTATAGTGATATCAAAATTAAAAAAACTATGAGCAATGGGATTTGCTGAATCATAAAGACACTGGGGTCCCGAACTTCCATTCTTCTGAGTCGCAGTGTCTGCAGTTTCAGCAATACTGCTCCCTTGGTTAATACTAAGAGTGGCTAGCTCTTATATGGAACAGAAAAGGTTTTTGGAAGAAAAATTTATGAAAAATAAGTGGAAAAGGGCGCATGCCTACTTATCTGGTGTGGCTTGATTTATGGATGCAAATGAAACACAATTGGGTTTGAAGAGAAATAGCTTGAAGTGCATTGCTGTTATAAAAAAAGAGGCTAATTATTGTTTCGTGTTTCAATTCCAATGGGGATGTGAAACGTGAAAATATGAAACGTGGGTTGTATAAAAAGTGGACAATCGTATGCAGACTAAATTGCCAAAAAGGTATATACCAAAATCTTATGTCTGTGGGGCGAATACCTCAAAATGAAAACTTGGCACCTAGTCAGTCTCACTGCCAAACAAATGCTCTCCATATTCTTATGGACATTTACAGGTTACAGGTTTTTTTGTAACATTGTGATATATCTATGCATAGAACGGGTACACATTCATCGCAGAAGCGCGAAGTGGCAATGGACCGGTGCCTGCAGGAAAGTTTCGCCTTCGCTTGATTGGCGCCACAGATCCATTGCCGATGCCTGTCAAGGAAGGCGTCGTCAATGCCAATTTTACAACCAAGGAGATCAGAGATTACTATTTGCCCAACAGAAACAACGTTATTTTCAGGTATGCTTTTCTCTCTCGTTTTTATTTTTTACTACATTCTAAGCAAAAGTCTTAAAATTCCGCCAAAATGTTTTGAGCAATGATACCCAAAAATGAATTGAGTGTTTTAGGGGCTTGTTTGAATCTTTTTTTGAAATTATTTGAAATTTTTAGCCATGTTTGAATAGTCCTTTTCGGGGAATCATATTTAAAATGTTGATCGTTAAATTACCATTGTCCATGGTTAGTCATTTTTAAATCCTCGGCAATTTTTAAAGCAGACTTTTACTTACACAGGTACACAGCGAAGGTTTATGATGACCATCCCGTCAGTATTCAAGTTTCGACGTCAAAAACTGATGTATACGTTCGTCTTGATGTAAGTTTGCCTCACTTTTAAGACTATTGTCTCTCAAGTTCATTCTTTTGAAAGTGAATATGCCTTAGGTTCACAAACACAATATGCGAATGAATGAAAACAGATTAAATTTAGAAGTCCAGCTTTGCCGAAGAGATGGCCAATATTTGGTCAAATTTAATGATCATCAATCCTCTGTCAAGTTTCTATTTTTGCATTTGTCCATTAAGATTTTAGACGACGAGACGGTGGTCGCCAGTGCAACTGGCAAGGGACATGTCGTTCTTCCTGCTTTCACCTTTCTACGAGACCACACAGACGACGATGAGGAAAAAGCAAGCCACAGAAGTGAGTTCATACACAATCAAACGTAACCATTTTAAGAACAGGGGGCACTGTCAGACTATGCAAATGTATCTAAAGGTCTGAACCAGTTTGCTACTACAAAGGATTTACTTTAAAATATTGAAAACCTACTGGTTACGCAGCAAAATGCTTCCAAAAACAGACCTGTTTAAAGTACAATAGAGCACGTTTAGAAAGCAAGTTGTCTAGAGAATAACTAAAAAGAATTCTTTCCACTTTTTCGGAAAATCTTAAGATTATTCAGTTAGTAAGGTTTCTTTTGTAAAATTTCGTTCTATTTGTTTATTACTTCTTGTTTATTACTTATTTTTTTATTATGTTTTTATTTGTTTATTTCTTGCTGTTTGCTACTTCCTATTACCAATAAATCTAAACGAAACAAAACTCAAGATAACTGAGATGCAAAAAACACAGATAGCATTATCGAATTTCCTCCACACCCTTAATAATTTTACAAATAATTTACAACGAATGTGACATCAACTTAGCCGGTTTCTGCCATTGTTTTATGCGTCAAGAAAGATTTTCTTTCTTTGCCATAATGTTCGGAAAGAGTTTTTCACGAATAAAAAATTTGACAGGCTCAAGGCAAGGCTCAGGACGATCTTCAGTCAAAGGCAGCCGGCTGCAGAAGTTTGTTACCGCGAAACGAGCGGCCTCCCCATTTGAAAAGACTGGGAAGAAGTCACAGAAAAATGGACACGCGCCGAACCAGGGTGCTGGCAACGAGGCTGTAAGTCTTAGAGGTTCCTTTGTGTTGTGTTGTGTTGTGTTGTGTTGTGTTGTGTTGTGTTGTGTTGTGTTGTGTTGTGTTGTGTTGTGTTGTGTTGTGTTGTGTTGTGTTGTGTTGATGTTTTTTTGATAGGGAAATCGAATACGCACATGAATTAAGTTTTAGATAAGTTCATGAGCGAGTAATTAAGGAATGCATTGGTAAAATGGGCGTGGTTAAATGATAAAATGAATTGATGAATGTACACATCAAGGAATGAATAATCGATTGAATTGATGATGAAACTAAATGGTATTCAATAAACTAGCTTTTTATTAACACAACAATCGACGATAAATTAGTATGTCTATACTAATCGATAAATCACTGAAAATGAGGTTTGTTAAAAATCAGTTGAAACACCTTAAGCAATGTTTTGACAGAAATTAATTGAGGCAAAAGCGTTTGGGAAATAGCAGATCCCTTTTGTTTCTTTTAGATTGAGAAAACGCAAAGTATGAGCAAACTACGAGCAGCAGAAAGCAGCGAAACAATTGACCAGGCCGCTGATGATCCTGAACAACCGCAGGTTTTATTTTTTATTCTTTTCAAAATCGCCCTTGCCCTTGCCTATTTCCATGATTGCTCATATCTAGAAGTAGTGATAAGCTCATAAACTCAGTAGCGAGGGGGCAAGGGGGGGGGGCTCAGAAAGTTGGTCTCTGAGAAAAGTGCAAATAAAATTTGTACCTTAGGTTGGGGGGGGGGTACGATAAAAAATAATCAAGAGCAACAAGGCTTCATTTGCCCAAAAGTGATAACATACGATGAAACAACAGAAAAATAAAACAATATTTTTTTGGAAATCTCATGCTTCCGTCAGTTTACATGGAGAGTTAACAATAAGCGCTGCGGCGTTTTATGATAGACGATTGGACGTAAGAAAAGGTCTTTTGTTAGTCAAACCAATCGGAAATTTGAATGGCAATCGAAATCCGGTGGGATAGGGCGCATTTTAACAAAAAGAGCAATTTTTCTCAGCAAATCGGCAACCATTCTACGTTAAAATGCCATGCACAATTGTTATTAACTTAACTTTCAAATTACTCTGGGCTACGCCACAGCATAAACTCCGATTACTTCTTTCGTCACAAAATTGGCGCTGGGCCTTAAATGCATCGAATTCCATTACAGACTCACAAGTACATAATTCAAGCAGTGGTGTTAAGGGACAGCTGGCCTTTATCACAAAGTCAGTGGAGCTTCATATCCATGCTGAAACACATCGAGAAAACAGACGGCGAGGGTGTGTTCGTTTAATTTATCTCCATTTCAAGAGCTGCCCCACAATACATATGACTCAACAATGTCTTGATCGTCGTCATCATAAACAAAAATCTGAATTGGTTAATTTGATACATCGTCCTAATTTTTCAATTCTCCCAACTTTTAATACTGCGTAAAACCACATAGTGCTCCGTAACCAATTACTTTTAGAATATTTCCAGTCCAACTTTTTGAATAAATTGTGGCCCTTGTATAACAGTTCCTTTTTAGTAAATTTACTTTTCACTCAGCAATGGAAACTTCAACAAAGACGGAGAAACACAGCGCGGGACCGAAGGGCAAGAAAGGCTCAAAGGACAACAAAGAAGGAAGGTCCAGCAAGTCTCATCAACAAAGTGTGACGTCACGGCCTGGTTCACAGGTGAGCAAGATTCATGGCATGGATACTTCTTGACTAGCATTTTATGTCTTCAGAAATATACAAACAATTTTGAAATGGAAAAGAATGCACAATTATATTTTGCGTTCCAAAGATGGAAAGATAATCTTCTTGGTCGATGGGAACTTTTAGAAAAACGTACCACTTATAGAGAGCCTTAGCAACGTTAACCGATTTTTGAAAACAGCTTTTCATTTTACATTTTTAAAAATAAGCGCTTCTCTTCATTCCTTCAGCAATTTGACATCACGAAGCCGAATTGGGTGTTGAGAGTGGTCAGTGACGCAAGCGCGGTAAGTCACTTTTGGCTGTTGTCAGCACTGCGCATGCGCGAAATGATCAAATTTGACTTTAGTTGTACTACGGATCAAAATGGTACGATAATTGGAAGTAGCAAACGCGTGGCAAGAAACATCGAGCAATGAGGTTCTTTGGCTTGAAAAATAACACTTCAAATCCCTCATTCAGGGCAAGTCATGCAAGTGAATGGTATTTAATCTAAATTTTACATATAACCACCGGCTTGGTCGTAAGCCTGCTTAAGGAGAAACAAACTGAAGGCCTCAGTGCTTTCGCAAATCTCCTGGGAAGGTCTGAGACGAAGGTCATTCAAGGCTCTAGCAGGGCCCCCTCTTAAGGAGGGGTGGGAGATTAGAAAGTTCCTGGCGTACGGCAATGGCACAAGACGCGAAAACGCCTGATGAGTGGGTTGCACGCTGATGCCGCAGTGCGCTTAGGCTGAAAAACTCCCATGGCCAGCAACTTGAGTGCGATTGGCAGGGTGACATCCTTGTGACGTCATAACTCAATTCAGACTACTCTACGACCAAGTTCCTTTTTTCAGCACGATCGAGTGCAATGAAAACAATAATATAGAAAGATTCAACGGTTTTAACGGGCCAGCCAAATAATCTGACCTTGTTATGACCAGAGACATGTTTTGCTAATTTCCGAATCAAAAAGTAATATTTATTGCATAGAAACAGTTGTTGACTTTTGGTTGCCGAGCGGAAATTTATTGAGACATCATAATAATCACCGACATTAAAACGTTATTGCGATACACATCATCTTGTGATTAGCTTCTTGTCTAGTAATTCGTACTGAAACCATTTTAACTAAAGCGTAAACCGAAGTTTCTATGCTGCATCTGTTCTTTCTACCACAGAGCGAAATTGAAATAAAGAAGGACACAGAGAGACAAGATCAAATCAAGGCAATGAAGGCCGCCTGGGAGGCAGAGCAGCCTGGAAGGGCCGCCAAAGTAAGTCAGCTGACACCAGTTGAAAATAACTAACCCCATTTTCAAACACTTCTATCAGGCTCTTCAACCAAGCAAACGTGAGGTGAAGATCAGTATAGGTCATTTGAATTCCTACAACATCTAAAATTTTTGATCTACGCAAATTAACAATTGCCTGAAGACCGCATTAAGCAAGAATCTCGGAGTAGCAGCTTATAACCGTCCTGTTCTATACACCAAAAAACAAATTTAAGTTTAAATGCTTTCGTTTTGATGTGATGTTTTAAGAAAAATTATTAGGTTATTAGATTAATAAACAATAAAAGTAGAACTAAAATAATGAAATGAAGTGGCACTTCTGAAGCTCTTTAAACCTCTAAGAAGACTTTAAATTGCGAGTCCACTTTTCCACTGCTAGCTGAACTTTTCCTCTTTAGGCCCAAAAATCGCGAATGAAGTTTCTGAGCGAAAACCTCGTGAAAGTTACAAAAAGCGAAAGCCAAGAAGACACCGAGCAAGCAAGAAAGCGGGAAGCTTCAGAGAGCGGCACAGAAGCAGGTTTGTAGGCAATTATTTCGGTGGAAATAAGGTCAAGCTGAACAAAACCTTATCCAGTTGATATAAGTCCGTTGGATACAAAACTAGGCGAGTTTATTAGACCAAGCTGAACGAAAGCTAGGCCAAGTTGAATAAAAACTAGGCCACTTTGAATAAGAACTAGGCCACTTTGAATGTAAACTGGGTGGTATAAAAGCTCACCAGGAAAACAAAATTTCGTGGGGATTTATTTGCGGGAAACGCATTATGTGAAACAGGTATACGACGAAGTAAACATTTGGCACCTAAGAAAATAATATTCAAACTTACCGATGTAAAAGGCTACAAGTTGTGCTAGCTTTGGTCTGCACCATATAGGCCATCGAACGCTCACTTTTTGCAGAAGGGTTCAAAAGAATTAATGTTGTCAGGAATTTGATGCACTTGGGACTCAAAAACCGTGTCAAGTTGCGATGGATGTTTGTTTTGGCTATTTAATTATTCGTAAAAACACGAAGAGCGTGGTCTCCAAAGGTACAGTGTCTTCAAATATAAGCAAGGGGTTTGGTAATACTGCTACACAAATAATCTGCGTATGATAATTCGGTGTGTACCTATCAAAATAAAATACCAAAAAATGGGACACTTTTTGAGCTGGGTTGCAATGTAAACAAACAACTGGGTAATATTCAACCTGAATTCAATCTCGAGTAATTTCAACTAGACGAATATTTCTTGGAATTCTTTTACATCAGGGCGAATTTCTCTGTAGAAATTTTTTCATCGTTATTTATTTTTCGTTACCACAGTTCCCCCACCCCTGTCACCCGGGTTGCAATTGGATAACGACCCCAGCGAGCTGACGTTGACACCACCCTCAAAGGATCAGGACATGAAGCTAAAACCATTCGACATCACTCCCTTCATCAGGTGACAAATCTATTAACCTATGTAAATATTATCTTATTTTTCTCAGCCTCCAACATATCATAAATATTGCGTCACAGCAAAGTCGATGTAGCAGCCATGTTTTCTATCAGCACGCAGATTCCATTGTTATGATTCCTTTTTATCAATTGATTGAAAGAGTAGGAGAGAGTCGTACGCACGATTAGCTCAAATAAAAGCTGCTTTGTTTCAACTGAAACACTGAAAACAATTATTTCAATACATGCTAACAAAATAACGTTGCGATAGTCAATTACGACACAAATGTTACACTGACAGAGTAACGTCTCGAGATACATACGCTGCTGTTACGACATTCGTACAACACAGTTGCGATACTGCCACGATTGTCACGGTTGGCTAACACGATACAAATATGATACTGTTACGATTGTACACTGGTACCACACTGTTACGGTACTTCAGCAATAACGTACATTATATGACAAAATTACGATGTTGATCTACAATACTATCTTGATAAAAATAGAACATCTATAACAGCGGAATAAACTTGAGTATTTTTATCTATATCAGGTCCACTGGCAAAAAATTGCTGCTGGATGAAAAAGAAGAAGAAAGATTGGAGATGGAGTTGCAAGAGAGGATACAAAAGTACAGGGAACTCAGGGAGAGCGTTTTGAAAGACAGAGAGGAAGATAGAATTGCGAGAAATTTAGAAAAAGAGAAACAGCTTCAAGAGTATGAGGAAATGCAGGTACATTTTTAGATTGAACTAACGGATTATTTTCGTTCTTGTCACTTACGGTCAATATCTGATTACAAATCCTTTTGGAATCACGTCTTTTTGGAATTCAAACAGTGCATTTCCGGGAAGCAGAGAGATAATACAAATTAGAGCCTTCTCACTGGGCTGGAAGTAAGAGAGAGATGGGGGGGGGGGGGGCGCATGTCTTATCGGCATTTATTACTGTTTTCTTGAGATAAACAAGAACCGTTATCAAAACTTTCAACGTCGAGGGCCCTATCTCCTCCAAATTCTACACCTCTACGATTTCAGGTTCCAATTATCCTCTTTAATTCGTCTGCTCTTTTGTTAGGCAAAACTGGATGAGAATAGGCACCGGATCAACTCACTGAGAGAGCAATACAGACAGAAATTTATTGACCAGCCGCCTGCAGACAATGCCAGTGAAGTGAGTAAAAAGCGGAAGACACCGTCACCTACCAGGGGTAGGAAAAGTCCTAGAAGTAAATCACCAAAAGAGAAGGGGAAAACTAAGTCTCCAGCAAAAGGCAAGAAGAAGTAGAAACGTTGACAAATGTTGATATGTAAATATTCTTGGCAACTTTGTTCATATTGGATTGTTAAATATCAGTTACAATTTATTGATTATCTATCACTTTTCATGTAAAAATATTTCTTTTCATTGAATAATGATTGAAACGAACATGAATAAAAACAAAAATTGTGTTTTGTTTTTATCACGACACTTAAGAAATGAATTTGATAAGACACAACTGCGCTATGTACTCTGAATAATCTCGTCCAAAATACCATTCCCCCCTCTTTAAAATTTCCGCCTATTTATTGTTCCCGCCTCTTTGTCATTCCCGCATCTATTTGTAAATTAGAGTTAAACTGACAGTATAAAAAACAATCCGCCACTTCTGACAATTTGAATTTTCAGCTAAAATTGATACAGCTAAAAGCATGCGTTTTATGAAATTATGATGCATAGGTTTAAAAAAATAGGCATTGAAAAATTCACTCTACAAAAAGATTTATTTTGAACTGGTATCATAGGTAAAAGCGATTGAGCAGCATTGTGAAGCAGGGAATCAGATATGTAAGAAAGTTCGTTACTGCTAGCGTGGGTGAGGTTCAGTTTCAATGATGTCACCATGCTGTTTCCTTTACGGTTCCACTGGCCACTGGACTTTAAGAAGGTGACTAGTGTTCCATCTTCTTCAAAGGAAACGGATCAAAATCTGGAAAACACCTCGAGCTTTCCAAACCAAATGGATCCAGTCTCTTTCTGTTCATTTCACCAAATCTAAAGTTCAGTTGTAAGGAGTCAGACAACAGTACAACCGATCGAAACCCCTTAAGCACCACTACTATTTTAAGCCTTATTATTCCAAAATTACAACGAATCCTACCTATTTTATGCTTAATTTGGGGGCAATTGAATCTCTTTCAATAACTTTTCATTATGAATGCTTACCTTTTGTTGGTTAAATTCGATAGAAATCTCCAATATGTTGGGTTCAAGTTGTGCGGCTCCAACACTGCCTGCATGGTAAAGGGGGAACGTAATTCTAAATCATATTTGCATTCAATTGAAGTCGAAGTGACAATGGTGGTAAAAGCCTGGTAAATATTTAAGATCGCAATATAAAAAGAAGGCTCGTGCATTTGTGACATGTCAGACTGTACCGAAAAACACAGTACCGAAAAACACAGGGTTCTGCCCTAAGCTTTTGTCGTCTACCCAATGAGGGTTAGCTTCCTTTCTCATTTACACTGCCAGCATGTAAATGTAAATGAGGCAGGACAAAAAAGGATGAGCCAAGTGAATGCTTCACACAACTGGGAAATATAATGCCGTATTTGCTAGCGACCGCTCACGTTTGGAACTTTGATTTTTTCAAAAAAACCAGAAATCACAAACACGTCACTGTACGGCCAAACTATCGAGCACTGTTAAATAACATTCGTGATTCAAAAAAGTTGCGTAAAGCTTTTCTTAGCTTGGCCACCATGCCATATGACAAATTAGATCAAGAACCTTTCACAAAGATGTTTGACGATCATCAAACATTTCATATGACATTGTGTGTGTGTGTGTGACAATGTTCCCTGGTAAGGCAGGATGTCGTCGGATAATTCATTTAAATGCTTGTGAAATTCATACGAAGAGACACACAGGTCCATGCACAGTGTATGACACGAACATCAACAACAACAAAAGTCAGACAAACATTGTCCAACAGGTTTGGCAATTGCAATTTCATTTCACAGAAACTAATGAAAAATATTTTCTACTCATGCAGCAATTTCATATGACAATGCCTTGGCTGTACTTTTAGCTTGTTGGGCACAACTTCAACTGGGCATGGCTTTTAACTAACCTCTGATTTATTTCACAAAAGGCGTCTTGTGGTTGTAAAGTGTACTACTAGATGTAACTTATAATTCAAGAAAACAAAATATACGCTCAATAGTATCAAGTTGATAAGAACTTACAGCGTGGAACATCACAGCAGTGCACACTGTGTAGAGAAACACATCGCCATTCTTAAACCAAGGAAGATAACCCTTTTGGGCACCACGAAAATACAGCACCTAAATTCAAACAAAATAAAGTTAGGGTTGAATTTCAAGCCTGATTGATTCTGAAAATGAGTGAGTGAGAATTCTGAACGCAGCAAAAATGAGTGAGAAACACAATTTTACAATGTATTTAAATCAATGATGTATGAAATATATATTTTAAATGTAGGAAAGTCGACTAAAAGCAAAAAATTGGGGATAAGCCAAGCTTTTAAGATTGCATAAAATAACTTTCCTCTTAAAAGATAGTTTGCAAACAATATTTTGGTTGTTAAAATATCAAAATTTGCCACGAAAGAGCAAAAACTTCAAAACACTAAAGCTTTCTGCCTGACACTCTTCAGAGTACAAAATTCTTCTAACGACAGAATATTTATCTAAGTGTGAAACGAACTTCTCCTGTGTTTGTCAATCATCTTATTTTCTTAAGGAGAATTAGCGAATATAAGTCCTAATCGCTTAGAAATACCTTCATACAATTTTCTACTTCTCCTTAAGCCCCGTTTACACAAAAATTTTGTCCACGTGCCAGTTTACAGTGTGCCGGAAAATTGCAGTCACGTGACCTAAATATTGCACAGAACCCCCAAAGCGAAGTCATCTCTGGGTAACAAAATAACAGAAAAATTCCGCCAACGCAACTCGACATGACTGACCAATCTTTCTTCAGAATAATCTGTTTTGCTTTCAGACGAAGTCCGAAGATATCATAAAAACAAATTAGAAAATGGCTTTGAAAAAAGCAAACATTTTACGACATACTAAAAGTTTTTTCGTCTGACACTCCTCAGAGCATAAAACGTCAGAATAGGTTCCAAAAAAACACGTTTGAAAAATATATACCCAGTTGTGGATCGAAATAGGCCAATCAGAAAAACGCAAGCACAAGACCGGTATAGTTGACCAATCAGTGCCACGAGCCTAAAGAAAAATTACCAATGGAGTCCAAGAGAGAAAACGAACTCCTTTTGTCTAAAAACAAATAAGGTCTAGTTAGTTTTAATAATTCGTTCTCTGAAACAAAATGACGCTGAAATAGCGAAGAATGTAGGGTAGGATCCACTTTCCTAGGTGAACTTATTTTGTTCGGATAGCCGCTCTCAAATCCATGCGGATAGCGTGGGTCTAGTGTAAACTTTTAAACTCTCTGAAGTCTAAACGGGTGTAAATGGGGTCTAAGTGTGTTAAAAAACAGACGAATCAGAGGCATTACCTCGCCAACTTTTGATAAAACGTACAAGGCCAGTGTTGAGCTTCTTTGGAACAGCATCGATAGGCCTGCAATGCCACCTTGAGAGTAAAATAAAGATTAGCAATTAAACATCATGAATCTATGTAACACACAATTCGACAAATCGCAGATTCATCAGCATTACCCGAAGCGTGTCACTCATATTGAATCCGGCGCCCACATCATTTTTAAAGCTGTATATCTGTGCATTAGAAGATGGTCTGATCTGTGTGCTTTCTACCTCTTATTATAACTTAAAAAAATGCTAAACAATCTGCTAAACAAAAATGCTACATATTATTTGAAACATGCAAACACTTTGACAACCTTTAAATATTACACGCAAAACTTAGAGAGAGTTTGATAAAAGTAAACATCGATTTACCGGCTAAAAATGAGTTCCATTCGTCTTTTTTCCTTCTGATCTTGTAGGAAACATATTCAAATACCTGAAATGCAAGCAGCCATGTAGAATGCATTTGAAAGGCATGATCCCAATTAATCTTGAAAACCTTTTTACCACAAGGAAATGCAATCTCCACGGTTAATCCGGTACCAAATTCAATATTCTGTTACCATTACATCCATTTCTAATTAAATTTGCTAATAACATGGATATTTGCTGCAATGTGTCATTTGTTTAGGCCCGGCAAATAAGAAACCACTTTGAAGAAACTTTGTGGCCAAAATGTCGTCTGAAGGCCCTGGTTTATAAAAAACTTTTTAGGATGAAGGGTCAGATAGAGTTTTTTTTATGTGGGTTTAAAATTTCCAATTTTTAACAAGGCATTTACTTAGATGCACTTACTTTTAAATGACAGAATCAAATTAACTTTTGGGAAACTGGATACTACAGAGCCTTAAGTAAATAAATGGGCAATAAATATATGCAATGTGGATGGTAAATCATACAATGCTGTACCTATTTTTAAGAGAACATGGTACCCAGCCTTGGGAAAATTGAGAAAATGTTAAAAAAAACTTTTGGCCTAAAAATAGAAAAAGACCCATGATATAAGAAACTTTTTAGGCTAAGTAGAAAAAAACATCTACTTATTTGCGGGGCCTTACTGTTTTTATCTTTCTTAAAGTAGCTAGTTACAAATCTTCAAAAGAATCGTGGTTTCTACAATAAACGCTAAGAATGGAGACATTGTGAATGAATGGTTTTCAGAACAAGCAATAATGCAAAACTTTTGTTAAAATTAAATTGTTTCATGCTAAAAATTTTGACAAGAAGAGAAAATATTTACAAAGTGCAGACATTTACCCTAAAGAGAAGTATCAAACTCCCCGTGAAGGCGCCAAATCTTGCGTTGTCCTTGTTCACCAAAGCGCGGAGTATTAATTCTAGAACAGATTGAAAAACTTGTGTATATCGGAGTGGCCATTGTGCTTCTTAAAATGGCTTTACATCTATGTAGACAAATTTGGCAAAATTTACAAATATCGTTACGATAAAAATTTCTTCAAAAATAATTACTTCTGTAAAAATACAATACATGTATGAATAATTACATGCTGATTAACATTCTGAAGAAATAAAAAAATCAAATTGATTTTAAAAATACATTGTATATTAAAGAGTTACTGATTCAAGAAAAATAAAAACAAATTTTTTTTTGATTGATGTTGTTTCCAATCTTTAAACTAACAAAATCGTGGACGAAAAGAACAAGAAGTCGTAAAGGGGCGCCCCTTCTTTAAAAGATTGGATACAATAAAGCACACCAGCAAACGATATAAAAAAGGAAAGGAACGAACAGAACAAGAAAATCAATGAATATGGAGATGAATGGGTGGAAAGAGAGGTAATTCTTCAAGCAGAAATTGTGACCATGACAAAAACAAACGAAATCATTTGCTTACTTGGATTGGAAAAAATTTTCGGTAAAGAAAGTAGAAAACCAGGAATCATCTTGATACAATAGCCTGCTGCAAAAACTTTGAGCGAATGGTGTATCCTGTAAAAAAACAATTATCGGTTGCAATTCAACTTTAGATCTGCAATCGGTTTTAGAGTAACGGCCATACGGCAAAGCATTCTCTTAAAAAATGAAACATCACCAGTGTTTCTTTTTGCAAATATTGGCTCCTGTCCCCTTCCAATCTGCATCCTGGGATAAATCAAGGAAATATTCAACTGATATTACCATTCTTTTCTGGGTTCCAGTGATTGTGGAATACCAACTCCATCCGGGACTTTGTCGCCCAACAGCAATCTGGAAAACGTTTAGCAACAAGTCAAGCTCAGTGAAAACTTTTTGATTTTAAACTTTGGATTCTGTCCAAAGAAAAACAGATTGAATTCACATCTAGATCCAGTTCGAAAGTAACTGGAAAGGAAGGGAGGTGCGTTTGATTGGTACCTTACGTTTTGACACTCTCTGTTTTTGTGAGCAAATGTTGACCAATTACCAAATTGTATTTTATTTGGGCATTCTAATTTTACAAACACGCTGTGGCTATTCTCCTTGGGGACCGATTTCTGACTGAATCTCGACTAATCGCTGATTAGCGCGTCCTACCTACCGACCTTCACATCGGGACGAACATTAAAAAAGCCAAACTTTTCGACTGGCAGGAACGCCATCCGTTTGGATGGACGGAAAAATGACCCTAGTTCTGTAAACCACACGAGACTTCACAGTGGAAAAATAGTTAGTTAGGCCCTTTTTTATTTGCCTTTCAAATTTTGCTGAAACGTTGCCAATATAAGGCATTTCTAAATATACGGGACACTTTTCAGGGCCAAATGTTCTCCCAGCTGAGAAACTGGCAACCTTTTTCCGAAAAAAAATCGGAATTATCAGTAATTTTATCAAGATCATCACCCAATTAAGTTTCAGAGCAAATCTTTAGTACCCTTTGAGCTAAGGTTTTTATGCAAACCAGCAATGTAATTAAAATTGGTAGAATAAAATCATTCAAATAAAAACACAAAAACCTGTATGATGAATGGACTAGTATTCAAATGCATATTACGATAAAACGTAATGCAGTTTCTTTGCTGATTCCTCTACTAAATTGCATCAGATTATGTGGACACCAATTTTTATATTATGATTACCAGAATGGTTGTGTAAAGGGTATGGTATTGTATCCTTGTTTGAAAACAGTACCGTTCAAACTGAGTCCAAACTCACCTTACTACCTTCTTCAGAATCCCATTTGGCAGTAACTGCTTTCTAAAGGAAACAAATCGACGATTCAATACAACAAATAACTATGTATCGCATCTGCTTTTTTAATAGTGAAGTAGAACACAAAAAGACACAAAAAGAGTGTCTTTGAAATTAAGAAAAAAACAATTGCGATTTGCATTAACATTTTGTCTTATAATCATTTCATATTTCATTTGAAGCGCCCAATTCAAACTATCTTTAAATAATTCAAACGAATGCTATTAGATATCAGGTGTGGTAAAGGCCATTGAGGGATGATAGACAGCTAAATGTCTGAAAAATTCACCTGTATAATTCTTTTATAGATGTAATAAATATCGTAAAAATAATATTTTTTATAATTGACAAGAGCTGAGCGTAATTGACATAAATGACAGCTACAATGTCAGCAGAGATGACAGTACAATTTCAAAAGCAACATCCTTCAAATTGTAGCACAATAACAGCAGAAACATTGTCATAAATATCAACATAAACGCTTGTAGTAATTAAAGTTTATTTCTCAGCAAATTTTATATTTGATTTATTCATAACATAACTCTGAAAAAGGTTGAAATATAATAGAAAAAGAAATAAGAATAAAATAAGAAATAACTGACCTGTGAAGATACATAGTTGTTGATGTTGCAAGCATGAACATACCAACCTGGGAAAACGCAATGACAGTTGTCATGTTCATAAAAATGCAATAAAATATTAAGGGCAAACAGCTATTCAAAGATTAGCCGACAGAATCTATATGCTACTGCCCCGAGTAGCATAAGGCCCCAAGTAGGGAAGCCAGGATAAGACGTAATTATAGTGGTACTAGGGGTGTTTACAAACAACACAAAAATCAAACCATCATACCAACTTTTGCAGATTGTAGCCTTATTGAAATATGCACTGTTTTACCTAATACTTACTGATATCAAACTTTGAGTACATTCATATACCAATGCCAAATAAATGAGGTATTAAAAACAATCTGTTACCTCTCCATAAGGTATCTCCATGGCATAACCTCTACTCCGCAAAATGTTATAAACTGTTTCTATAGCCTACAAATTAAAAAATAGTCAAGATGAAAGAAAATTTAATGGATATCACATATTAGTGAGCTCAGTATCTCGTAATAACAGTAAATCTAAAGAAAGATCTATAACTAAGTATAAAGTTTGAAAAAAATCAACAAATATGTACTTAAAAAAATATTTTCTTTATATTTGTCTCTTACCTTCTCTCCCATTTTTTATTCAATTCACCCAAATGAAAAAAACCTCTTTCCAATCCAACGTTAAACTCTGTTTGTGACGGGATTTTAAACCTGTCAGCATCGCTCAACATCCTTCACATTTACAGGGAATAAACACACTTTTAAGAACACTTTTGACATATAACATGTGAAGTTAAGGTATATCTTTTCATTTATTTCCTTACATTTCCATAACTCATAGAAGCTTACTGATAATACCTTACTGTCAAACACTAATAAGAGCCAAAGAATAAACACATTGATTTTCTACACAATTAATTAAATTAATCATTTTAATGCTTCCCCTATTTAAGGCCCCATTTAAGAGTGAAAATATTTTATGTACAACAAATCCACATGCTAAACAAAGGATATACTATATTGTCAAAATACTTACAACATTTAACATGTACAGAGCTAGCAAGCCTCTCCTGGATTTTCTTTCCAAAATAATCCCTCCAAATGAGCTTGCTGCACCTGGTAGAAACCCACAGCTTAACAAATAGAACCTTCCAAACAGCTTTCTGAAATTCAAAGATATGACATTCAAAGACATAATGATATCCAACATTGTTATTTCTATAAATAAAGCACTATATGTATGATTTAAACAAAAAGAGGTTGGTTACAATGAAGTAACAAATAGTCATATGTCTGGAGGATGGGTATGAATCTCATGCTGCTTCTACTTTGATCTTGTTGACTTCATCACCATTGCAAAAATACTCTTGGTAGTTCCCTCGTTGGCCTTATGCTGCTAGGCTAGCTAAAGCTGCTCCAAGCATATCATTACTATTTTGAAGCATAATCAATCAGATATCCTCTAGGAATCACCATAAACAAATACACAATTCCTGATGAGTTTGCAAGGTCACCTTTTGATTTTCAATTTAAGCTTCCATGAGAATCAGCAGTCTCTTATAACAAATTCTATTGTGGTGACATCCAAATACACATGTTTAGGTCTCAGTTCATGTAGCCCTTCAAACCTTATGGCAGCAGTCATATTCTCTCTTTACTTGCAGCACTGCTCATAAAGTCTTTTTAAAGAGGGTCCACATAAGTTGTATCTTTCTTTCATTAAAACTCATTACATTTTTAGGTTTTGAAGAGGACTAGTTGTAAAGAGTTAAGTTTTGCAGATAACACAAAGTTTCAATTTGCTGGTTTCTAGCAGATCTTGCCGACCACAGAGCTAGATGATTTGGGCATTGGAGAAAAATCTGAAGGTCTGCCCTTCTAGAACAGAGGAGGAGAGTTCGTCTGAAGTAAAGATAAATGCAGTAGTGGGAACGATTCCTTTAGAGTTTGGTTTACCTAAAGATGAAAGTGGATTATTTTGCAGAAGACTATGCTACTGACTTTTGCAGAGATCAATAACTAGTGTATCAAATGGAAATTCTATTGTTTTAGTTGAGTAGCTGTGCTTTAACTATATTGTTATTTAAAAGCGTTTTATAATAACTGAATACCACGCACCAAAAAATAAGATTTTCGTTTATGGCAAGTGTTCTTACATGCCCCTACTGAAAATCAAATGGAAAGTTCGGGATGCTAACTTGCCTTTTTGTACAATGAAATTCTATTTTCCATCAGTTGGTATTATTGGAATCTTCTATGGGAATCACAGTGTCATGACAAACTTTAAAACAAGTGCCATGACAAACATATGCAAAAACAAGTGGTGCAGATACAGTAACGTAACTCAGTTTGTAACTTTAATGGCTTAGTCTAATTCTTGTTATCTATAAGGGAATGTGTTAAATGGATGTGTTGAATTATGACTTTGACAAATGACTTTTGTTTTTTGCCAATCCTGATGTTTGTCGTTGCACTTGTTATAAAGTTGCTATTATTCTACTTTCAAATATGCTATCATAGAAAATATGTTCATAAAAAAGTAAGGTTGCTGACCTGAAAAGACAAAAGCTTCCGACAAGTAGTGCACCATTAGTTGACAAAAAAAGGCATGACTGCAAAATTTCCACAATCATCTTGCCAGTGAAGTACTGTATGTTTCTTCTTGTTAGCAAACCAGCGACCTGAAAATCACAAAGTCAAATGTTTCCATTAAAATATTTTTCTGTTTGAAAAAGCACTGAAAAGCGGAAACATATCATACAAAAGTACTTTTCACCCCACACTCGCCAGGGTATAAATGTTAGGGGGGAGGGAGCAGGTAACCCTGATAATGTTGCAAGGTCTATGTTGCAAGATATTAAGTTCAAGATGTTTGCATTAAAAATGCAATACCACCCACTATGTAAACTGCACAAATATCAATTTACAGGGCAGATAAAAAACAAACTGACCAAAACAATTGATATAAAATATTAAATAAAATATGAGAAAATTTTTGGACAGAAGAGTTTACAATCAAATTCAAGGGAACCATATGCAAAGCACCAATTTCACAAGATTAAATGTTTTTGTCACAAATGTGAATTTACAAAAAATATCACCTGGAACAAACCAAAAGTGATTGGCTTTCTGGAAAAACCAGAGCCAATGACCCATATGACCAGGGTCACCGAGAGGGGGAAGGGGGAACAAAGTGCCCCAGGGCTTCAAGGTCTAGAAGCCTAATAATAGTAAACCATAAACAAATAAAATCATAAAAGCACTAAAAACCTGCTGCAAACTTGCATATCAAATATTCAAAAAAATTTCAAAAAAAAATGTTTGAACTAAATGATGAAAATGTGTTTGACGTAAATAATGCCCATATAATATTTCTTATAAGCAAAATTTTTCAGTGGAGGAAAAATTTTAAACAACTGCCCAAATTTTGACAACAAAGATGTTCTGATTACAAATTGCCTTTTCAAAAGTGCGTTTTTGATGCCAAGTCACAAGGTATTGACTTTGAGATTACAAATTTTGATATGTGAAACTTGTCTGCATGAATGAAGTTTTCTGGCTTTTGATGACATCATACCACCTTCAGAAAAAAGTTTTGTGTCCTGTTTTTCTGTTAAATATTTCAAAACCCTAAAACAGTTACAGGCCATGGATGCCTGACAGCAAATTCAGATCAGTGTCAACATACAATAGAACTGGCTTTGCATCCATAAACTGCAAATCATTGCACCTTGCAGATGACGCATGTCCATCTCCAACCAAAATTCCCCCTACCCTCCCAACATGATATTTTGCACCAGTGAGTTGATTGACTGATCAAGATTCTGGCCTTGAGTGTTTAAAGTGCAATGCAATAAATAACATATTCCGAGGGAATCTATTTAAAGGGAACCTACAAAGCTAGTCTGGACTCACATGTCAGTATAGAAATTCACAGTCAGTATAGAAAAGAATGTTCAGGCCTTGAGAGAATGTTCAGTTCAGTCTTCTTTTCTGGAATCTTGACTAGTGTAGCCTGCGTCTTTTCATCTGGACACTTAACAGGTGTGCCAAGGTTTAATGGAACAATGTGTTAACAGTTTCTCCTGATAATTTTAGCTGGTGTCTGCACAAAGTATGACCTTGGACTGTTGGCTGGTTTTAGGACTGTTCCTTGTTCGTGATGTGTTGTGATGTTCACCTCTATACCGTAATACTTCAATTAAACGATATACACCCATCTGTCTAACTTCAACGTTACAGTGGGAAATTTGGCCTTTCTTTTGAAAAGTTATTTTTCTAAAACTTCTGTGTAGCGTTTATTACTTCTGGAACCAGACTTGTTTAGTTGTTACTCAGAGTTTCACACTAAGTGCGATCATCATTAGATGTTTTTTAAAAAATATTGCCTAGGAAGAGTGAAAAAATTCAATAAACCCCCTCGCTTTCAAACCCCCCCCCTCGAATAGATGCCCCCTAAAATATAAAAAAGATTTAATAAATGACCCAGGCATGTAGTCGAAGGATTACGGTATCTGGCTTTAGAGGTGCTAGGGGTATCACATGATGTCTCTTGTCAAAGCTAAATTTCTGCTGTCTTTAACTCTTATCTACTTTTCTTCTCAGGGTTTCAAGCTCGGATAGAAGCTCAGGAGCAATCTTATGTCACGAACCATTAGCAACTGTGGAGGGGAATAAGCACATCGCAATAGAGTAGATCTATAAGTGAGTAGTGCTTTCTCTGGCTCATCTGATTTTCTCAAAATATTTTTAGCCGTCTGGAGTGCATGTTCAACTTTTCCATTTGATCTTGAAAACACTGGACTGCTGGTGATTATGCCACATTCCCATTCTCTTGCAAATGCTAAGTATTCTGCACTATCAAAGGGTGGGCCGTTATCTGAGCAAAGTGATTCTGGAATCCCATGTCTTGTAAACAAACTCATTAACACGCAGGAAACTTCAAAAATTGTTTTGTTCTTGTTCATTATACCAAGTTCAATGAATCTTGAATAATAATCAACTACAATCAGATAGTCAACTGATTTTAGCTTGAAGAAATCTAGTCCAATGATTTGCCACGGATGATCAGGAAATGGATTTCGAATCAACTGCTTTTTGCTGTTTTTCTTGAGTTCATTGCAAACTCTGCAGCACTCTATCATGTCCTGGATCTGCTTGCTCATTCCAGGTCACCAAACACTTTGTTTAGCCCTCTCTCTACATTTGGAAATGCCTTGATGACCCTTGTGAACTCTGTAAAGGACTTCTAGTCACATGGCTGATGAGATAACCAACCTAGTAAATTTAAGCAAGATACCCTTGACTGTTGTTAACTCTCCTCTATTTGCCTAGTATGGACGAATTGCACTTTGCAACGGATGCTTTTCAGGCCATCCTTCAAGACAATACTCCTTAATTTTCTTTGTAACTTCATCTTCATCTTGTGCATCTATCAGCTGTTTCAATTTCATGTCAGACACAGGAATGGCATCAATAACCGAGTAAATGTAGTTATTCATTTCTGATTCTAATTCTGTGTCTTTCTTGACAATCTCATCTTTAGGTATCATCCTAGATAGCATATCACTTGCATACATCTCCTTTCCAGGTATATGTACCAATTATTTAATATTTCCTGTCAAAATGTAATTGTTCCCTGAAAGCAATATAATTCTGACATATTTCATAATTCTGACAATAGCTCAAGTATTTCTGATGAGGAACTGTAATCTGTTATGTATTGATTGAATTGAGTTTTGCTCTTGCACATATTCAAGTGGCTTTTACCTTTTTGGCACTTCAAATTTTCTTACAAGTGCGATCTTACGTGCAAATTTGTTTGCATGTGCGATTTGCCACACATGTGTAATTTTGCTCACGAAAAGGACTGTCAATGCAATGAGTTGTGAGTAGAGGTACATGTTTCTCCTGTGATCTCTTTTCCAAGGATATAATCACTTCCCCGTTCTGCAAGCCAGGTGAATGCAAAGCACTCTTTCTCAATTTGTGAATACTTTGTCTCAATTGATGCCAAGTCTCTTGAAAAGTAAGCAATGGACTTCCAGTTGTTGTCATCTTGTAGCTGATACACAACTCCTCCCATTCCATAGGATGAAGCATCTGCTGATATTTTGCTTTCCCTATTATGTATTATTTCCCTATTAGGGAGGCATCTCTTGATATCTTCAAATGCTTTCTGTTGTGGTTGCCCACATGCCCAAGTACATCCATTGTTGAGAAGATCTCTTAATGGCTTTGTTTTGCTTGCTAAATCAGGAGCAAATTTACTTTGTTGATTCCCAATTCCAAGGAATGATTTTACTTCTGCAGCATTCTTTGGTAGAGGCAAAATCAGAATTGATCTTATCTTCTCTGGATCTGGTTTGATTCCATCTGAGCTTACAATGTGGCCAAGAGGTCTTGCTAAACTCGCATTTCTCTGGATTTAAGGTTATGTGTGCCTCCTTTAATTTGTTTAGCACAGCATGCAATCTTTGATCGTGCTCTTCTTGGTTCCTTCCATAAATCAGTATGTTATCAATGTTGCATTCAACTCCTCCAAGGCCTTTAAAACTGCTCTGAGCCAGTTGTAATACCATAAGGTAATCTCAAAAAGCAATACCTGTCCCAGTGGGTAGCAACGGACTACTTTCTGACAAAGTTCTTTGCCAAAAAGCACTGTTCGCATCTAATTTTGAAAATACTTTAGAATGGATGGAAGATTACAGATGGAAGAGGGTAAACTTCCCTTTTCACACTAAGATTCAACTTAGTTTTTAAACCAACACATAATCTCACTTTAACATTGGGTTTGGGTATGATAACAATGGTTGTACACCAATCAGTAGGCTCTTGAACTGGCCTAATAACACCTAATTCATGCATTCTTTCAATTTCCTTCTTAGTTTCAGACAAAAGTGGGAGTGGTACCTTCCTTGGTACTGTGAGAGCACTTTGTGAAGACTGTGAGTTGAGTGTAAAAGACTTTCAGTTGGTTATCACAAATTTAAACCAAGATATGACCATCTGTCTAAGTAGATACTGGTGGGATAAGCCAAATAAACAGAACAATTGTTTTAAATCAAAAGTGAAAAAATGATAGCTTCTAAGTTCCTTTGGGACAAAACTATACAATATTCTTAACCTGCATGCAGTAGTAAGAAACATTACAATAACAAATTAGTGACAAATGCAAACTCAGCAGAGATCTTAAATCTACGATCAAAGTATAAATGGAAAGCAAATCTTTATAGTTTGGCAATTGTACATCTTTGACTTTAATTCAGATGTTCGGTTCTTAGCTAATAAAAATATTTCACTGAGGGCATATGGCTCGAAAGCTCTAAACAGAGTTTATTTTCATACGTCCACCAGCTCTTTATGTTAAATGATGTTTTATGAAAATTGTAAATTATCTTCTTAAAATCGTATCTTACATTTGCATCTTTTATTCACTAGGTATTATTGTAATTAGTTGCTTAGAATTTTTAATGAAATGAAATGCAAAAAAGGGGCCGATCATAATCATACCATATATATTGGTGAATACAGCTTTACGGAGTAGCGTACGCAGTTAATGAAGATTTCCAGCGTTGCTTCCAAGCAGGACTCGCACCAAGTGTGTCCAACTTCATGACAGCTTCCCTCCACCACCAGTGGGTCTATGAACTTTGACCATGATACCATTTTTGAAAGCAAGGGTCGCGATTTGATTTGAAAACCACTTATTGGCTATGTAAAACTTCACGGTATTGAGCCCATTTAAAAAATTTAATCAATTCTAAATTTATCTAATTCTCAATAACAAAAATTCCCTTGCCAATCAATAAATTCATTGCCATTTACGCCTTAACTCGCAACAAAACTGCAAAGCAATTTTTGGTCATCACCAAGCAAGGAAAAAGTCTGAAAACGAGGCCAATCTCAGCTTCAGTTTTCATGATAATATTTTTCACTCCCATGTAAAAGTTATATAAAAAAACATGTCGGTCTAGAATAAGAAAATTAGAAAAATAGTTACGAAAATCGCAATCTACAATTCATATCTAAATTTAGTGTTTTTACTCATCTACATGTTTTATATTTTTATGAAAAAACAGTGCATTCGGAACGAAATTCGTACAGAGAGGGCTCCAGCAACCCCAGCCCCCCGCTTCTGACGGCCCTCAAAAAGAAAGAGAAAAAGTTTTACACAATCTGCAGTTAAAGAATCGCTCTTCAGCCCCAAATGCATACGAACATTGAGATTAAAAATTCGGATTATGGTTTTTCAATAAGAAACCTAGGTCAGGATCTTGCAGTAAAAAAACTATTGACTTTCAAGAATGAATGACATACCTGAAACAATAACATAACGCAATTATCACGAATTACTAGTACTATTAACAACAAAATCTGTATTGTAAGATAAACAATTAAAGTTTAAAATGTTACACATCATAATCTCTTCACTTCATTCTCTCTGTCAACTTTTGTGATACCTACTACTTCTTCTATTTCTTCTTCTTCTTCCTCTTCCTCTTCTTCTTCTTCGTCTTCTTCTTCTCCTTCTCCTTCTCCTTCTCCTTCTCCTTCTCCTTCTCCTTCTCCTTCTTCTTCTTCCTCTTCTTCCTCTTCTTCTTATTATTTTACTTCCAGTCCGCCCGGCTCTGCGCTAGCCGCTTTGCCTCCATCCAGGTAGTGCTAATTCATCCTAAGTTTTTTTCAGCTGATGCTTGCCATGTCATTCGTTGCCTTTCAGCTCTTCTTTGACCTCTTCGTGGTCTCCACTCTATCGTCTGCTTAGCAAATCTATTGCAGCTCATCCTGGCCACATGACAGAACCACCGCCCCCGTCTTTCTCACTTTCACGCAAAGCGTTTTTTGGTGCGATCTTCTTCTTTTGACCTTGCAGTTAACTGCCAAGTTTCTGACCCGTACAAGAATACGGTTAGAGCACATGCGTTATAAATTCTAATCTTCACCGTTAACTTGATGCTTCGATTTCGCTGCACTTGCGAGTTGTGAAAAAGCAGATGATGAAAGAGCAGTTCTCCTATTCAGTTCAACGTCCCATTTCCTGATCAATTGATAGAGCTTCCTAGGTAGACGAAGTCGTTTACGTACTACAGCTCTTTCAGAAACTTTCTCTTTTTGTTGTTTATTTTCAGGCCAATGAAGCTTCCTACTTCTTCCACCTTGTCAGTTGCTTTTTGCAACCCGCTTCGAGAGTTGCTAATCAATGCGATATCGTCAGCAAAGTCTAGATTGCATAGCTCCTGCCTTTGGCTCCAGTAGATTCCATTGCCGTTTTGTTAGCTTACCTTTCTCCAGTCAATCGGGAGGCCAAACAACCAGGCGATATCATGCATCTTTGTCTTACTCCTGGCTTCACTCCAAAGTTTTCTGCGAAACCATCTTCTGTTTTCACCAACAGCAGGAGTTTTCTTAGAGTGTTTAAGAATAGTGATATAGCTAGAAGGAATTCCATACCATACTGTTATATTTCAAAGACATTCTCGATCAACACTATTAAACGCTTTTTCGCAATCAATAAAGTTAAAATGTACTTGTTGCTAGTATTGAATCGTGTTCTACACAATTCTCCTTGGAGCAATAATTTGATCTGCGCAAGACCTGCCAGGTCGATAACCAGCTTGCTCCTCTCTCATTCTGTTGTCAACGGCGCTCTTTAATCGGTTCAAAAGAAGAAGCACAACAACTTTCTTTGTGTCCATAATTTTGTTACAGGTTCGTAACAGCCATTGTGCTACTTCACCTGCTCCTTCTTTCAGGATTTCTGCTGTGATCAGATCCATTCCAAGAGCCTCATTTCTTTCATCACTCTGGTCTTTTTCGAACTTCTTCAATGAGGAAATCTTCCGTTGGAATTGCCAGACTGTCGGTTGGGCTACCATTTCATGATACCTTGCAACCCTATAGATTTGTAGATTATGACAAGGTTACTACGTTTGGCAGCACCATGGCTGCCGCCGAAGTGGGAACTTTTTACAATTTTTAATACTTCAAATTCGTCGGAAGTTGCACTCTTAGGAGCAAATTTCAGCAATAAAATCTTATTTTTAAAGGAATATTCACTGGCGGAAAGCCACTGGATGGTATTGATCGATTTCCTTGTTCTCGTTCTCAAATGTTTTACCTCATTAACATAAGTGTATAGATTTTTTAGAGATTGGGACAAAATCTTCAAATCTGTTCTTGTCTTCAATGTCAAATAGAGATGTAATTCATGACCCTGCCATGCAGGGCAGGAGACACTAAAACTTATTAATTCGTTGCTGAGGATAAAAATACAAATTAAGCACGGGACTTAGGAGCAAACTAGAGGAAACCGATTTTAGAAGTTGGCACGGCTTTTAGCAAAATCAATCGATCCTTTGTAGCATCATGTAATTTTTGATACAGATAAAGCGCCAATAAGAATTTCGATTGGTAAAAATGTATTGCTATTGTGAATAAAGCCATTGATTTTCTTCGTGTTGGGTAGTTGGCTGAGCATCCTTGTGAGGATACACGGAAGGTCCTACGTCCTTAGTTTCCAACATTTACGAGATTGTCAGAATACGATGACATCAGTGGCGGCCTGGCCCTTTTCGCCTGGGGGGCTAGCATCAAAATTTTGCTATTTTCAAGGCATCTTTCTAGCACGTTTGATTAATTTTAGTCTTAAAATGGATTTCATTACTTTGTAATAAGGAAAAGAATCCATCCTATCTTTGTATCGTCGAGACAAATTGGTCCTTTCATGAGAAATGAAGCAATGAGACAAAATCTACTGACCCCCACATGAGCAGGTCTCTGAAGGCCAGCAGAGCCAAAGAAACTCATCGAAAATCAAAATTTTCCCTGGAAGGGGGGCATGAGTCCGGACACCCTAAACACCGACTGTCCCCCGACACCTCAAACACAGTATGTGTGCACTATGTGTGCTGTGTTCTCCACACGAAAGAATTTAACTACGTAAGTTTCCTGACAATCCTCTAAAAAATTGATTAATTTTTTCGCCCCTGCGAACAGTACAAATATTTTGTCTGGATAATACAGTACTGAAGGGGCACAAAGACGTGCCCTTCAGGTGAGAATGTTCTAGAAGGTATGGGGGCGTGCGCCCCAATAAAGTTTTGAGTTTTATGGCGTCTTTTTTGTCTTTGCTGGCCTCCTAGAGACTAATAACCAGACAAGTCGGTCGTATCAAACCTCTTTTTGAGTTTTCGGCGCCCTTTACAAGTTTTGGCGCCCCTATGAAAATGTCAGCTGGGGGGGGGGGGGGGGGGGCCTTGGCAGTTACATTTTAGACTGTGATGATTCGTGAATGAGATTAATGAAATACAACGTTTCGTTACGATAGTGCGTTCGTTCGTGATGATTTCAGTGCGTTCGTTTGTGATGATTTCAGGCGACAACTTTTTAACAATTTTTTAGATAATACTCTATACAGAAAAGTAAGAAGACACTTGCGTAGGCGCTTATGCACAGGGTGACCAACTAAATAAATTCAACACTTCGCATACGAGGGCCCTGTGCTCCTACCTTGAAGCTACCTTCACAAGCACACTATTTAACGAATGTCCAAGCAGAATCCTGAGCGGGTCCAGGCAATACTGTTGAAGTGTAAATAGCACTAAAATAAATTGTCCACCATTTTTAATTTTGACTTAAAACAACAGAAGCCCGGCAAAAGAGGTTTCACAGCCAACGTATCTAGCCTGAAACTCTGGTTAATAGCTTAACCAACAGACAAATAACCAGTAGAAAATTGATTGATCAAAAGAACGCTGACTATAGCACATGAAATATAGTGGTCAGCGATGCTGGAGTCAAGGGAGGTACGCTTTGCAAGACTTCAACTTCGCTAGCTTTGCCCGAGTGCCCTGAGACAATGCCTGAGACAAATACAAAGCAGGCAGAGAAAGATCGTCTATAACTGGCAACAGCTGTTTAGCCTGATGTGAGGCCTTCTTTCTAGTGACTCTAGACCAGGGGTGTAGAGCTAGGGGGCTCGGGGGCTGAGCCTACTTGTTGATGCCAAAAATTAGCCAAATTCTACTTTTCCTGTTGTTATCAGCAACAATATGTGCAAGAGCCCCCCTTGTTATTTTGATAGCCCTACACCATTGCTCTAGACGGATTTGTCAGTGAAGAAATTCACGGCATCTTTTATTTTTTGTAGCAACAAATAAACGTATTCATAACTATCTACAACAGCATCTAAACAGTACCAGTGTTCTTCGTACACAGCGACAGGATACCTACCTTTTTTGTGGAAATCAAGTATTTTCTGTTCAAGAGTGAGTTGCCCCTAGACAATACGGAAAGAACTTTAATCCAAGTAATATATTTCGCTGAAGGGTTTGTTTCAACCACCCATTTTTAAATCTTAATGCAAAAGGGTGTCAGTTAGTCATATGGTATCATATGTCGGCCACCTAACGAGAGCAAAAATACAAAAAATCGTGCTAGGCAAGATTGAAATGCACCATTAATGTGTATTTCCTTATCATGATTCACTAGTACAAAAATTAATGTGCTAAAATTTTAAAGTTCAAGAAAGAAAAAGATACAAATTGTAAAATATACAAAACTATTGCAAAAGAGTCTTTTTTACATCCTTGTCTAATGCAAGGAATAATGAACGAAATCTTCACAGATAATTAGATACTGACGCCACTAACATACAAATTGTAGAAAAAAACAATAAACTGATCGCCTCACCTCTAAAAATTTATAACTGCAGTAAAATGTTTATACTTAAACTTGTGTTTAGCTTAAAATTGTACTAGAGGTTCAGGGTAACTGCCAAATCTCTAAGAGTACACAGGATCTTTGCATACAAGCAATTTGCGAAGAATTGCGAATTTTGCACCCCTGCGACTTGTAAATCGTTTCTACTTCAACTGCCTAAAATATCGGTAGTTTATTGATTGCAAAACTCTTTGGTTGGTCGGTGAAATCATTTGCTGTTCGGTAAAACCCCCTGACAGTAGATAAAAATTGAATAATATTATCATCTTGATTTCATCGCCAATGTTCTTTTAATTTCCCCCATCACCCTCCTCCGCCACTCTCTGTTGATCTCAATCGTTCTGCCAACTTGAGCCGTACTTCTTAATTTGCAAGCCAGGTGCTAAAAGAGAGCGATTATCATCCGTAGATTGAGAATGCGAGCTAAATGTAGATTCGTGTCCTCCATTCAGACTTCTTTCGCCTGGCTGATTCAGATGACTCTGGTGATCAGAAGACGAGGCGTGTCTCTTCCAGCAAACGTAATACATAAAGGCATCCTTGATATGCCTATTCACCTTTGGATTCAGAAAACAGAACAAAATGCAATTCAGAAACCCTTGAATGCTGTCTCCTACACCCTGTAGAAAAATGGAAATTTTTTTTAAAATGACTTTGGGAACTTTTGGGACTGGACTAATGGAGTAAGCAATATTAGATGGAAAAATTCGAATCAATTGAAAATTGATGGGTATAAAATTTCTCAGTTTCAGACGACAAGCCTGCGTTCAAAGATTGGAATAAAGAAGTTCGTTCTCAATGCTCATTTCCTTGCTCATCTCTTTGCTTTTAATATTCTTGCTAGAAAAATTAGGAGGTATTCTGAAAATATCAAAATAATACAGAACCTGAAGGGTTAACAAGACCTTCTCCCATGCGGTAATCGTTTGCTTGTGCGACACCCTGTTGCTTACCAAAACATCGAGGAACCTTATCAAACTCCAGATTCGCCCCAAGATGAGAAGGATAGGGACAAACACCAACTTTCTATCAGCACTTTTAGCTGATTTTAGAACATCCGGTTGCATTGGTGCATTGGATCGGATTTTCAGCTAAAGATAAAGATGGACAGTCAAATTCAAAAAAGCACATAGAAGGTCGCTAATGCTGAAAAATATCAAACTAAAAAACACGTAGTTTCAAATATAACATCATCAGTGGCGTAACGCACAGTGTGCACCTTTAAACACATAACTAAGGGCCCCCAAACATTTGGGCCCCGAAGGGGCCGCCGAGAAACTTTTCGAAAAGCGGGTTTTTGTATAAAAACAAATGTTTCTTGATAGGCAACATTAA